CAAACTCAATTTTAAATAGATTGAAAAATTAGAAGCTGAAAATTCTAAATTAAATAAAAATAATAAAGAATTATTAAAATCTATACAAGGATTTTTATTAGAATTACTTAAAATAGGTCTAGATTGTAGAAAATAAGGATTATGTTGGATTGTTAAGGCAGTATGGGATACAAATGAAAAATTGAATGATGATAATTTTCCATCTTATTTGGATTCTAAAGGAAGAGAATTTTTAATTTAAAAGGCTAAAAAAATGATTGAATTGAATGATTTATTTATAAGAGCTCATTAATTATTTGGAAGTTATCATGGTAAATTAGAAACATCTTAAGATAATTTAAATACTTCAATTTTATCGATATTATCTAAGAATCATTTTTCATAGATTGATTCAGAAGATATTAAAAGAAAAACATTAAGAGATAGAAGAATGAAATCTAGTGGAGAAATCAATTTATTACTTAAAGGATTGAATAAAGAAGAAAAATAAAGTATTTAAGGAACTTTAACATAGATTTTCTAAAGTAAATAGACTTTGAATGACATAATATATACAGAAGCATAAAAAAAGATATAAAAAATGTTTAAAACTGAATCAAGCCTCATATTAGAGTAATCATTTATTTCAGAAGATAAAGAAAAATTAATTAGAGAATATTAATAAATTTAAAAAGATATTGAAATAAAAGAGATTCAATTTAAGAAATTCGAAGATTGTGAATTATCAAGAATTGTTAAAGAAATAGAATATAAAAAATATTTACAGAGGTAATATTTAAACTTTATAATTTAAGATTTTCTGTAGAACCTTTATAAGTATTATCTGCATTATTTGGATATGTAAAAGCAGAGAGAGAATTAATTAAATAAGGCATGATGCATATATCAAATAATTGAGTTTTTTTAAGAAAATGATCATTAAATTTTGGTTGTTTTTTTTTAGCAAGGCATCATTTATATTTGAACATTCTTCTTTGTAATTGGTTTTTATTATTATTATTACTATTATTATTATTATTATTATTATTATTATTATTATTATTATTATTATTATTATTATTATTATTATTATTATTATTATTATTATTATTATTATTATTATTATTATTATTATTATTATTATTATTATTATTATTATTATTATTATTATTATTATTATTATTATTATTATTATTATTATTATTATTATTATTATTATTATTATTATTATTATTATTATTATTATTATTATTATTATTATTATTATTATTATTATTATTATTATTATTATTATTATTATTATTATTATTATTATTATTATTATTATTATTATTATTATTATTATTATTATTATTATTATTATTATTATTATTATTATTATTATTATTATTATTATTATTATTATTATTATTATTATTATTATTATTATTATTATTATTATTATTATTATTATTATTATTATTATTATTATTATTATTATTATTATTATTATTATTATTATTATTATTATTATTATTATTATTATTATTATTATTATTATTATTATTATTATTATTATTATTATTATTATTATTATTATTATTATTATTATTATTATTATTATTATTATTATTATTATTATTATTTCTATAATTATTGTAAGGATGTATTTGTTGGATCTTCTTCTTATTATACATTTTCTAAGATTTCATTTAATTATTTGTTGATAGGAGCTTTCTATATTTTGTTAAATCTTTTTAGTGTAGCAGTACTACTACTTGAACTAGTTGGTTTGACAATATTACTTGTAGAAGGTTTAATTTCAATATCGTCAACTTTTTTTTTTTTATAATTAGTAATAGGATTTTGTTCAACAACTCTTAAAATACTCATAATATCTTTTTATTTGGAATCTTCTACTGTAGCTATTTCAATAAATATGGATAATGTATCACCTAACCATCTTAAAATGAAAACTCCTCCTTTATGTTTTTTTTAAATAAGATTATCTACTTTTATCCCTTTTTTAAATTCTTATTTGAGATTTTCAATAAGCATTTTTTCTTATTAAATATGTTTGGCTCTATCATTTTTAAGACTAGAAATTTTATTTTTAACTAAGAGAAGCCATCTATTTAAGAAATGTTTTCCAAAATCATGATTTAATTATTCATAAAACTATAGAGCATTTTCAAAATTAACTTTTGCCTATAATAAACTACGTTCTTATAAAGAAATATAACCACTTGCAGCTTCACAACATGCAACTCCTAAAGTACATCCTTTTTTTATAAACATCTCTTTAGCTTATTTAAAAGCTTATTAAGATTTTTTTGGTTCTTTAAGCATATAATATACACAAGCTTTAGTTTTAATAATATTTGCAGTGAATAATAAATCTCCATAAAAATATTAATAAGTCCAATTAATGAATTTTAAACATTCATTATATCTTCTTTATAAAAGTAATATTTAACAATAATAAAGAATGAGCTTTTATATTTTATCCTTTTTATTTGGTAATTAAGTAGAAGATGTACATTCTTCTTTTGCTTTACCTGATTTAGCTCTATCACCAATTTTAGGAATTATTTATCTTTTTGATAAAATTTAATGTTGCTTATCCTCTTCTTCATTATTTTTCTTTTTCATATCTTAAGGAATATGTTTTATTTATTAATCAAGAAATGTAACTCTTTAAGTTAATGAATTAGGATTCAAAGATGATTTTATAAATTTTGGATCAAGTGCTTTCTGAACTTAAGCTTGTTCACCTTAAATAGCTATAGATATTTAAGTTTATTAATTTAAGCATTCTTAAACATTGTTAGAATCATCAATATTATCAGGTTTAATATTATTTGAGTTTATTTTAAAAATTTTAGACTCAACATAATTAATGCTCATACCATTATCTGAATAATCTTTATTTGATTATAATTCATCTTCTTCACTAATTGTAACGCCTACTTTAGCAATAGAAAAAGATTTTCTTTTTGGACCATTAGTCATATAATCATCTGAAATTTAATCATATTTAAAACTTGATATAACAGATCCAGTAAAGCCTACTTTAGAACTTAGATGAGATTTCTAACTATTATTTTCATATTTTTTTTGCATCATCTCCAAATTTTCTTTAGTTAAAGGTAAATTAAAAGTTTCATCATCATTTTCATCATCTTTTTTTTCCTATTTTTATGGTTCAATTTGAAATTGACCATTAGAAATAATTTCAAATTCTCTAAAAATAGCATTCTTTATATTTTATTCAATAGCTAAAAAATCATCATTAGATTGATTATTAATATCATGTGCTTAAGTACCTATTTATGTATAATAAGTCTATGTCTTTTTTAATAATAGTTTAACAATATTATGATGATAAAGTCTTTTTTATTTCTAATCTAATTTACTTTCAGCAAATTTAACAGTAAAATTATATAAACAATAATGTGTTTTAGTATTTTTCTTTGTTTATAATAATAATGAACTTTTAATTAATTATGTAGCTAGTTTTTCCCATCCTGGTCCCCAAACATCATTTAATTCATCATTATAAACTCCACATGGAAGCAATCCTAGCATACCAAAAAATATGGCTGCTTTTTCATATCTTTCAATCAAGTTAGCCCAACTTAAATTTAATGATACTCTTAGTGATCTTCTTTCTTCTTCTGTCACTCTACTTGAAATTGGTAAATCCATCAATTATTTATAAGATAATTATTAATATAATTCTTTTAAAGTATAATTCTCCAATAATCCAGAAGATAGTATTATTCCTTAAGGATGACCATCCAAAATTTAAAATAAAACATGATTTGAAAATTTCTAAATTAATAATTTATCATTCCAAGTATATTTATTAAGAAGATCATTACATCCTAATAATTCTTCAACTTCTTAAATAGTTATTTCTCTAGAAGATGAATTGATAAATAATTAAGCACTTTCTTCTAAAGATAATCCTTCAATCTTTATAACTCTTCCTTATTAAATTATCTCACTTCTATTTGTGATACATACATGACATTTACAATTAGCTAAAATTAATTCTAAAAAATCCACAAAAACATCACGATCATTAGAATGCATAATAAGATCACAATTATCAAGAATAAGAAGAAATTCTTGATTTTTAATAGTTTATATAATTTAAGTGACCATTAATTATTTGATTTCATAATTACTTTATAATGCTAGATTTGGCATAAAGATATAAGCAAATCTACTGGCTACACTATCAAAACTATCACATTAGTTTAATTAAATATATACAACGCCATTTTTAAATATATTTCTTTAAGCAATATAAATACTAATTTCTTTTATTAAAGCACTTTTACCAATACCTAATACTCCTTTAATATTAATAAGTTAATTTTAAATTATTTTATCAATAATTTCTTACATTTATTAAGATCTACCAGTAAAATTGGATACAACAGATGGAAGTTAATTTTAATTCTAATGAGGAGTGAGATCTTTAAACTCTCCTTCTCTTAATAACCAAGTAGAACATTAATGATGAGATTTAGTAAGTAAAAGGAATTTGTTTTCTTCTGCATATGGAAATCTACCTTCAACTTTAACTTAATTTTTAGCAGCTAAAAAAGCTTAACAAACAGTTTATTATCCTTTTATCAATCCATGATAAAATGATCTAGCAAATACACAACATGCTTCATCCATTACTTACTCTTTTGAATGTACACATATTACATGTTCAGCTCCAGCTTAATGAAATACTTCTCCTATTAATTTTGAATGACAACTAGCTACAAAAACAAATAAAATCGGACATTTAAGTTTTTAAAGACACAACAAAATTTAATTTGCTGAAACTAATTATGCTACTCCATGTAATTATTCAAATAACAAATATGATTATTAATTTGATTCCATATAAATACCATGACCTGCATAATGTAATGCTTTTGGATTCAAATCTAAAGCTTCTCCAAATCTATCCATTCTTGCTGGTGTTGCCATAAATTTTATTTCGGCTTTTACATCTATAAATACTTCTTTTATTGAATTCAACTCTTTAGTTATTTCTAATTTTTACAACACTTTCTTTGTCAAATTATTTGTTATCTATAATAGAGGTTAAGAGTATAAAAATAAAAAATCTATCTAAGTCTATTTTGTAGGAGTCAAAGAAGATTTTAATGGAATTAAAGACATTAAAAAGGTTCTTAAAGGATCACTAGATGTTGTATCTGTAATAGTAGTCATTGTGTCAGACGAACATTCTGATGTTTTAGGTTTTAGTAATTATTCAAAATCAAATTCTAATGCACTTTCAAATTCTTCTTTTAAATTTGGACTAAATTTATCTATCATCTAATATGTTTTAGAAAACAACTATTTTTAAACATTGTTCGGCTTTGTTTATGAATCAATTGTAATATTTGATACTACTTCCTATTCTATAAATTAATCCAAATCTGGCACTGGTTCATCAAAGAACAAATCATTCACAAAATCATTCGGCTTAGATTCTATATAATCTATATTTTATTAGCTTTTGCTAATAATTTGTGGAACATCAGTTTTATTGTGTGTAATCATGGTAGTATGATTTCTTTTAGGTTCTTGTTATTGTATAACAAAATTTCCAATTTTAATTTCTCCTTAATCTTTCATCAAATTTTGGAGTATTTTCATTAATGCTTCTTAGTCCATTATTAGTAATTATAAATAAAAAAAAAAGATTTAATTTGCATCAATGGTTCGACTAGAGAAACTATTGTATGAATAATTATTGAATATTCGTGCCTTAAATAGATAAAGAATAATTGGATCTCCAAGAAAATGGTATTCAGAACCACGTACTCCTGCATTAACACTTTCAGCAATGAAATTATTTACTTAAGGAGTGACTGGTTAGATTTATAAAATGGTAGAGCCTTTATTTGCAAGGTATAGAGTGATTAGATAATACTAGATTCTTTTATCGATGGATGAGAAACATTGGTTTGGATAGAGGATTAGCATTAGAAGATTTAGTATTATTTTAAGATAGAGAATTAAGAAGAGATCCACTTTTTGAACATATTTAAAGAGAGGGATTTCATCCTTATACTTGGATTATGTTCAATAAAAGAAGAGCAAGATATTCAAAAGTAGAAAGAGGTGTAAGAGGATCTACAGCACCAGAATGGTTATAAACAGAAGCAAGAGAACGAACATTAGCTGATAGCGTTTAAAATATATATGAATGGGATAATTATGTTTACTAAAACTATATGAGTGATATGACACCAACTGCAAGAGGAACTATACTTCAAAAAGTATTACCACTTGAATGGTTCTTATTTTTTGGATTACTAAGAGTTGATACTTGGGATAGATACTTTTATAATGAAGTCATGTATAAAGGACTAGAATACTCTAAAGAAGAATTAGCTAATATTCCTAAACCATTTAAAGCATAATTAAGTACTTATACATTATTCAAATGTATTTAGCAACAGAAGAAGGTAGAAGATAATTTGAAATTAATGTTAATAGATTCATTTAACTCTATCCTGGCTCTATTGTTAAAGAAGGGTATATAAATATAAATATAAATTTAAATTTAGTGATAAATTTGATTTCCAAAGATTTTATGCACTTGAAGCTATCAATAACAATAGAGATTTGAGTAAATATGATTCATCACTTATTTCGTAACTCAAATCTGAATTAACATAAACAGTTGAAAAGAAATCAGCCACCAAAATCAAGAAAGTTAAACCAACTTTACCCACTTGGTTCAACTCTGATGGAAAAGGACTCTTAGCATGATAATTATACATACATTAAATATATATATATAATATTTATTATATATTTAATCTATTCTTATTCATATTTATGAATTAATTGATTACCATTCATATTGGAGGAGCAGGATCTAATATTGGATATTAACTATGGTCAAATTTATCTTAACAAAATTCATAAGATCTTCCCTCCATATTTTAAGAAAACTCTCTACAATCATATAAACCTCGATCAATTTTTGTAAATACTCTGGATAAATAAATTCCTCAATGTAATTATTCTTTATTCTCTCCTAATCAATTCTTTTATACTAAAGAAGACTCAGCAGTCATTTATACTTCTGGTCATTATTGCATAGCTAAAGATTTGATTCCAAAAATATAAGATGAAATTAGAAGATAAGTTGAAAATTGTGATCATTTTTCAGGATTCGTATTTACTCATTCTATAAGTGGAGGTTTTGGCTCAGGATATACTACTCTTCTTTCAAGGTTATTAAAAATTGAATATAATAAATCCATTAATTTCAGTTTCTGCTTAGCTCCATCCCCAAATTATAGTGATAATATAATAGAATCATATAATTCTCTTATGAGTCTAAATTCTATGGCAGAAACTTTTGATGGAGTAATTTTATTGCAAAATGAAGCTATTTATAATCTCATTGAAAATCGATTAGATATTGAGTCTCCCTCATTTAATGAAGCTAATTAAGTTATTATACATCCTATAATATCTTTGTTAAAATTTAATTAACAGAAATCTTTACAATTACTTAAATTAAATTTAACTAATAAAAATAAATTAAATATTTGGTCATGTTCTTATGGACCTCTATTCAATCAAGATGATAGGGATTACTCATTATAACTCACTTCAAATTCAGTTAAAGATATATTAACTTATAACTCCTACATTTGTCATTTAAAAAAAATGTAATATAAGCAAGCGTTTTTATATGCTGAATAAATAAATTAGAAAATATTGTCAAGAACTTTATCTGAGGTAATTGTCAATAAATAATACTCAATTTATTTGAAAGAATAATAAGAATAAACATATAAAAATTAATAATTTTAATAGTAAATCTATTCTGGTAAAGGGAATTTGTTGTTTATACATAAAAGTACAGGAATAGGAGAATAATTAACTTCAATACATAAGAAAGCCTAAATCCTTTTTTAAAAAAGAGCTTTCATCCATTGGTATGTAGGAATAGGGATTGAAGATCAATCTGTAACAGGAGAGTTTACAGATTTTGAATAATTGTAAAAAGACTATGCAAATGAAGTTTTTAATGATTAATGAAAAAATAAATATGTTTTAATTCATGAGAATCTAGACAATCTTTTCATCTTTTTCTTTACAGTTTTTCTTTTTTAATTAAGTTTTCTGATAATGTTTTCATGATTATATTATTTGAAATATTTAGTAAAGGTTTACATGACATCAATATTTTAGAATTTTTCTTTTGATTTAGGAGTACAATTTTCAATATTATTCTAATTAATATTTTATTGAGGATTATCTACTTCTTGAATTTATTATAAATTAATTTAAATCAAATCAGATGTATGCTTTCTTGAATATCCAATAATGGTTTATCTTTTATTAGGAATTTATCTTTTTTATTGAGTGATTTTAGGTTTGAATTGATTTTCATCAAGAGGATTAGATAATTTTTATTCATCCATTTATACAGAATCAAATTACCAAGATTAAGAATTGGATTATAATTCCAAACTTTCAGGATCATCATCTTAATCATCAGAATCTAATATGGATTTATATTTAATTTTCATGATCTCTCGTTTATCATTAATAAATTAACAAGTTTCTATTTATATTTCTTTAAAATTTCTTAAAATTTATTGTTTAACGTATAAGCGTTTAAATTTTTATCTGTTTTAAATAGAATATTTATTTGATTTAGCAATAGCAATAGCTCTATTAGGTTTATATATAATATCTTAACAAATATGATGACCTTCACGTCTGCATAATGGACAAAAGAGATAGAGATTTGAATAATTTTCAAAGATGACTTAATCATGAATCATACAAAAAACTTCTTTATCATTATTTTTTAAGACTTATTTAAATATTTAAGTAGGTATAAAATAGAAAATAGAGAAATCTGAACTTTTGAGATAATATTTAGGTTAATTCACATTAAATAAATTGAGTAATCCATAATGATCGCCTTAAAATATATTGCAAATATGTTTAGGATATGCTTTTGATCCCCAACATACTTCTGCTTATCCTTTATATAATATATAAACTCCATCCTATAAATTAATGAATTCACCAGGTTAGTAATATACCTCTTGTATGTATTACATTAATTCTTTTATACATTCAATATTAAAATTATTTACTAAGAAAGGCACTTTGAGTAACATTTATCCTTTATCTTATAAATTGATTTCCTATTGCAATTGTATACTTAATTTAGAGAATATCTTATCTTCATTTTATTTCTATTCTCCTAAACCCCATTTCCAAAGAGATTTCAAATATTATTGAACTCTCCTTTGCAAATCTGTATCACAACCTTTTTTAACTAAATAATTTTGAATAATCCTTGCTTCTTGATTAAATTAACTTTTATTTTAATCAATATCTTTGAGTACAGTTGTAATTGTATTAAGTGTGTAAGCAAATATAGCACTTGATAACAATACAATCATTATACAAGCCATTAATTCAATCTCATTTACTGGTACAATATCTCCATAACCTACTGTTGTCATTGTCAATATTGCAAAATAAAATGCCCATAAATATTAAATATACCATTCATTATCCTATAATTAATTAATACTTAACCAACTAGGTTCTTTATGACCAGCAACTATCCATAAACATGCCTATATATTTATATATATAAATAAATACAATTATATGAGCCAATAAAAAAATTATAACAAATAATGTTATTAATTTTATATGGTTTTTGTATTTATTCTATGGATCTAATTCATATCTCAAAAATTTAATGAACTTCTTTATTTCAGATATCTTGAAAAAATAAATGTATTTTATGTATAATATATCCTGAAATAGAAACAATGAAAATCCAACAATACCCAAGGCATCCAAAAAGAATCCACTCTTTAAATATTATAATGCTAAATATTAATGATTTTTCATCAATTAACCATTCTTATATATCTGTACATTAAATCTTAATACGATATCGAATAGCTAAGTATTTATTTTTTATACATACTAGAAATATCCATTCAAACAGAAAAATTTCATATTACTAGACTATCAAGTTATCCAATTTAACTCCAAAAGCATCTATTAAGGGAAACAATATAAAAATATGAAGCATAAAAAACAATTTGAACATATTCCAAATAATTATAAAAGGATGACTTGGTTTAATTGACCATTCTTAATTTATGTTATGTTTTTCTATGTATTTTAATACCACTCCTTTAAGTTTGCCCATCTAAAACTTTGATTCATAATAAATTGATTCAAATTGTTTTTCCTGCTTCTTTACTTATTTATTAATAATCCCCTTAGAATACCCAGATCCTAAATCATCTATAACATTTAATTGTTTCTCTGTCAATGAATGATATTGCTTCACCTATAATTACTAAACAATTTTACTTATGTTGATTATCTCATTCTATTAATACATTTAACTAACACTTCTCTTTTCTCTGCCTTATTTCGTATTGTCTCTAGCATAAATGCACTCTTCCAATCTGTTTCAATATTCTTACGTCTTTTCTATACAAGAGTAGCTCTAGAATTATCAGGTGAATTTATGTTTATTAAATTTTCAGAAGCATTTACAAAACTCATCTTATCTCTCTGATCTTCTTCAAATTTCACTTTTAATAATAAATTACTCATTTTAAAACAGATTACTTATTTAAAATAAGAAACCAGAATTCACTTTACAATTTCCCTTTTATTTAAATCAACATATCTTTTTTATATGTATAATTAATTCGATAGTTCTATATTATAATTATTTTTTATGAAGTCTTCTATTTCATCCTTTCTCATTTTTACATTTTCTCTTTCATTACTCTCTCTTATCTAAACAAACGATCAAATCTAAATTAACAATTTATAATCCTCTAAATTATGAAATCTAATTTTCAATAACACAACAAATTACTTAATTAAGTTTTTAAATCCTTTTGATTACTATTTCTATCTAGAATGATATTTTATATTTTATTCAATCTACTCCTCCATTATCATTATATAAATTAAACTAAATTATTTAAATTATCAAAAAATTTGCTTAAATGTCAAATTTAAGAATCTCCCAATACTAGCCATTTTACTAGTGCCATTTAGATTATATTTTATAAAATTCAATTTAAAATAAAAAATATTCATTTTAATCAATTAATTTTAGGGTAAATTTGATACATTTTAATTATTACTAAATTATTTAAAATCTAATGTAATGTGAATGCTATTCCTTAATTGTTTATTTTAATTTATTACCAATCTTTTAATCATATCAGATTAATTAGAATTTAAGTTTCCTTTCTTGCTCTTTACTTGATAATTAGAAATAATCATTATATTTCATCCTTAATGTATCTGATCGCATCATTTCTCATAATTTTAGCTTAACCATGTTAGATTATTATTTTTAAAATTTGCATAGGTAATTTGCAATATTGGTAATTTAATATTCTATCATAAAATAACTTTAAAAGGTTAATAAGAAAGAAAATAAATTAATTGCAGTATTTAGCTCAAATAGAGTGGAAATAAAAATTAGAATGAGTAATAAAATTAATTCTAAATAATTCAGAATAATCATCTTTTTATTGTATTGAATTCCAATTTGATTCATTATAAAATTAGTTATAAAAATAATATAATAGAAAATAAATTTATTTTTAAAGTGAAATCAGACTGAAAAATTAGCTAAAAAAAAATTCAAATTTATAGATAAGTAAAGAAGTTTAATTAATAAAATGAATAGAAAATAAACTTATATTGAGCAGGAAGAAATATATGAATACCCATCGGATACACCATATAGAAATAACAATTATCAATAATACACTCCCAGAAGAGGATTTCAATTAGGCCATATTTGGAGTTCATCTTAATATGCTTAATCAAGTGTAAGACCGTAGAGATCAATCTTTACAAGACAAAGTCATTAAGTTTATAACAATTCTTCAAAATAAACAAAGGCAAATGGTTAAGTTCCAGCATTTGATGATTTACTTGATTAAAAAGAATATAGTTTTAAATAGCAAAAAGTATTGCCATCTTTTGGGAATTTTAATTAGATTCAATAAGTAAACATTTAATTGAAATAAATTATAGAAAGGAGAGGAGGATGAGACCTTTTACAATTAATTGGGTAACATATAATAATAGATGATTGAATTGGATTAGACAATGGAGAAATTGGAATCAAAGATGCAAGAGATAAAAATTTAGTAGTTGAATTTTTTGAATAATAATAATTGTAATAGTTCTGTAGTGGAATAAGAAGTTTAAGAGAAATAGTAATAAAAATAGTATTAAAATAATAACAGTATTTAATGGAAGGTGTTTAATTTGAAGAAGGAAATCTAGGATGAGTAAATTGGTATAATAAATTATTGATATATATATAGTTGAATTAGGTAAGCCAGATGATTTCGAGAAACTTTAGATAGTATATATATAATAGAACATAAATGGGATAGTTGGAAGATTAGGTCATTTACTATAAAATTAATCATAATAGAAATTGTGTTTTAGGAATACAGAGATTGACGAAGGAGGAGAAATATGTTTTTCATTTAATAAAAATTTGAATCGATTCACAAAGATATATAAATGCAAATTCTGTCCTTTAACTTTTTAGAAGGCATGTTCTTTAGGGTATGAAAATATATTAATTTTTAGTGGTCATATATCAAGATCACATAAGGAGGAATCTTAATAAAGTAAAAAGGAAGCTTAGCCTATTAAGAAGACAAGCATTTAGAAATAAAAAAAGGCATCTCTATAAAAATCAATAGGTATTTAACTAATGCAATTATGAAAATGAATATTATATATATAGAATATATATAAATGGAATAATAATAAAAATTGAATATATGCATTTGATTTATGAATCATTCAGATAGTTTTTGGTTGATATATTCAATTAATCTATCTACGATATCAATTTCAGTTTATCTAATGAAATATTAGGAATATTTTGATACCTACTAAGTTTTTAGTTGCTGTATTCTTGATCTTCTAATTCATTAATTCTAGTGGCATCTTAAATGTTCAATTAAGTGACTTCAACAATGGCATTAGATATATTAATTAACCCATCTAATTCATTTAATCTAGATTAAATTTCTTTGAGTCTATTATTGGCTGTAGCTAATGAAACTTATAGAGTTTATTTTTCATTTCTTAAATCATCAGTTAATCTAGTGAGATTTTCTACTTGAGTCTTATGATTAGCTTCTAATTAATCTTGTCCTTCTTATAGGGCAGTGATTAATCTAGCAACTAAACTTAAAACATTATTTAAAGTTTCTGGGTTAACTTTAGTTGTCATTTCAGCTAATCCTTCTATTATAGGTTAAAAGAGTGTTAATGAACTCTTTTTTGTATGAGCTTCAAGAATTTCTTTTATTTTTTAGAAATTCTCTTTAGTTTATATAAGATTACTCTTGGTGTCTTATCTTAAAAAGAATAAGAATGAATAAATACGTTAATTAAATAAGAGATGTTCCTTCGCCTCTTAAATTCATTAATAATCTTTATGCTTCTTTGCATGCTAAGATAGCATCACTATAATCAGAATATTTAGTAGCAAAATCTGCATTTTCTGCATCAAGTCTGGATTGAGCATCAGAACTTCCTCTTCCATTTCTATCAAGAGCTGATTAATCTTCTTTAACTCTTGTTTAAAGTGTAGATAATTCATTATTAAGACTAGATTGCTCTTATCTCTAATTATCAAGATCTTATTAAGCTTATTCGAGGGTAGCTTAAAGTTTGGCAAGGTCAACTTGAGATCTTCTTGTAAATGTGCTATTTTCTTAATCTTATAATTATGTAAGTGCTATCAATTCATCCTTTATTTATTAGAGAAGTTGTTTAAGCTCATTTAATGATCCACCTGTTTTCATATTTACACTAACCAAGTTAATCATAGATGATCCAAAAGGATGATCTGCATAGTTTTACAATCTCTAACTTAACTCTCCAACTGTTGAAGCTGTTGCCAAGGCTATTACTAAAAGTAGCAATGCTGATTTCATAATATATTAATAAAAACAAAAAACGAATACCTTAATGGAATAATTAAATAGTGAAGAATAAGTTATTATTGAAGAGATTATTCAATCATAACACTCAGAACACACTGAAATACATATCATTGAATATATATGTTACCCATTCTACTTAGCCTTACTCTGTCTATTGTGTATCCTTATCAACTTAAATAAGCGTAAATTTAGAAGAAGGTAATATTTGAAATTATAAATCATAGATATCGAGTTGATGAAATATTCCTTTTTATAGCTGTTTATTTATTCAATGTTTTGATAACATGGAATTTTTTTGATTTTTTTGATAAAATAGTAAGATTCATCATCACATTGATAATAATATTTGGGATTCAACATTATATAGGAAGAGTTTAAATAGTAGGAATAACTGGAGGAATTGGATGTGGGAAATCTACGATTGCTAAATACTTTAATGAATTCCTTAAAGTTTAAGTAATTGATTGCGATCAAATTGGCAGAGATATTGTAGAACCTGGAAAGCCAGCTTATAAACTTATTGTTTAGAGATTTGGACTTTCAATTCTAGCAGGTAACCAAGATGGACAACCAATAGATAGATAGAGATTAGCAGACTTGGGTAACTTGTATTGATTAGCATTTTCAGTATTTCAAGATAATCAAAAAAGAAAATAATTGCAAGCAATTACAAATAAATATATTTTTAAAGAAATAGCTAAATCCATTTGGAAAATTTGTTTCATTTAAAAAGATCAATATGTTGTTATTGATGCTCCATTATTATTTGAGAGTAAAGTATTAGAGTATTTCTGTTTCCCTATAATTACTGTTGTTGTAACAAGCCAAGAAGAAATAATCAAAAGGCAAATATTTATTGTTATCTTAGAGTGAAAGATAGAAGTGGTTTAAATGAAGAACAAATATTATAGAGAATTGAATCTTAAATGAAAGCAGAGATTAAAATTAAAAAATCTGATATTGTAATTACAAATGATAAATCTGAAAAATCATTAATAAGATAAGTGTAAGAGAAAGTGTTCGAGTATTTAATATGAATTATAAATAATAAGGGATTTATTAATATTAAAATATAATAAATGACTCATCTTCTATTTGGTATAGGTTTCCATGTTCTATAATCTAAATCTTATTTTGGTGTGTTTTCAAATACTTTATTTAATTTTTCATCTAAATCTTAATCAAATTTCTTTAATAATTGTAAGCTTCCCAAAGATTCTTCTAATTAGGCTACAGTTCTTGCTCCTGTAATAGCAACATCTATATCTTTATTCCTCATAGTCCAAGCTAATGCTAATTATGCTGGAGTGACTGATAATTCTTTAGCTAGATTTACGAATTATTTCAATCCTTCTACATTTCTTGGATTACTTGCTATTAAAGTATATATAGATATTTGTACTATGTTTAAATAGAAATCTATTAGATGCTCTATCTTTAGTTAACCATCCATTATCTTTACCACATCTACTATTTTCAGGTATTCCATCTAAATATTTTCCTGTTAAAAATCCTCCGCATAAAGGACTATATATTGTGGTTCCATAATTGTATTTTTCATACAAAGATACAAAATCAACTTCAAATCTCTTTCGTTCTAACATATGATATTCCCCTTGATCAGCAATAGGTCTAATCAATCCATGAACATCTGCGTAATTTATAGCCTCTTGAATCTAAGCAGCATTCCAATTACTGGTTGCCCAATAAAATGCTTTGCCATCTTCTATTACTGTATTAAATCCTCTGACTATTTCTTCTATTGGTGTTTCACAATCATATTAGTGAGCATAAACTATATCTACATAATCTAATTATAAATTCTTTAAACTAGTATTAACAGCTTCAATAATATGTTTTCTATTCAAAGTGCACATTCTATTGATATTTAATCCTAATTCTTATTTATAATCAATACCTCCTGGTGTTTAATTACCAAATACTTTTGTAGTAATTACTAATTTCTCTCTTGGAATATTAAGAATTTTTATTGATCTTCCTAATTATTTTTCAGCTTCTCCATGTTAATAGCTAATAATAGTTAGGAATTAAGAACAATTCTGCAGTATCAAAAAAATTGATTCCAGCTTCGTATGCTCTCTTAATAATGGCTACATTGACTTCTTCATCTTCAGGTTGAAAATTGACCATGTTTCCAAATCCTAATTGTGAAACTAACAATCCTGTATTTCCTAAAAGATTATATTACATTAATATTATTTATATTTATTCATCATAGAATTATAATAATTATTAACACAATCATCATATAATATAATAACATATTAATGATATCTGATCCACAAATTCTCCAAAATACCAAAAAACTTTATTTCTTATACTCGCTCCAACCTTCCTTTTTACTTAATGAAAGTTCCTTTCTTAACATAAATGGAATAAACATAAAAATCCAAGACATAAATACAATACAATAACTTAAAGCATTATTTGTAATCATTGCAAATGAAAGATATATTAATATCTCTCCTGTATAATTTGGATTTCTATTTGTTTTGAATAATCCATCTTTTATTAACCCCTTTTTATATTTTAATGTATAATATTTTTAACAATCACTAGACATCATTAAAACAACTCCAAAAACATACAACATTACAATAATACATACAAAGTTAGCTTTAATTTAATTCTATCCATAACCTGTAACTTAAATCACTGGTAAAATCCAATATGCAATCAAAATTAAACTTCCTCCTATTGCTGATGGAATTGTTGTATATTTCTAAAAATTTTAATCAGGAAAAATCAAATCTTTACAAAGCCAAATTATACCATAACTTCCATGTAATGCTAACTAATTTCAATCGAATAATAATTAAATACATATAAATATGTTCCAAATTCAAAGTTTTAAATTTGATACATCAACAATATTATAAATGGTAATGTAAGTACTTTAAAAAAGTTAACAACCCATCTTATCTAAATTGGTTTTGATCCTCCCAAAAAATCATACATACAATAATCTAAGAAATTTACATATTGTAATAATAAATAATTATTCATATTAATAATGTCATCCTTATGAATCTGGATTTTCATAAGCGAATTCTGTTAGATTATCTAGATTTTCAACAACTCTTTTAAGTGCTGGATATTTATCTAAACTAACTAAGTACGAAACATCATCTCCTCTTAATGCTGGATATATAAATGCATCAGCTAATGTTACTTAATTTCCAAATGAATAATCTCCTCCATGTTTTTCTACTAATGTATTTAATGCTACAATAATTTATTATAATTAATTAACCTGTGAAACCTCGATCTAAAAATGGCTCAGAAATCTCTTATCTATTTATATCACTCACATAATTATGAACATATCTATATAATCTAGATGCATGATATGGATGAATTCCACTATTAACTGTTTCACACATTGATCTAATATTTATTTAATATCATTCATACCTCACAATAGCTTTCTCTATCGGAGATTTTGGAAGTAATTTAATCCTTGGAAACTCTTCTTCTAAATATTCTGCAATTGCCATACTCTCATGTAATAATTATCCATTAATCTCAAGTGTTGGAACTACCTATTAATATATTAATATCTTATTTACTTAAAATGGATTGATTTAAGAATACATATTCGCTAATTACTCGCCTTTAGGTAAATTTACAAAAAATTATTGAAAATGTAGTTACTTTAGTTTTAACATAATACTTGCTCTCCAAGGAGCTGAATAACCTCGATATGTATATAATCTTATTGCTAATCTTGAAGTTGACATTAAAATTAATATATATATATATTTTTTTATTTTTTATTTATACTTTACAATCATCAATTCTTTAATTGTTTGTCTCTTTATCAAAAGATATTTTAAATTCATTCTATTCAATAATATCTTAATTAATCTTAATCTCTCTTTCTATAGTTATTAATATTAATTATATTCATTTAATTTCAATATTTTTAATTTCTCAACCTTCTTTTCAAGCAATTTATCAACCCATCCATTTACTCTTTTTAATATATTAACTCAGAAATCATATAACTTTTAAGTAATTGTTTTTTTTCTCTTTCTACAATATTAATCCTTTTTGAAATTATTATTTCTTATTAGTTCTTTAATATTCTTATAAATTTTATCAATATTAATATTTCTTATGCATTTATTGTTTTATTTTTATGTAATAAAATTCTTTAATTTTGATATTCAATATTTACTATTTCAGATTTCCTTATAATTCCTATCTTATCCTCTTTCTATATCTTGATTTATTCTTAGAAGATTATTATTTAGACTGTCCTATATAGTTGATTATGACATTTTTAATCTATTTAGATTCGTTTTGATAATCAACAATCTGTAATAATAAAAATCTCAATTATATGGTAGATTTTAAATCTCTAAGCACCATTCAATAATAACTCTTTTATATTTATTTAAATATTAATCCTCACTTAAGGTTCTATCTCTATATATGTTGTTTATGCTTATGAAATAAATTCAATAAATTCAATAAATTCAATAAATTCACATTATTTTAATGATTAAATGATTTCATAATCCTCACCTCTCTCTTTATCCATTAAAATTTATAATCACATACATAATTTGCTCTACGCTATTATAAATAAATTATTCTATATTATCTTTATAGCCAAAACTATTTTATAATATTTAACTACTTTAATCATTATAAATTTCACTTCTTATCTGCTCATTTACTAAAACACATGAACCAAATTTTGAATAAATTCAATATCCTAATTGTTACTATCATTAAATTTCCTTTTCTTTAACCAACTTTTTTAATTACAATTTATATTTTATCTGAAAAAATTTTAATACGAATAATAAATGCCTTTTCTGGTTAAACCTTTTAAATTTATTAGAATATTTTTATTTGAAATTTATTCATAAAAATATTTTTAATTATTAATATCTTTCCCTTTCCATTGATTTTTTGAAAATTATAATTATTTTTTGAAATATAAAAAGAAACTATTATTTGAATTTAAATCATATAATTATTCATTTTAATAAGAAACAGGATATTTTTATTTTTAAAATTGTTGAAAATATATTTTTTTTTTAAATTTACTCATTCCTATAAAAAAAATGATTAATAATAATTTTATAATTTATCTAAGCAGGCAAATGAAAAGAATCAAGAGAAATGAAAACATTATAAGTAAAATAGGTATTTAATTTAACTATTAGCTATGATTTTATAAATAGATAATAAATATATCATGAATTTAAAATAGAAAATTATTTTCTTTTCTTTAAAAAGGATCTTCGAATAAAATAAATGATCAAAACTATACATATAACTGTCAAACATAAAATGCTAAATGCAAAAGTTCTTTCTGGACTCTTTTATGATATATTTTAAATTAAATGTAAGGTAATTTCTGCTTTAGATAAAGAGTTTTCTGCAATTAAAGTGCAATTCTCTGTTTAAGTTTGATTATTCAAAATTCTAATTCGATAATCAATTTATCCAATCATAAAAATATCAAAATCTAGTTCATAAAAAATATAGTGAGTAGTATTATACTGGTATATAGTATTGTAACAAAATTAATAGAAAAATATGTAATCATAAATCTCTTTTATTGGTCGAATATCATAAATATAACAACTATGTCCTTCATTTAAAATGAGATAGTTTACATCTATAAATTTTAAATTGCTAAAATCTCTTAATGGATTTCTAACAATTTTTTAATTTGTAAAATTAAATTCACCAGTAGTTAAATCAATCTAAATATTTTAAAGAGTAGAATAATTTTCAAGTATTATTAACACTTTGATTTTTAAAGTTTAAGTACTTATTGATGCATTGATAACAGAAATATTTTTATAAGTATATTAGTCTTTATTACGTTTGTCAAAATCCTCTAACAATGTATCCAAACTAAGAGTAAATTGTTTTATAATCAAAAAATCCAATTATTCAATTTTTATCAGACTAATAGAGAATAATGATTAAGAATATTAGAATTTAGATTCTAAGAGTAATTCATTTGAATTTTATATAAGTAATAAATTTTTAATTCCTTTTATATTTTATAATAGTAGCATATTGCCGTTTTCAATATAAAGATAATCATAATGTTATCCTTACTTAATTTAAAATAAATTATTCTATTTTGTAATTTCTAGATTTTAATTATAATTATTAATTATTAACTAATCTGAATCGTCTGTTATAGTAAGTTTTTCTTGATTTATTCTAAAAATTTAAGCCTTTACTTGATTCTCAATCTCAAAAAAGAATATAATCTATGACTAGTTTAAATAAAATGCATATAAAAAGATTCCATATTTTTCCTAAAATAGATCTTCTTCCTAATTTTTAATTTGGATTTTTAAAATCTGCATATAATCAGAAATTGACTAAATAGTAATTAAACAAATTTGAACATTGTATTACTCTACATTATAGATTACAGTTAATAATTCATTATTATTTTAATTATTTTACTATTGATACAAGAAAGGACCTTCCAAAAGTACATTTGAATTTCCTTCTAATTTTAAGATATCTATAGCCCCTTAAAAAAGATCATTGAGCTGAATTATTGTATTATTGTCAAGAATAATTGAAAATTCATTCTTAAGTGGAATTAATTTTTAACATTAAAAAAAAAATGAAATGTTTGAAGCAAATATGATTTATGTGTTGTCAATAAATTCATTTTTAATATAAAAGACTAACTTTTCATCTATTTTAAAATTTCTATTATATTGAAGAATAGGGTTAAGTTCAATAATTAGATGATCTAAGTTTAATATAGATATCTGATTGTTTATATCAAAATAAAACAGTTAATTTTAATTAATAAAGAATTGCTTCTAGCTCACTTTGATAGTTTACTTCAATTTAATTATATTTGTTTCTTAAAATGTAAATATATTTAAGAAAGTGCAGTTATCTTTAGTAATTGCAATAATAATTTAATTTTGAAATTCTTAATATATGATTGGGTATATAAATTATGAGTTTTATAAACAATGCTTGTTCCAGAGTGTTAAATCTGCTTAATCTAAAACAAACTAAACAAAGCAATTTTCGTTTTTATCTACAGCAACAATATGAAAGGCATTTAAAAAACTTGATATTTGTATAATTGATAGAATTTACTATTTTAGCTCAAAATGAAAAATTTAGTCTTATTTAAATACCATTAAATGTTTATAGTACTACAAAATGAAAATATTTTTACCTTTTTTACAATAAAAATTCTAAAGATTCTCTTCCTTATTCAAATTATTTAAATAAATATTTAGCAAGATTTAATTTAACAGAGAAGGCAATTAAACAGTTTGAATAAAATTTAAATCAAATAATTCAACTTTTTGTAGGGATTTTGTAATTATTAAAACATATTTTGAATTTTAGACAAATTCTTAAATATTACTATCTAGTTTATATTCTTGATATTTTGGCAAACCATTAAAAATTTAAACAATTTTCAAATGATCCACATAGTCATTAAGAAGCAAAATTTGTTATTTAAAATTAATTACCTTCTAATTTTAAATATAAATTTAAACCAATTTTTAATCATCGCAATATAAAATGTTTAGAAATTTTGCAGTTAAAAAAATTACACAAGCTTTATGATCAGAAAGATAATACAATAAATGAATATTTTGAAGATGTTATTTTGGTATCTGACAAAGTGATTCAAATTTTTCTTTATCATCAATATTCTTAACTAAATTTAAAATGTCAGATTCTATTACAACTTTGAAATTTTCAGGCAACTAAACACTTGGTTTTTTTATAAATATTTTATCGATTATTTCACATTTAATATTTATTTATAATGAATAATTATAAGTTTGAATTTATGTTGAATTTTTATTCATCTAAATCAATTAACATTAACTCGGAGATTCATCAATAAATTACCTATAATATGAAAAATATAATAGGAACTTTTTTGTAGGATTTATGATGTAATTATTAATTATTTTGTATTTATAAAACTTAAAGGTTTTGCTTTCGTAATCAATCTGATAAAAGAAGTTATTTATATAATAAAAATGTAAAGGAAATATTTTTAATTCAACTTTTTTTCTAAACTTTTTATTCAATATAATTAAAAGCCCTTCTTCATTTATTATAAATAATACATTTGAAACGAAATAAACATATTTTGGAATACCTTCCAACTCAAAATTAGTATTTTCATTTGTAATATAAATTTTATTATTTGATTAAGATTCTAGAAGATAATATTAAATTATGCAAAATCTATCAAATAAGACTTATTTAAAAAATTTCTTGGAACCAAAAAAGTTAATAGAAAGCGTGTTATTAGATTTATAAGAATATTGAAAGTACTTATAATTTCCAGATATTATAATTTTTTCTTAACAAATTTAAATATTTTCAACAAAATCAATGTCAAAATATGAATCATTTTCCAATGCAATATCGCTATTAAAAATTAAATTTAAGAAAGTATCTTTTTATATATAAATTGCCCATTAGACACAGTCATAAAATATTAACAAAAATGAATTGTCAAAATATTATTCATACTTAACTTGACAAAATTTGTATTAAGTTTTATCAAAATCAAAATCTTTGTTAGTGATAGTAATATTATTTAAATTTATTGAATATATATTTAGACGATTGAGTGAATTACAAATAATTAAAAGATCAAGCTAGTTAATCTGAAATAATTATTCACAATCTTCATCTTTTTCAGTTAATATAGATAATCGAAAGCTTTCAGAAAAAAATTATTATTATATTTCATGGTTTTGATTTGAAAGTTCTCTTTTTTCTTTTATAATTTTCTCTATGGAAATGCAAGATATAAAATACCCATCCATTTTATAAAGTGAACAAAGTTACTTTTCAAGATTTAAATTTTTGAATAGAAAAGGAACTATGATAGTAGAAATTATTTAAGCCTTATCATCAAATGAAAAATGATCTAATTCTTAAATTTAAGGATACAGTATTTAATCATCATTAATAGTTTCATTTTCATAATCATTTTCAATCATAAAGTAGTTATTAAAATTTGAGAAAACAATTTCATTTTGCTCAATAAATATTGTCTCACATTCTAATGAATCTTCTATAAAAAAAGTTAAAAGTAAAATGAATTAACCAAAATGGAAATTTTTGAGCAGCATATTTAATGTGGAATAAGAATTTGAATTATTTTTATCTAAATTAATAGAAAATTTATATTAGTTAATGTGCAAAAATATCTAATAAGGATTCGATATTTTTTTATTTAAATTAATTAATTAGAAAAATTAGTTTTCTTGATTTTGAAAAAGATGTGCTCTTAAATTTTTCTTGGTTAATTTTACTTATATAATTTGAATTATTATTTTAAAATAAAAAAAAAATGAATTAGTATTTTTGTTTTAATTAAAATATGTATTAAATCAACACAATTTTATAAAAAAAGGATTTCGTTATAGTTGATTTATATTATAAGGATTCTTGATATAAACATGAATTTTCAAATGAATACTAGCATAAAATTATATAATATAATATTAAATTAAAATTTAATCAAGAAAATGAAAAAGAATTGTTGATTTTATTAATTGAAAGGAGACGAATTAATCAATATTGCAGAAGTTGATATAGACTAATAAACAATAGTTATAGCTTTATTTAAGAAATGTTAAAAAAAGACTTTAAAATAAAGGGGAAATTAAATAAAAAGATAATATATTTGATGAAATTTTAATTTATTAGAATAAGGATTTATTAATTCAAAAAATATATGTATATGATAAATAATTATTATTTCAAATTTTTTACAATAACACTTATGTCTAATATATATTTTATAAAGTAAAGCAGTCTTAAATTTTATGATTAATAGGAATTCTTGCGTCATTAAATCTGTATTTAATCATCATAGAGATGCCAATTATGAATTTTATGTATTTTATATTAAAACTAATTTGAAAAATCTTATGTTTTAATTTAATCAATTAATATTTAAATTGCTTATTAGTTTAATATAATTTATAAATAATGAATTACATAACTATTAAAATTAAATAAAAATGCAACAGTCTTATATAAAATTAAATTTATTATCATAAAAAATAAGAAAGAATATTAAATTTTAGATAGGATAATAGATGTGTCAATTCTAATTCATAGGTAAGTATTCCTAATATTTTCATTATCAGATATATAATAGAATCCAATTTAATAAAGAAATAATTAATATTTTGTTATAACTATACTCTGTCTAACTTCATATATTATTCTCATTCTCAAATTGCTACTACTCTTTTCGTAAATTTTCTTTCCTTGTTTTTTGAATTTTATAAATATTATAGTATTTTCAATCATCTGAGTTCATTTATTATCAATTTTTATGAATAATTATCTATAACAATAAGATAAATATTTCAATACAATGTAAATATAAAATAACATTAAATGATAACTTTATTTATTCTATTCTTAAAGAAAGACTTATTTTATTTTTATGATATTTGTATTTATACAATGTTATTTAAATATCATCAACTTTAATAAGTTAATCTTGAATGAATTTGATTTTTCTGCAATTACTATAATTTTATTGTCAATCTATCGATTTCGTTGATATATGATAAAGACAATGGTTCTTGTCCTCTAACTTTTTACAACAATTTTTCCATCTCATTAGCTCTCTTTTTAAATATTTAATTATCTTCTTTATTTTTTTTTTCATTCTCTTGTAAATCACACAATTCTTCTTAACACTTTCTTATTTATGATTAAACTTAGTAAACATTTTCTTAGTATTTAATCAATTGTTAATTTTATTCTTCTATTTTAACATTTAATTATTAAAGCTAATAATATTCATCTTCATCATTCCAATCTTATATATTACTTCTCTTTAGCTTCTCTTATTATAATTATGAAATTTATGACTATTAAAATAATACTGTCTTTTCAAGATTAGATATTTTAGTATCTAATTCTGGATCATATTATTATTTTAATAGTAACCATTTCTCTCTTAGTTCTTTATTTTCATTTGAAGCTAATTAAATAGTTAATTATAATTATCTAATTGTTTATATCTAATTATCCATTATATAATATAAATAAATGCTTTTATTAAATAAATTTTGTAAAGAGAAATTGTGAATAAAATTTATTTAGAACTTTTTTTTTAAAAAATTTAATCTTTAGATACTGCAAACATCAAAATACATATATATTGATATCTTTTAGCTACATTAATGGTTTTAATTTGTGTATAATTTATATATTAACAATAAATATTATCAAAATATATTAAAATGAAATTAAGAGGAGGAGGATGTGGATCTTCAAAAATTATAAATCCTACAAAAATATAAGTCTAAAATACAAAAACAACACCAGGATTGACATCTTAAATAAAGTTTCATTGTGATAGAATCTCAAGATCATCAGTGACAGTTTTAGATTAAGAAAACAATCTAATGAATAGTTTTCAATTCTTTTAATTGAATCAAAGATAAATATGGAGTTTAGTATGTAATATTGAATTAAACTAATAATCATTTGAACTTGTTTCATAGAGTTTAGATACACTAATATAAACATTGTAAAATATTGTAAAATAAAATGTCGGATATTCTTTATATGTTTTTTAGATCATGACATAATTATCTTGGATATTGTTTTCATTTTATATTAGTAATTCAGAAAGATATTTAGACATTAATAAATAATAAGTAATGTTAAGAGAAATGGCCTTAATAAGAGAATAATTAAAAATTGAAACAAGAAATGACAAATTATTTAATAATTTATACTTTGAATTCTTTATTATTAAATCTATAATTACAATTCAACCTACAAATTCAAAGGAAGCTGAGGAAATATTAATATAATTTTTAGGTGGAGCACTTAAATCATTAGTCACATTTACAATTAATGATGATCTAATATAAAGTCTTAAAAAGAGTGCTATTTACATTTATTAAGAAGGAGTTAAATATAGTAGAAAGAGAAAATTAGAAATCATATTTTCACTTTAGTAATTAAAATTTTATATCATGGATGAATTAGAGAATGGAAAAGATGCTAAACAATTAGCAACCATTCTAAGTAAAATGTATTGTGAAATCATTCGAGAATCCACTGATTGGGAAATTTGGTGCAGTTGGATTTAGATATTATCTTCTTTATTTCAATTCAAATTAACTGTTGAAGAATTGAAAATTGAATCTTAACTTACTTAATATTTATAAGGAAAAGAATATACAATTCCTAATTTTGATAGTAAATGTTATATTATTATTGACTATTTCTAAATTTAAAATGATGAAATATTAAAATTAATATTCGAAAGTAGTTAATCATTGTAAGAATTATCAAAATTTTAATCCTATATTTTAAATGAACATGGATTATTATCCAGTTATGAATAATAATATTTTAATAAACTATCTGTTGTTTAAGCAACTAATTCTACTTTTAAAAATTATACTTTTAGTTAATCATAAATTTCTTAATTAATTAATTCTGTTAGTGCAATCTAATAAGGATAATAATAATTGATAGAATTATTTAAATAATTAATTTCTAATAATGATTAATAAAAAATTAAAGAAGCTGAAGAAATGCTCTAAGATTTAATCTCTAAAATTATTTAATTAAAAAGTGATATAGAACATCTTGAAATTATTTATTAATCTCTTAAAAATCAAATCGATAAAAACTTCACTCATTATTAATTTCCTGAGACAGATAAAATTTTAGTCTAGTATCTATAGAAATTCTTAAATTGTTAATTTTAAAGTTAATAAATTTAAATAATTGATTTTGATTCCATATTCTAAATTAATCAAGTATCTTAATTATTAGATCATTTTTCATAAGATGATATAAATCATGAACTAAGATAACAAATAATTTAAAAGACAATTGATCAATCTTAAATTGAAAAATTGATTGTTTCATTAAAAATGAAAAAAGAAAAAGCAATAAACAAAAATAATGATGAAAATAAGTGGTTCTCTGGATTTTATAAATCTTTGGAATTAACCGAAAAAACAAAATGTTTTATTAATTGGAATTTATAAATCTAAGTTATCTTGTCAATCAGATTGAAAATGATTAATTCATTTAAAGAGGATGATAAATTATAGAGTTTAAAATAAGATATCATTTAATAATCCATGTTAATAACCTCATATGATCCTTTGTAATCATCATTATAATTTATGTATAATTAATACTTAAAATGCTAAAGTAGTAAATTTCTTTAAAAAATTCCTTTTGATTAATCACATTAATTTGCAAAAATTTTAAAAGCTATAACTATTGAAAAATTTATATCAATTAATTAGATTTTAGGAATTTTAACAAAATATTTATTTAAAGAAACTCAACTAAGAAATGATATAAGTATTGACTAAGAAATTTGTAGAATAGTACAAGAAGAATTAAATGATAACATAAATTACTTAAATTAAGTTTGTAATGGAATTAAAATGATAACTGATTTCTTAAGAAGTTAAATGGAAAATAATTTAGAATAAAAAGATGATCTTATTATTTTAAAAGATTAATCCATATTTCATGAAATATATCCAAATTTTAACACTGACTCATTAACTCAATCATAAATTATATTAAGTTTGTAAAAACTATCCATCTATTAAGATGAATTTTTAAAATCATTTGAAACTATGAGAGAGTACATAAAAAATGAAGATAATGAATTTTATTAATATTTAGAAAATAAGAAAATTTCTATTTCAAACATAATTGAATTAATTGATATAGTGAAATTAATGTAAATAACAAATGAAAAAGATAAATAAATAGCATTATTTATTTGTGACGATATTCAAAAATAACTAAACGAATGTTGTAAATTAGTTAGAGGGACATCTGTAAAAATTGAATAGAAATAATTTGATTGGAATGATGAAATAAAATTTTATGAGTCTTTAATTGATGAAATAAAATAAATTAAAACTAGATAATAAGAGTAAATACAATAATTTTAAAATATTTTGATTAATTCTGAAAAGGTATAATCTTAGATTTTAAACTACACTACTTTATTAAAATTAGCTACAAAAAAACCTTAATTTTTGTATTAGTCTTAAGAATCTTATAAACTATTGTAAGATACAATGAATGATTATTGTAGCTAATCTATAGACATTAATATAGACTATTAATACATTTAATAAATGATATCAATTAAAGAATTTTATTAATATCCTTTTGATTTAGAACCATAAATATATTTTATATTAAACTAGATAGAAAGTAAGGATGATTAGAAGAAAAAAAATGATTACTATGATTTGATTTAGCAAGGAATTAATGATTTATTATCAAATAATTAATGGAGAATTAGACAATTTATAGTTTATGAATTGATTTAGATGAGAAGAAGTTGTCTGTAATAAAATGCTTTGACACTCAATTCTGGATTATATATAAGATTTTAAGTTTATGAAACTGATAAGAGAATTAAATAATTGTTTGATGATAAATCGATATAATTATCTAATTAATTGATGAGTAAATATTGGCCAAGTTAAGAAATAATTATTTAGAATAAATTAAAAGACAAATTAAAAGACTTAAATGAAATAGCTTAATAAATATCAATTGAAACATCAGAAAATTATAAATAGTAATTAAGAAAGGAATATTCTAAGTTAGAAAAAGAAATTTAATAGATGTTTGAAAATGTTACTTAAATTTCTAATACACTTGGAATAACAATAATATTTCTTTAGGATTTAAAGTAGGACTTATTAAGAATAGAAAATTCAATTATACAAATGTAAGAGACATTAGATATCATGAGCAAAGATATTAAATATTTAAAAGGTAGAACAATAATTGAATTATTAGAATTAAGAATGAAAAAAATTTTATAATAAAGATTGATTTTCAATTCAGATAATATTTATATTCCAATAAAAACAAAAGAAAAATTAAATGATTCTAAATTTTCTAATGAAAAAACAAATTTATTTACAGATGATATTTTTGGTGATGGTGAGATTAATGAGTTTATTTGGAAATCATCAAAAGATAGTTTTTTAATTCATGGTTAAGCAGGATCAGGAAAGAGTACTGCAGCAAGAAAAATAGAAGAATTTCTTTGGATGTTTTATTAAAAGAACAAAAAAAGTGATTATATACCATTAATTCCAATATTTGTATCTTTACCATAATTAAGAGATCCTGTATATAATTGTATTGAAGAAACTTTAAAATCTGATAATTATAGATTTAATGATAGATAGATTTAAGATTTTTAAGAAGCTGTTGAAAAACGTAAATTTAAATTAGTTATAATAATGGACAGTTATGATGAATTGAAGACAGATTATGTTGGTTTAAATTTGAATATTTCAAATAAATTATCAAAATGGAAATGTTAAACAGATAAAAATAAATTTCCTAAAATTATAACAACTTGTAGAACAGAATTATTTAATATTGCAGGTTATAATACATGGTTTTTATCTGAATCTAATAATCCTTAATTTTACAAAGAAGTTAAATTATTGAAATTTAATACCGAATAATAAAAATTGTATATAGATCAATATACATTGCTTTGTATTAAGAGAGATATTAGGGAATTTTATTTTAATAATAATAATACTTAAGATTATTCTGAATATGAAACATATTTTATGGATTTATTGAAATCATTGAATTTAGGAAGAATAAAATCTGAAAATATGTATATGCTTAATTCTAAAGTAATTCAGTAAATTCTATTTAAATGTTCAAATTTTGTTTCAAAAGATATGTAAAAAATCTTATAGTAATTACTTTAGGAAATATGGTCAAGTGCATAATATTAAAAAATCATCTAAATTATGAAATTAGATAAAGTTATAGAGACACCATTTATGGCAGAAATAGTGATGGCTGTATTGCCTTATATTGTGAGATAGAGATCAGAAATTACAAATGTAAAGAATAGATTTATAAAAAAATATATATATTTTGCAAGAAATGAACAATAATTGTTAAAAGTAAATTAATTAGAGAAATAAGCATTAGATGAATGGTAAACTATATTAAATAATTAAATTTTTATGAGTGAATATTTGCAAGAATATTCTGAAATTCAAGTTGAGAAGTTGATTACAAAGTATTTTTCGAATAATTAGAAATTTTAAATAATTAAAAATTCATTAATTTTAGAACCATTATCAACATATGATTTTTATAGTTAATTTCTTGAACATTATTTTAAGAGATAGATTTATAAATTAAGGGAAGCAGGAGAATCAATAGATTATGAATAGATTGGAAATGAATTATGGAGATTTACTCATCATTTAGCAAATTAAATGACATTTAGAAATATGACATAAGTTTATTTTTAACCAAGTGGTTTAATTTTTAAGAAATTAGAACCTGATTGGAAAGATGAATTTTTTAATGATTAATGTGAAGAAGGTGTTTATAAAAGATTATTTAGAAAGTGTATGCCAATAAAATAAAAAAATAGTATTTATTCATTTAATCATAAATCAATATAAGAATTTTTAGTAGCTAAATGGTTTATTGAATATTTATCTAATATTAAGTTTCCTATTGATGAAATGATTAGAAAGTAATTACAATTATATGAATTTTTTAATATGAGTTGGGATTATGAATATTTAAAAGGTTCAATTAATTTTATTTCAGATAAATTAAGATATAATGAAGAATAAAAATAACAACTTTTATGTTTAATTTATTTAACTAGATCAGATGATAATTTTATTACAGCAGGTTCAAATAGTATGTTATTATTAAATGAAATGGATCATTAATTTATTGATATGGACTTTAGTAATATTAAATTGTCTTAAATTACATTAAGTGGAGCAAACTTCTTTAATTGTGATTTTTCTAATTCAATTTTTACTGGAGTCAAATTATCATCTGTTAATCTCAATTTATCAAGAATAGTAAATGTATAATGGACTGATATATCTTTAAATTAATTACCATAAATAAAAACAAATTTAGAAAATGTTCGAAGTTTAACTTATATTGATAAAGAGAAATTGTTAATTGCAATTGATGATTAAAAACCAGAGATGAGATAATATGATATTTTTAAAATATAGGAGATTAATAAAATTAATATAAAAATGATTCCTAAAAAAGTAATTTTATCAAATAGTTAAAGAATTTTAGCTTTATATAATGAAAGTGAAATTTTATTGTATGATCTTTATGATATGAAAATGATTTAATTGATTAATTATGGATAAAGTTTTGATAAAGAGAGGACTTGTTGTGTTTTTGGATATGATGATAAATCATTATTCTTTGGTGGATATGATGGGGTTCATGAATTAAAAATTACAATTGAATTAGTAGAAAGAAAAGCAGCAAAAAAAATTACAGATAAAGAAAAGAAAAAAGGAAAATTATAAAATTTAAAAGTAGATTCTGAAGATAAAATTGAAATCATTTAATAATAAAAAGATTTAATTGTTTCTAGTAATTAATTTACATAAATAATAAATGAATAAGTTTTAGATCTTAAATGTTGTAAGGTTTTAATAATGTAAAAATAATATAAAACAATATGTTTATATAATTAACAAGCTTAATGGATGAAATAAGTTGAAACTAAATTTGAAAGGGTTAATTGTATAGATAGTAATTTAGAATTGAATCTCTTAGCAATAGGAAGTCGTAAGGGTGAAATAAATCTTTATGATTTATCAAAAATAGGTTAACCTGTTAGTTTAAGTGGACATTAGAAAGCAATATCATAATTAAGATTTTCAATAGATGGTAAGATTTTAGTATCATCTTCATTTGATCAATCAATAATATTATGGAGTACATAATAATTATCATAAATTAATTAAGCTAATTTCACAGCATTTATTAAAATCTATTCATTAACTTTAATAGCAAATACATATTTAGCTGTAACTGGATAAAATTAAGGTTTAATCTAAATTTGGGATCTAAATAGTTAAGATACATCTATTATTAATCCATCAGGTCATACAAATATAATATAATGTTGCATTTTTTCATTTGATGGTACTTGGTTAATATCGGGATCAAATGATTTATTAATCAAAATTTGGAATACATCAACTGGATAATAGATAGGTTAAAACCTTGAAAAACATCAATTACCTATAAAAAGTTTAGCTATTTCATAAGATTCAAATATTTTATGTTCTGGAGGTGAAGATGGATTCTTGTATATTTGGGATTTACAAACATTTTAAATTAAATAAGAAATAAATCATTATTTTTCTCAGATTATAAATGTTTCTATTTTTTATTCAGAAGACTAATACAAAATAATAACATTAACTGAAGAAAAATTACTTCATCTTTAAAATCTAAATAATTTATAAGAATTTATATTAATATATGATTATAAGGATGAAAATAAAAGAATTATTCCTAATATCGAAACAAGGAGATTATTAGATTTATGTCGAGATCAATAAGAAGTGAAATCATTAGAATCTTATAATATAAGCAATTATATAAAAATATAAAATCAGTATATTACAGCTTTAGCTATTAGTAATAATGGATTAAAGAAATTAATTGGTACAAGTGAAGGATATTTATTAGTCATGGAACACAAGGAAATGATATTTAAGAGTTAAGCTCATAAAAAAAGTAAGATTGATATCATATATGTATTAAATGATAAATTATTTATTACTTCAGGATAGAATTTAATTATCTTTTGGAATATCGATGATTTTACTTAGTATTCTAATTATTAAAGCAAATTCACTAAAATTAATGACTGTTTTGTTCAGAATGATAACTTTTATATCTCTATTGATTTTACAATTAGAATATGGAATATAAGTTAGAAATCCACCATAAAAGTAATAAAGGAAAAAAAGAAAGATCATATATATTCTATTTGTATGAAAAATAATAATATTATATATGCAGGTACTTAGAATGGAAATTTACTCATTATAGATCTCTAAAAATCAGATCAATATTAAGTAATATCTGAAATTCATCATGGTAAAATCACAAAAATTGCTTGGATAACTAATTTAAATTAATTTATTACAGCAGGATTAGATGGATTATTAAAATTATGGAAGGATGATAAACCTATTAAAATTATAGATACTGGTTTTACTATAAATTCATTTTATCTATCAAATGATCAAAATTATTTTATTTTACATACTTTTGAAGGTTTAAGTATATGGACATCTGAAGATCTTATTTTATCTGAAAAAATTGTCAATTTAAATGATAATTAATCTATTTTAGTTTTATTTAACTAAAGGAGAATTATTTGGTCTAAAGATGATCAATTATATTACATTCCAATACTACAAAAAAAGATTAAATATTCATTTGCTTAATAATCAAATAATCATTTTCCTAATACATTTCTTATAAATGAAAATGACATCATATATTCAGGAGACAATAATGGCAAACTTGGATTTTGGAATTATAAAGGGGAAAAAATTAAGGATTTTCTAAATTAACATGAATCCAATATTATTTGTTTAAGTTAATCTAATGATAAATCAAAATTAGTTGTTGCTTTTAAAGAATTAATTTAAGTTATTTCTATTGAAACTTTATAAGTAATCTACGAGTAAGATTTTAAAGAATATTCTATAAATAGTATTAATTATTTAAATGAAAAAACATTGTTGATAACAACTAAGTCAAAAGATAAATAAGTAATATTTTTTGATGAATAAGATAAATCTATTCTTATCTAGAATGAACATGATGAAGAATTGAGAGGTGCTGCAGTTAATTAAAAAACAAATAGCTATCTTACATACAGTGATGATAAATCAATTAGATATTATCAGAAATAAAATTCAACTTATTGTATGAAATTTTCAATGTCACAATTATTAAAATTTGAATCATAGGATACAGTTGTTGAAAATAGCACCATAATATCCAAAAGTGGAATAGATTTATTATCGCTTTTTAAAAATTAAAGAATTGCTATTCAATGATATTTGATAAAATGAATTTTATTAACATAAAATATTAAAAGAATATAATCTTATAGATTATATTAATAATTCATCCATTTGGATTCTATTTATATCTCAAATTATTCTAAAATATTTCCAATAAAACATCCTTTGGCACCAATTGTTTTAGGTATGAATTGTGATTTATATCATAACAATTATTTTTTGATATTAAATTACAAACTTCATTCTATTAAGTTAAATGCTGTTTGACTTAAGGTATTAAATTGGTATTAATGTAAATAACAAATTATGCATTTTTATTGGAATCAATTAAAACTTCTTCATCATCAATAATAACTTAATTTTAGTTATTTGTAAATTTTAACCAATTTTTATCTTTATAATTTTAGATGTACAGACTTATTGCTTTACTGCCCTAAGAACCTTTTTGTAAACCAATTGAATAAATTACATATACTTATGATTAGTTGTCTTAATAATTTTTTTCTTTTTATAAATTACCTTACCCAACATTATATATTCTCTATAAAGTATTTAGCTTTGATTTAAAAATTTTTATAATATCTTAGGATTATTATTGATTTTCATCTTCTTAAAAAATTTCTATTACTTTTTCTATGTTTTTGAAATCCTATTATATGATTTCCAAATCATTATAAGTAATCTACAAATTTTATTAATTCATTCCTTTTCCGTTATAATCCTTTTTCAAAAATTCAATCTCTAATTTTTAGTTAATATTGAAAATTTTTTAATCTCCTAATAGAATAATATTTTATTTTACCATTTTTTCTTTTTATTTAAATACATAAAAATTAAGGAAAGCTAATAACTTTTTATTAGTATTTTTCATTTAAAAAACTTAAAACACTATTTTGTTCCATATCTGTACTTAATAAGAATGTACTTCCATAATCTTAGATCCCTTAAAATTTGAAATTAAATAGTGAATTGAATTCCTTAATCATAAAATTCTCATTTTTCTCTTATCCTTATTTCATTTATTATCCAAGACAAAAATCTATTTTAATTAAAAGAAAGAAAAATATTTCAGAAGGATCTTATGATTTCTCAAGAAATTCTATATCCTTAGCACCCCAAAAAGAAGACTGTAATATTTGTTTTTAACTAACAAAACTTTAATTAGAGGCAGTTAATTCTGTTAATAGCAGTTAGATTAACTTTAAAAATTTTCCAGTTTCCTATATAATATATATTAATAGATTTTACTTATGAATTACATTGAACTTTTAAAATTTATTCATAAAGCTAAGGTATTTAATGAAATAATTAAAAAATAATGTCCAAAATATTATCATTTTCATTATTTTCAATCGCCACATAACTATTTGGTTTTCTTGGTTTTTTAGCTTATAATAAATCAGTCATTTATTTTGAAACATGTTTTTCTAATTTAGATTTTTCAAGGAAATCATTATCATTATCTATACATTGTTTTTAATTATTAGACTTTTAATTATTCTGTTTATCAATATTTTCATCTGAAAAAATAATATCGAAAATTTTTTTATCATCATAACCAGATTTTACCCAAGCTTAGTTAATTTTTTCCTTGTCAATATTTGCCTCAAGTAACCAATTAAGAATATTAGCTGGCATGTCTCTAACTTAACTCATATTAGATTATTAATAAAATATTAATTGTATAATTATAATTAGAAAAGCAAAAATAAATTTAGATTTAAACTACAGCTATTTTTTTCCTAATGCTTAGATTAAAATCAAAACTGAAAAAAATCAAATATTTTATCAATAAACAAAATTTCATTATAAGATTTTAGATTTAAATCTACAACTTTTTGATTTATGTTAATATGAATTTGTTTTATAAAATGATCATTCATCAATTTCTAAAGAATTTTAATAATCCTAAACTAATTAATTTTAAATTTCTTACTATTTTAGCTTCTAACGACGATATAAATAATATGAACCTAACAATATTCCAGATGATGTTATCAATACACCATTATTTGATAAAAATGTTATTTTTTTAATTATTAATCTTATTTATTCCTTAGATACCTAATTTGAAGCCTTTATTATACAAGTCTCATAATCATCCAATTCTTATAATTTTTGAAGTTAAAAACCAATCTCTCCTATAAATAATTGATCAATCTAATTAAAATAAAATAAGTAATGTGTAGTATTTAATGGATAGAAGTTTAACAAATTATTGTCAAACATAAATATATAATCATAAAATGGCTTAATTTATTTAATGTAATATAAATAGGATGTATTATCTTTAGAATTTATTAAAATTAGAATGTTTTCATCAAAATATTTAAAATTTAATAATTCTTATGATTTTGGATTTCTAAATACCTATTCAACTGTATAGATTATTTCACCATTCTTTTAATTGATTTAAATTTTGCTAATTACTGAAAAACTTAAAGTAATTTATAGAACCTTAATTTCTATTCTATTTTCATCTAAAAATGATTCAAACAATTAATTTTAAAAATATTGTTTCAATTAATATATGTCTATGTTAATATGAGGAGAAAGAGTCTTTTCAATCAATTGGTAATTTATTTTATAAGAATCTACGATTAAAAATTCTATCATTTTTAATTGAAAAACATTTATTAAAAAATAGGATTCATCTATTTTTTTAATTATTTTCATCTCAATATATTGATTAGGTGAATTCTCAATAAAAAGTATATTAGAAAAATAAATTTCTAAGTCTATTTCAATTATATTAGTTTAATTAATTTTTAATATTCTTTCTAAAGAACCATATTTTATAAACATTAATGTCCCAGTTTGTTAAAATTATACTCTGTTAAAATCTTTCACCTATAGTCCTTATAACTTTATTGGTTCAAACTATTGTGATAATTAATCTATATTATAGTTAATTACACTTGCAAACACTGAATTCTCTTTTTCATACAAAACTAATACTAAATTACGCTTATAAAAGTAAGCATCTTTAATGTTAATTTTATTTTCCTTTAAGTTTTTTTATAAATAAAATGGTAGAAGTTTTAATTTATTATAATGTCTTAAATTATAAAATAGTGTTAATTCTGCGTTATTCTAATATAATTCATACTATATAACTTTATAGCAAACTGTTAGTTAATTTTAACAATCTTCAATTTTTTGCTAATTTATAAATGGACCAATTAATTTTAATTTAGAATTATTTTCTAAAACTAATTAATCGATAGGACCAGAAAACAGATCAATATTTTCAATTCTTATCTGTTCTGAATCTTCAACATAAATTGTATGTTCTGTTAAAGATGAATACAAGTTTCTGCAATAATTTATAACTTTTAAATCCAAATATAACTAATCTTGTTAGTTTGCTTCGAATTCATGTTTTAATTATATTGGTATTGTTTCATATAAAACTATTTATTTTTAATTTTCAGCAGGATTTAGGTATTAAATTTATAATTTATCTATATCCAAAATCCTTATATTTAAATCATCGTCGTAATAAATTATAAAATCATTCTGTAAATAAAAATCTAATTTACTTATTTTTAATATTTACAATAATTTAAGAGGTTATTATATCTAAAACACAAATAAATAATTTAAATCTAATTATTTAAGAGCGATGATTAAGTTTTCTTTATTAATCTAGTATAAAATAGGTCTAATAATATCATAATTCTCTATTTCATAATTTTCTAATAATTTTAATCTATTGTCTAAAATATATTATTTAATGATGTTTTTTTTATTATGAACTGCTATTAAACTATATTTATTCTGGATAGATTAAGAATCGAGAATAAATTTCGATTTGCCAGCATAAACTATAGTAATATCATTTACTTTATATAAAGTAATTAAATCACTAAGTTATATTACCAGATATTGATTCAGTTAATAAATATCGAAATATTTAAATTTAGCAATAAAAAATTAGAGTTTCTTTTTTTTTGAAGATTATGTAACAACCCATATTAGAATATCTTTAAATTATTTTGGAATATTCAACTTTCTTTTTTGTAATAAATCTATAAGAGTCATCTCCTATTAATCTTATGTAACTAGTATAATAAACTATTAATATTAAAGTTTTTATAAAATATTAGATTAAATTAGAAATTCTTCCTATTATTAATTGTTTCCTATTTAAAATAAAATTGCTTTGGCCAATTATGGCTTTTCTTTTATCATAAAGATGATGTTTTAATAATTTAATACTTGATAATTTTTAATTTCTTTTGAAACTGAACTTTAATTATTGCAAAAATAAACTGAAAGCATATCATCTGATAACAAAACACCTTAATTTTCTAATATATTAAATTAAAAATATATTAATTATTTTCCTTTTAAGTTTTCCTCAATTATAGGACAATAATCTTTTAAATATACATTACCTAAAATATAAGTTATTCTATTTTCATATTCTCCAAAAATTTCAAAATCTTAATGTATTGGAAAGTTATATTCTTCTTTTTTTACTAAAATTTCCTCCTTTTCCTAACAATTATTTTTAAATTCATGTTTTATAGAATTAGGTTTTGGAAATTAAGTCTCTTAAATTTCAAAACATTAAAGTTCACTCTTTTAAAAAGGATTATTTGATATTTCATATATAAATTTTTTTGTAGGTTTTAAATAGTTGACAAAAACATTTATTTTGAAAAACCTAATTTATTAATTTTATAAATCAATTATATAAAATAAATTATACGTTTGTATTATATTAAAATTGCAAGAAAAACATTTTATTTCTATTATTTATTCATCAAACCAACCAATTTATAATTTTTCTTAGGAAAATAAAAATAAAGAGTGAAAAGCCTAAAGAATATCGATAGTCTTTTAATCAATAACTTTTTCAAATTAATTATCTCCTTTAACTATTTTTATGGTATTTATTTTAGCTTTTCCGAAGTAGTATTAGAAGTTACATGTGTTTGTAAATACAATCTTTTCTATAAAAAAATTTTCTACTTTTACATTAGCATAAAAAATTAGAGATTCTGCTAGAGTAAAGACAGTATATTAATCCTTTTCAATTAAAACTACTAAGTTTTAGCAAAATTAAATGTTTATTAGACTACTGATTTTATCATACTTTAAATCTTAGAATATTTAAGGATTAGCTAAAATATTGATTTTATTATCTTGAAATTTAAGAATTGACCAATTTTCACAATTAAAAAATGATATAAGGTAGTATCCTTTATCATTTTTTTCAATAGTTTATTTTAGACACTCAAAATTATCATACTTATAAGACAAAGCTTGTTTAGTTTGATTAAAAAAATCTACAGAATAAATGGAGAAATGTTAATATTTACGGCAGAATATTAAAAATTCTAAGGTTCCCTCTAAATAAAATTAATGACATGTTTCATCTGGTGATACTTCAACTAATAATGTTAAACGTTCCTTATTATAATAATTAGCATTTCCTTCTTCATCAATAAAGATTATGTCTATACATGAAATGTAATATATATTTTTATTTTCATGAATAAATTAACATAACCATTTTTCTGATAAAAATTCGGTAGAAATTGATTCAATAAATATAGTTTACACTATTTTAGCATTATATATTGGAATCTAAAATTAGGGTTCAATTTAATCATTTAAAAAATTGAATTAATCATAAGAATCTTTTTCAATCAATCTACTTTCTGTATTGTTTGAGACATAAATCTAATTAGATGGCAGCGATAATATCTAGCATTAAGATAATACTGATTTTAAATAGAGTGCAAGCAATACAATTCTTATTAAAATAGTATTATTATGTTCTAACATGGATTGATTATAATTTAATTATCTTAAATATATATAAATTATCATTTAATAATAACACTTTTAAAATTAATAAAAAATAACCTAAAAATGTATAATTTTTCTTTATTTTTTTTTAGATAATACTTAAAAATCTAATTATAATGATGAATATAATTTAAATTCTTGAAATTTAGTGAAATAAGAATTATTTTTAGATTGATAAATAATGATTAAATAATAAAAGGGAGAGATAGTTTTAATATGATAATTTTCTAGAGTTAATAAAGTAGTTTTAGTTAATAATATTATATGTATTAGCTTCAAAAAAGTTTAAGGATTAATTATTAATTAAATGTAAAAATAATGTTATTGTGAATAACATAACATCTTAGATAGTTTTATCTGTAATGTTTGTTAGAAGAATCATCATTGGCAATGTTATGATTATCAAATCACTGATAAATAACCATAACAACTTCGATGTTTGTAATGTTCTTTAAGTGCAAATAATCCTTTAATGTAATTTGAAGTAAATTTTTACTAAGAATAAAAGGGATTCATAAAGCTAAACAATAAATTTAATGTTGCTATGATTAAGAAACCAACATAATTTTTAGAAAAGGCATTCTCTTTTGAAGTGAATCAGTATTATGAAGAACTTAAGAAAAAATAGATAATCCTTGCAATATTTTGTACAAAAACAAAAGAACCAAAAAAACTATTTGAGTGGCCTAGCAAAAATGTTTATGTTGAATTAAACAACTAACATCACATATCATATCATATAAACGATTATGGATATATGTTTATCTAATTTTATATATTATAATTTTAGACCATCAACTTGTATATAATGGGGAGCGAATACATTAAAAATAAAATTAGGAGAAGATATAGAATGCAATTCTCTATTTGGCATTGCAATAGTAAAAAATATAAAAATAACTGAATTAAAGAGTAAATTATTAGATTTGGGAAGAGAAAAAATAATAGATGCCATAATTACTTAATAAAAATAATAGTATTAAGATAAGATTAAATCTTTAGCAAGTAATTTTTATTAATATAAATTTAGTGGTTGATGATACTTTATAGGATACATTATTTACAGTGAAATTAATTGATGGAATTACTATGTAATAATTAGAAGTTCCAGTTAGAGGGAAATAGTGTTAACATTTTGATTGTTTTGAATTAAATGCTTATTTGACAATAAATGAAAAACCAAATGAAAATAGATGGAAATGTCCTATTTGTAATCAACTTGTACCATACGATTAATTACAAGTTGATTATGTATTAATTGATATTTTACATGAAATTAAATGTGACCATCCAAAAATATTTCATAAATTACAAAGAGTCTAACTTAATTAATATTTAGAGTATAAGATTGATGATAAATATACAGAAGAGGAATCTTAAATAAAGAAGAAATTGATGAATTCTTAAAATTTATCATAAACTGTTAAAATAAATAATGATATTTTGGAAAAAGCTTCAGATTCAGTAGTTAAATTTATACAGGAATTTTAAAGGAAAGATAATTATTAAAGTTCTCTTATAACATTTAAATCTGCTAGAAAATTATTAAAGAAATTTCATAAAAAAGAATTGTTTAAAAATTTAGAAACTAATTAAATATAATTGTGTAAGTTTTTTATAAATATGTTCGATTTATCAAACTATTATAAAAATTTTATTTTTGATGAAGAAATAGAATAAGAATACTTTGAATCATTATAAGATTTTGAATTGATTTGCAAAAGTATTTATTCATAAAGTGTGAGTGGTTTATTCATTTATTATATAAAGTTATTTCATCCAACAGTTTAAAGAATGACTCAATCTATGGCTATATTATGTACATAATTGAATATTAAACCTGTTTTAATTCATTAAAAAAAGATGCTTGAATTAATTTTAGCAAGTGCTTATGATAAATAATAAAAAACATCATTAGGATACAATTTTAAATAAATATGTTGTATGAGTAAAATGAAAAGAGATGAATATTATAATAACATTATTTATTTATCTTAAAAGATAAGTTATGTGTTTTATAATACTGAAGCTAGTAGTTTTTTTATTGTGAGAAATTGTATTAATTTAAGCAACATTTTTGATTTATATTATTTTTAAGAAAAAGGAAAGATAGATGATCAATTGGATGATTTTTAATTGATGATCAAATTGATTAAAGAAGTTTATAGTTTGAAAATTATAAAAGAGAATCCAAATGTATTAGACATTCTAAGATTAATTTTATATTTATTAATTAAAAGTAATTTAAATATATATTGATAGGGGATAGAAAATTTGAAAATATTTTAGATTAATTCAAAGAATACAATATAGGAGATGTGAAAAATAAGTTTAAAAATATGGAATTCAATGGAGAATACTATTATTTATGATTTATAATACACATTGTTATAAAATTCAAATAAACTTTTAGCAATTAAGTGTTTGATAAGAAGTTTAAAGAAATCGAAGACTTTCTAAAGGTATTGGTAATTCATAATCTGTAATTGAAATGTTATCATCTGATTATTCAATTTTTATTTGATAAATATTTTTAAGTGATGGTTTAAAAGAGGATGATTTTAGAAGCATTCCTTTTTTATCCATACTTTAACTCTTATATCTTCTATCTTTTAAAAGTTTATTTGGTTTTTATTAAGAAACTTAACTAGTATTTTCAGTAAATGAATTTTGACTATGTTGATAAAAAGATTTGAGAGTGTTTTTAGATTGTAAATGATTAAAGCTTATGCCTACAGAACCTTCAACAATAGATTATGTAGAGATAACATGTTGTGATGGAGAAAAGATTTAATAAGTATTAAGTTAATATAGTAGATCCTAAAGATTTATTCTATTTTCTGGCTGTTTTTATAACATTCCTCTTAATAAAAACATAGTTTTTTGACTAACATTCGGAAATCTTAATTCGGAAAAATCAATTAGACATTCCTTATTTAATTTAAGTAATGCATCATAAGTATTTGATCTAAATGGAGCTTTACCTGATAACATAGAATAGAATATGACTCCTAAACTAAATACATCTCCTACCTCTTGGTAGGGTTATTTCATAAATACTTCAGGTGCAATATAACCTGCTGTTCCTTGACCATTGAGTAGTTTGTCTCTACATATCTTTTCTGCAAATCCGAAATCTATTAATTTCAACTAATCTTTATCGATAAGTACATTTTCTAATTTAATGTCTCTATGAACATATCCTAGACTTAATCAATAGGGAACTTTCTATACTTATGAACTTATTGCAATCCTAATGCTAATTTAAGCAAAATTTGTGTAGACTCAATTTCTGTTAATCGTTTTCTGTCTTTTAAATATTGATAGAGTGAACCACCTTTTATGTATTCAGTTACTAGGACTATAAAATAAATACATATTAATACTTAAGAGTTCATCTAATTAAATAATTTCACATAATTTAAGAACATAAGGGAAATTGATTCTTTTAAGTACATAACACTCGCTTCGAATGAAATGATAAAATTTTTTAAGGTCTTTTTTTAATAACAATTCGTTTTTATTATAAACTTTACCAGCATAACTAAATGGTTAATTTGGTAATCTGATATTAGGTGTAAGAGTATAAACCTTAGAGAATCCACCTTTACCAATTACATCTTATAATGTATAGAGCTAATCTAAATTTTAAACAAAGCAAAATTAAGATAAATATTTGAGAAACTGAAAAGTACATTAGCTAAATTTAGATAATAATATACTTTTCTTGATTCCATATATATACGAATATGTCTTTTGTTCTCTTAATTCTAATAACCTTAACAGCGTCTGTTTTCTTATTTGATATCTTAAGATCTATTAACTTTAAACTGATGTCTTCATTCAATTAAACATATCCCTTAACTTTGTTATTTTGTTTATAAAATAGTACTCCTTCCTCATTTAACAAAAATTCATATTCGGTAGGCTTGTTACTTTTCCAACTTATCCGATGCATTGGTTGTTAATACACAATTGTACTTTAACCAAGATTCAGACATTTTTTATTCCAGAATGTTTTTGTCTAATCATTCTCTGTGAAAATTGGCCAATATTACTATTATTCTTCAGACATTAATGATAATTTTATAAATTAAATCATATTTTTATACATTTCTTCATATTCCTAATTTCTAATATAAAAATCTAAATTATTTCATCTAATCTTCTTATAATCAATTTCTACCATCAGAACAATAAGCTGGTTTTACTATTTGATTGAATTTTTTTAATAATCTATTTTTGTAAATCTATTATTTATTAATAATATCTTACTCTATCTATTCTATTTAAATTACTATTACACATATCTCTTCAAAAGTACCATTCAAACTTTAATATTATTCAAGTGTATCTATTTTAAATTAACTATCTTAAATTCTTAATATCGCCTATTCTTTTTGCAACTTTTTAATTATTATTAAAGCAATACTTTCTCTGACATCATTATTCTTGATTTTAAATGAATCTTTAAAAATATCAATAATATTATGATTAATAAATCTTTATTTTTTAAAAACTCCTCTAGTAAATAAAGTTATTTTCTAATATTATGCCAAATTCATCTAATTAAAGAGATTAACATCAAAATATTAAATATAACAAATCTATATTTAATATGATTCACAAAACCTTATAAAAATGAAAAAAAATGTATTACCAATTCTATTATCGCTTCCAACGCAATAGGAAACTATTAAATTATAAATATTCTTATCAAATTTACTTTGATTAACATCTGAACAAATTTTATCACAGATATACTATTAATTGAAAAAACCTTTATTTATCTGAATATATAAATAGGAATATCATTTTATCTTTTGATTCAAATAAATTATAATCTATAAATTATATCCATTACTCATATAATATTATCAATTACTTACAAGATTTTAGAGGTCTCCCTTTTATTATAACTGTGTTTTAATTTATTAGATCTTTAATGTAATTGCAGTTCCCTCAGCTATCAGCTAAGAGTTCAGGATTTGAAAAAATACAGATATTCTCATTCTTTAAAACATCATTTATATAATCACATGTTTTAATAAAACAATTGATCAGAATTAACTTTCTACTTAATTTAAATTTTGAATTCTTAAAGACTGCTATCTAATAAAGATTCAGATATCGTTCTATACTATTTAATTAGAATATTGATAGCAAGTAAAACAATATCATAATCCTTTAAAAGTTATATCAATATGACAAGTGAATATCAATTTATTTGTAAAGTCTAAAATATATATTTATCCAAATTATCCTGATATATATTGTTTATTATTCCATTTGTTAAGATGTTATTAATTTATACCATAAACAAGAAAAAATCTATTTTAAACATTTAGAAGGCATGAAAGTCATTTTTAAGAGTCCAACAAAGTTTCTTTATTTACATATGTTATTAAATTAATATTTAATATAAATAAAAATGTATAAATAGATTCAATTATGTTTACGAATTGTTTTAAATTTAATTTATATTTAAATAGGATTATACATTAAAAATCCATTTTAACTTAAACCACCAAAAATAATTAACTTATCATCATTATAAACACTGCAATGTTCATATCTAAATGGATATTCCAAATAGCCTTATAATTACACTTTCTACCAAGTATAATTTCTTAAAAATAATAAATGTAAATCTCCAAAGCATTCTACTTCATTTGTACCTCCAAATAATAATAAAGCACTTATCTTTTCATCATAATTCATACTATGAGATCGTCTAGCAGAAGGTTTCAATCCCATAGTATCTACATATAATAATACAGATGGATAAGTATCAATTATTAACTAATATAAATTATTATTTATATTGTCTTCACCATCTTTTCCTCCAAATATATAAATCCCTTCTTTTGTAAACAATTGATCTATTTATTCTTCTTTTTTCGTATTTGTTGTTAAATCATAATTCATTCTTAAATGTGGATTCCCAACTAAAGTTGCACTATGATATGCTAATCCTAATTTAAAAGGATTTTCATTCTAAATTACTTATTTTAAATAAAACTTTGGATAAAATTAGGTACAGATCATATTCTACAAATTAATCAATTAAAAATCACTATAAAACTTTGTATTTATTTCACTATCATCTAAACCTCCAATTACTATAATATAATTATGACTATAATTTCCGCTATGATTTCTACGACATCCAATATTAGTTTAATATTATTACCATTCCAATCTATCTTCTTCCAAACATATTTTTGTTATAACATTTGTAGTCTTTCTATTATTTGTATTTTTTTCTCCCCCAAATGCATATATTGTTTTATTTTCATCTATATTCAAACTAAAATAACACCCCAATCTTAAATTTGGATTTAACATCTATCTTAATTTCAATTACTCTATTTATGATTAAAAAAACTCTTATTTCCTTTTCCATTAACCATTATGTAATGAAATTGCATGAATTTCTATATTTTCTCTATGAGAATGTCCTCCAAATACCAATCCATAATGATCATACTTTATTACTCGACTTCCTTGTCTTGATATTGGTATTGTATATTATTATTCATTCTAAACAGGAAGTGTCACTTATCCTTTTATTATTGTATTTTCTGTATTTGACAATGTGTTTTGTACATACTCTAATGCTATTGTGTCTTATATTTTTTATTGTAACGTAAAATGATTTGTTATCAATCTTTATTTCCCATTCAATGCTCTATAGGGTTCCCTTAATATTTTCAAAGATAATTATTCATATTTAGTTTTCTACTATAATTACATAGATGCTGTATATTTAGCCATATGTAATTTATTCTATGTCAATTAAGGTAGCTCAGAATTCAAAGTTTTACGCTTCTACAAATTGTCCATTGACACATCCATACGATATTTTTGTATATTTATGGGATCTCTACTTTATAACGAATATATTCTTCTTCTCTCCCTCTAATTCATTCACTATTTTATATTATATATATAATGTATTTATTATCTCATGTTTATATTGATTTTAATGAAGAACTTTTCATTTCTGAAAATATTCTTCCAGAGTCTCCAATAATATTATTATTATTATTATTAATATTACCAATTATCAAAGTCTTCGATTTTGCTCTACATAAAAGATTAAAATCTGCTTTATCGAATTGAATATTTTATTATTAATTATCATTCCTAGGTATTGTAATGAATTTATCATATAATTCACAATTTGGTTTATTATCTCCTTTAGCTGATAAACCAAGATTATGAGTTTATTCTAAAAGATTTCTACCAAAATAATTCAATAAAAATAATTAGATTCTTGATAATTCATAAATAATATTTGTATAAACTAACTTCTTTCTTGCCTATTAAATCAATTCTTAACAAGCTTCTTAATCTATTTTATTCTTTGATTTCTTTAAATCAGCATAATCATAAAAATAAAACTTTAACACTTTGTCTATAAAATCACAATCCAAGATACGTTCATTGTAATGATAAATTGCATATTAAATAATCATTAACATATTTATTATAGATCCAACCTAAGCTAATATTTCACCTAATTTTGGATACACTATTTATGTATCATATGACATTGGATCTAAACGGATAAACAAATTTAAATATGATTCTTAAACTAATAGAGTTTACCAAAAATTTTTAGATGTTGAACTTGTTACTTGTTATGCATTGTATACATAACTCTTAGAATCAAATTTTCCAAATATTATTCCAGTGTCAATTGTTGCTTTTGTTTATGTTAATATCAATTAACCTTATTGAGCTATCTCATAATCAAACGACAAGTAATATTCCTTTTTCACTATTTCAAATTATTGATTATATGGATCATATTATTTTAAATTCAAACGAAAACTTATATAATTAACCGAAGATTTAAAAAAATCTTCAATCTCTTCCTTTGATGCACATTCATAACCTACATTCAACAAAGTTTCATTACATGATGCAATCAAAATCATTAGTTCCTTTGTAGCATTCAATTCTTTATTGAAATTACTATTTTAAATTAATTATAAATTATCTACACTCATCAGAGTGGTATTGTAAGCTGATTGTTTTTAATTTTCTTATAACAAAGAAAAAGGTTTTTAGGGAATTCCACCTATAAAATAGATTCCAATCGGAGTTAAGATATTACGTTTCATTCTAAAAGGATCTACCTAAGATTGATCATATTTCCAATAACAAAATTCGAAAAGTTATTCATTATCAAATAGAATTTCAGAATAATTATCCACCTTCATAGTACTGGTAGATTTTGGAAGAATATTATTGTTAATCCATTGGTTCATCACATATATCAAATAAGCAAAACCGACCAAGATTAAGATTATTGAACTTATTCCTCCAAGAATAGATTTTTAAACTTTTTCTTTTAAGGTGATTTATTGTTTATAGGGGACTCCAAAAATGTCAGCCATTTAAATGTATTTCATAATGATTATGAGTTTTATTAATAATAAAGAACTATTTATTTACATAATAATTATTTCAAATAATTTAACGCTGAATTTTTCTTTTGCCAGTTGTCATGAGCTAGAATGAATAAGAGAGATATTACTTTTCTTGCGCTTTGATTATTATCAATTCTTATAAATTTTAGATAATTGTTTAATTTTTATTGAGTTTAATTATCAAGTTTTAATTTGATTAATTCTATAATTTGAGGTTGTCTAAATAATAATGTATAAAATTTTACTAAGTTTTGAAATTCAATAGAGTATTTTTAAAGATAGTAAATTCATCAATATTTTATAAATCTCCTTTAAATGATTCAATTTATTATTTAGCTTATAATCTTACTTCTTCTTCAAGTTAATCAATTTCTTCATCATCACTCATCATATCATCATCACTAAAATAGATATTAAATGAGTTACTCGTCTTCTGTTTTTTCTGGTTTTTCTTCATTCTCTTAATTTTCTAAATTCTTGATGATAATTTAAATTAATTCTGGATTCAGCAATTAATGTGATTATTAGATTAATTTACAAATAGTTACGATAAATAATTTAACATCATAACCTGGATGATATTGAGTATACAAGACTTTATGATATATATTTTAAAAATGTTCACCTAATATTTGTAATGATAATTAAGGAATGAAATAAAAAGCCACTAAAAATATAGCTGTGATTCTAGATCGAATAATTCCAGTGACATTTTCTTTGGAAATTAATTAAAGTACTTATTGGAACACCTAAGTTAATAAAGTTTGATTGATATCGTTTTAAAGGACTTAAATTCCCAATTAAATTAGAAGTGCTCCTTCAGCTAAATCAACATCTTCAAAAGCTTCTTCTTACATTAATGCTTAAAGGGCAAGGTTAAAGTAAATATTTTAAGCTTACTCTTATAAGAAATAATTTCTTCCATAATACATATACATATTCAAAGTTTCATAGAGTTATCCAAATCTTCCAGATTATTTAGTTATTATTTAAGAAAAATATGGTAATATTTCTCTTTAAAATTAAGATACTGATTATAATTTTTAGATGAGGGATGAGATGAACGAAATCAAATCTTCATCAAAATTCATTTTATTATCTTAAATAACAAGTTATTAATAGATTGGCTACATTGCTAATTCTATTTTTAATAGAAAAGGTTAAAATTCATTTATAGTTGGGAACTATTTTATAAGATTCCAACATCTATTTAAATGTATGTATCTAGTTGAATCATTATTAGTTTTAATTAATGTTTCTTCTTTAATAATTCTTTAAACTAATATTTAGACAAGATTTAAAATAAAATTCTCATTTGCTATGAAAGTTGTAGGATATTTCTTTAATAGATTTCCAATCATTTCAAAATGTCTTTCATATGTACTGAATTACAATCCACTAATTAATGCTGGAAACACATTTTAGACTAAATTTCCTGATTTATGTTTCAATTCATCATCTTCAAAGATATCTTTTAATGCTTCAATAGTCATATACAAAACAACAGGTTCTTATGGTTTGGCATAACTTATTAACAATTAGATATAATTTAACATAATCTAAAATTAGGATTCAACTTTAAATAGATTATCACAATAATAACCAAAAAACAAAGCAAATCTAACTTTAATAATTTATTCAGTAGTATTCGTAAAAAATTACATATTTGATTATAACAATTATTCCATCATTGATATAATGTCTTATCTTTTTTAAATTAAATAACTTATAATTGTTAAAATCATTAAACTACTTTCTATTCTATCAACAGAAGTGAATTCTTAGAATATTTTTTTATTGTTTATTTTTTGTATATCTGTAAATACAACTTGTTATTATTGTTTGTTTAATTGAGACTATGACAATTCCAAAATACCAGAAGATATAAAAACAATAGCCATTTAAGCTAAGAAAGATGTAGATCCATCTATGTGATCACATAAAGTTTCAAGTAAAGTAGTTGCTGCTGTTTTTGGTAAATCTGATTCCTATTTATCTACAACATCTAATGCAATATTAACAAATTCTTCTGGTTATTCTTTCATAATTTGATATTCACTAAAAGTTGTTACTAAAAATGGATATATTATATCAGTTATCAAAGGACCTCTAGATTCTTAGAATTATGGATATAATTCAGCTTATCCACCTAAATGTGCCAACAATCTTAGAATACTACTTAAAATACTAGGTAGAAACTATTTCCTAATTTAGATATAATATATATAATTACTATAGAATATCGGAAATTCTTGCTTATCTAGTATATGTAAATATTGAGTATAACAATAATTAAGTCAAATTGGCTTATTAATTAGAAAATACACTATTCTTCTATTCATTCTTAGTTTTACTCAGAAGTGCATTTATTAATATTTGTAAACATTTCAATCCATACATTTTAACTTCATTTATTCTGTTATCGAATTATTCATTGTTAGTGCAAGAAATAATACAACTCTATAGTATATTAGCTGGAGGTGAGTATTTAAATATAGCAAATAAAGTTATTTAGAATGAATTTAATTTAAACATTATATTTTATAGTGGAATTAATTATTCTTTATTATGAGTCTTTTATTTGAATAATTTTTCACAATAATCTAATACAATTGATGAATAATATCTTATTGTTATAATGTATTCTTCACTCAAATCTCCAGATTATTCATCTAATCTCTTAAATAATGGATAAATTAAATCAAAGAAATCTTTAATCCAATCTAATCCTTAATTTATCACTAAATTATATGATTATAATTCTAAAGAATCAATTAAAGTTTTAAAGAAAAACAATCCTGATTAAATTTCCCATAATTTATCACTTTTAACTAATTATTTCATTTTATCTTAAATGTCTGGTTTGATGGCTAAAAAAATAATTAAGTTTTTTTGTTATACCTTTTTTTAATTTAATCAATAAACTCATTGATTTTTAGAGTAGTTGTTTACACTTTAATGATGTCTGTTGAGAGGTAATGACATCAAAAATTAATTATGCATGTTGTAATTATAATTCAACTAAATTAGTAAGTACAAAAAAAATACCTTGATTTGATAACATCTTTAAAACTGCTGAATTTAGTAAGCTGGCTGCTTAATGTTACACTTTAAAATAAAATTATATTATATACTATTATCTTAACTCTTTGCAATCTAAGCAATAGATTAGAAATTTTAGATATTATCAATTACCAAATTCATCAACTTAATTTCTGCTTATTGTCGAATTGTATTGTCTGCATTTGTATAAGTCAAAATAAGTAACTGGTGTAGTTCTTCAGCTATGGTCATAAATTTAAATAATTTAAATAATGTAATTATTTCTAATTATGAAGACAATTATATTATTGAAATATATTATAATATATATTCTTCATTCTGATTTCAAATTTTATTGAATAATATGCCATTTATCTATTGGAACATGATAGAGTTTTTTATATAACTTAATAGATTTAAGTGTGAATAATAACTAGGCAATTAAAGCAAAGCATGCAAAACAATAGTAATTAACATACTCTGTTAAGAACATACACAAAGAGAATCCAGTTTTACCACCTAATGATCCTAAACTATTCATCAAAGCTAAAGTGGTAGCCTCATATCCTGGTGTAGTTATTTTCATTTAGAAATTACCCTATTATAAAAAGAAGTATGTTTACTCTAACAATAAATGTTAAATTAAATACTATCCACCATGTTGTACTAGCAATAAACAATGCTACATAACTTAAAGTGTCATTAACTTTCACAACATCAACTAGAAAAATAGTCAGAGTTGCAAAGAGACATGATATTAATCTCAATCCTTATACATAACCATAGTATTCAAAATTATATTTATTGAAATACTTATGATAAACAAATCCAACTGCTACTTTCAATGGCATAATGGCTGTATCTATAAATGATACATATGCCTTATTAAATTTTAATTCTGTTAATTTTATTCTAAATGTAGATTCTATTGGAGCAACTCCATATCTATCAAAAAACAAAAGTAATGAAAGAGTTATCAAATTATCATTATTAAGTATTCCTTTAATTACTTATCTAAATCCAGTGAATTTTTTTATTTATTATTAATTTTTTTCTTCCTTCACTTTGAATAAAAGGTAAGTGGCTAATAATAATCCAAATGCTGAAATAAATTTCAAATATGTAGCTAATGTACATAATTGATATTTATGTAAAGAATGAAATATAAAATTAGCTAAAAAGGAACTACCTATTGTATAACCCACATTTAAGATATGTGCAGCACTTTCATTAGTTTTTTTACATAAATCAGCAGCAAATCCATCAATAGCTATATCTTACATTCCCAAAAAGGTAGCATTAAATAATCCAATCAAACAAAATAACATATAGTTTTGTTAGATATCCAAACTAGACTACCAAAACAAATTCAATGACATCAATAATGTACATGGTAAAATGTAACTATATTAATTTTAAAATATATATAAATACCTTCTTCTTCTTCCTAAAGATTTAAAGTGAAATAAATCTATAATAGGGGCAAATATAATCTTGAAGAAAAATGGATATGCTACTAAGGAAAAGAGACCTTACTACTCATAATTAAATCCATTCTCCGCTAATAAAATTGGCATAATCTATGTAAATATCGAAAGCATCGAGCTCTAGTATATGTACAGAAATAACAAAAGATAGTTCATTATTAATATCAATCAAATTTATTTTATTTATTTATTTAAATACCACTTTTATATGGGCTACATGTATAAATTTCTGTATGTTTCTGAGTATCTAAAACAATACAAAAAATGTATTATCCATCCGACACATAACAACCAATAATAATTTACATAATTTGCCACTATCAAATTTATTGAAAATGCCAATTTCACTCCCAATTAACTTATGCTATTCAAAATTGTTAATGTCGTTGCCTCAACTCCAGGTGTAGTTATCTTCATTTAAAAGTTACCCTTATATTTATTTCTATATCAATACTCTCACTATATATGTTATATTAAATAATATCCACCAACACATATTAGAAAAGAATATCGCCACATAACTATATTACCCATCTAACTCAAATTTATCAATTAACAATAATGTCACTATTGCAAACAATGTTGAAATCAATCTCAAATATTGGATATTACCATAATATCTATACATATAATTCAAATTATACTTAAAATCATATTTATTGAAGTATTAATGATATATCAAACCAGTTGCTATTTTCAATGGCAAAATTATTGTATCAATAAAAGATATATAAGTTTTGTTAATATTAAATTATACTAACTTCAATCGGAATGTTGCATCCAAAGACGACAATGCCGTTCTAATGACTATTTTATTACTATTTACCTTTCGAAAAATATCAGTAATGAATATTTTATCATATTTTCATTTTAAAAAAATGATTTTATTACACTTAATAAATCTTAAAAGCTTTTTGCACTTCTTTATTACTCTTCCTATTCCTACAAGTTTAAATATAACAAAATTGTCAGTATCAAACCTACTATTGATAATATCATCAAAAATGTCTCCAATGTGCAATAATGAGATGAATATAATGCTATAAATAAGAAATTTCCAAGAAACGAATTCCCTATTGTAAAACCAATATTCTATAACAATGCAGCACTTTCACCTTATTATTTACATAAATCAGTTGCTAATCCATCTATTGCTATATCTTAAATTCCCAAAAATAAACACAAAACAAATCCTAATATCCATAATATTTGATAATTCGTTAATATCTCAATCCTTGACAAATATAAAAGTATTATTGATAACAACAAATTTATCGGTAAAATATAGCTATACTTAATTAATTTCATTATTACCTTTTTCTTTTACCTAACAATTAAAATTAATACAAATCAATTATTGGTGCGAACAAAAATTTTAAATAAAATGGATAGCTGATCAATGAATACATACCTTATTATTCAAATGTGTATCCCTATTCTGCTAATAAAATTGGGATTATGATTGTAAATAATGATAATATTGTACTTTAATATATATAAAGCAATATTAATAAATAATTCATTTTATTATCATTTACTAGACAACTCATCATATATACTCAATAAATTTCAATACCTTGATTACTCTTTTTTTATAAAAATCTCCTTATGTATATATCTCATTTTTGAAACTCTTGTTAACTCTAAAAATCTTAATTTATATTCCTCTTCTGTTTAAATAAATTATATTTATTGAAGTTTTTTTATGAAATATAAGAAGTCTCGAAATTCTCTTTTTCAAAAGTAATCTTTTTGGTTTAAAATCTTAATCTTCAAACATAATTTACAATTATTATTCTTCCACTTATAAAAATTTACAAATACATATTCAATATATTTTAAAAAAGTACAATTTAGCAACAAATATAACTATTCAAATTTGTTAAAGTTATTGCACATACTAATACCAAAATTTTTATTTGAATTTTAACACCCTTTTAAATTACTTCTTCGAATAATTATTAAGAAAATAGTTTTAGATGATATATTTTATTTATAAATTTTTATTAATATATATGAAATCATTATCGGTATCTAAATACAATAACAATAATAGCTTATTGACTCCAGATAAACGATTGGTATCATTTGATATTATTACAGAGTAGATAAACCACTTAATCAACTTAAAAAAAAGATGCACTTTCTATTTAAAGTTATTTTTCTGAATAATCAAATATCAAATCCGAAGCTTCAAAAAAGGAAATAATTAGATTAATTAAATCAACTGTTGATAGCATTCATAAAAATAACAGCATTAAAGAATTGAACATAAATTTGATTAAATTACTTGCAGGATTAAATTCTTGTATAAATGAGTAAGATTTATCTCTTATTCTAATTCAACTTATATCAACTATTAAATAAAATATACATAGTTGCCAAATCAATGAAAAATAGGTCTATGATTAAGAGAAAGCCTAATTGTTGATTAAATTACAATAATTAGAATAATAATCTAAAGAGAACTAGGAGAAATTTGGTAATTTATTTATTTTAATAATAGAAAATAAGCTTAAAGAATATAAAAATCAAAGTAAAGTCTTTCAATTATAGGATGAATCTAAGCATAATAAATTAAGTTAAGAGAAATAAAAAGATCGAAATAAATTAATAGACTAAATTAAGGAAATGTAATAAAAAATGTTAACATAATCAGAAAAGGAGCGCAAGTTAATATAATTAGTAAAAGCAGTGAAATCTAGAGGAATAGACGTTGAAAAAATTTATAAGAATCTTGATCTTAAGAGTAGTAAAAATAGCAAGAGAACTAGTAAGCAATCAGAATCGTAAAATGAACAAATTTCATACACCGAATCAAATCTGGCAGATATTTCATAATTAGATTATAGTGATGGAATGATTAAGAAAAACACTCAATATTTAATTGATTGAATAAATTAATAAATAAAATTTATTATTTCCTTTATTACATTGATTTTTTAATTTATATAGAATTTATAAAGAAAGATTCTTTCTTAAAAGAAATCTTTAAAAAAAGAAACTCTTGAAAATGAAACAAAACTTAATAGTGAAATTTTTTTATCATACAATATCCTTTATTATGATTTATTTCAAATGATAAAATGATAATAATGGTTCCTGTATTTTATTTTAAAAAACTATCAAAACATATCATATTTAAATTCATTTATGATCAGAAAAATAGGCTTCATTGAAAGAGCTACAAAATAATAAAAAAAAAAACAGAGAGAACTCAGTAAAAGTTTTTTAATTGAATTTAGAACAGACTATTTCATAAAAAAAAATAAATCCTTAAAAATACTAACATCAAATTTTTACAGAATATATGATTAAATAATAGATTAATATTTTTTAATAATGTTTTTAAAACCATTTATTCAGTAAGTTAAAATAAGCTTGCAAAAATAATAATAGAGAAAAGGATTAATGAAGAATAGTCTATATTTATATTTAAATAATATAATATATTAATAAAATAATTAATTACGAACCTTTTTCAATATTAATTATACTATTAACTTATTTATTTTTGATGTTAATGAAATGAACTGATTATTTATGAAAAACTGTATTATTTTCATTGTACATGGTCGAGTAGCTCAGTTGGTTAGAGCGTTGGTCTTATGAGCCAACGGTCGCGGGTTCAATTCCCGCCCCGACCAATTTTTTTATTTTAAATTTTTTCTCCCTCTTTTTTTTTATTTTTTACATACCTTAATATATTTATAAACTTAAAAGCTTTAATTTAAAATTAGAACATTCTAATCTAAATAGAAATTTTACAATATGTTTCCAAGTATTAATTAGTTAAACCTTGATTAATAAAATGCAAAATAAATTATGAATTTTCTATTTTTTTCAAAGCATCAACAATTAAAAGAAAATAATTCTAATGTTAAAAATAAAATTAGCTGTATTATTTCCTTAGAAGCCAACTACATACTTATTAGAATGAATAGATAATATTGATGATTTTATTGAATTATTGATAAATCACAATATACTATTACGATCACATATTTTCTATTATAAAATTTCTATATAAAATCAAGTTTATTTAAGCTGATAATTATATTTATATAAGAATCAATTATTTTTTTCAAGAAATCATAATAATCAAACTAATCTATTCTATAGAAAACTTTAAACTTGAAATTTAAGGATAGTAAAAATATGTAAAATTAAAATCTAAACTCAAATAAAATTTATTTGAGAATAAATAGTTTTATTCATTTTATTATTTCTGCTTCCTGATTTATTCAATTTTAAAATATAGATTATTCTCTAAATGGATTTTTTCTTTTTACTTAATTCAAGAAAAATATAAATTATAAAAATTAAAAATAAGTAGATTATTTATATAAATTATAAAGAAAAGCTAACAAACTAATTAAAAAAATTAGTATAAATTATCATCTTTAAATATAAAGATTTCTATTCATGCTTTCTTCAAACATTTTTGATTTTTGAAAAATTTTGAATAATTATAAAAAATTTTATTTTCAACTGCTAAATCTTCAAATCACAATCATTTAAATGGTATATGAATATTTGATAAACAAAAGAACATATTCATTGCTACAACTTTATTGGTATATTTTTCATATATTTTGTGACAATAAACTGGATTACCATTTTTGTATTTGCCTTTCCTTAAAATAGTTCTTTCCTTATTCAAATAGGCAATTCCAAATCCATTAAATTTACCATTTTTAAAAGAACCTTTATATTTGTAGATATCCCCATATTTTAAATTTTCTAACTTCAATCTATACCATTTACCATTTTCATCCTCTTCAACTCCATTTTTCCAATTTCCCTTATAACATACATTTTCTTGATATTTATTCATTGTTCCTTCTCCTTAAGGCAGATATGTATTTGGACCCTTATAAACTACAGCTCCTTCATACTCTTATATTTTTATTATTTTACAAGAATTACAACAACTATTTACAAGATGATATGTAATCCTACTTTTTTAATTCAAGTAAATTTTATAATGATAAATTAGAGAGTCTTTTTAAGAAAATGTGATTATTTCGCCTTCTTTTTTGTTCGTTTCACTAAAACCTCTAGTAATTGTGTTATCTGCAATTTTAAAAAAACCAAATCTATTCTTTTTATTTAAATAATCTGTAAAATATTGTCTACGGGCAAATGCCCTAAGAATTTTTTGTTCTTCTTTAAATTCTTCTAATGACTATAAACCTAAATAATATAAATGTTAGTTTTCATTACTGATACTTTCTGATATTCCTTCAATTTGAGGTTATTGCTATTCATTTTAAATATTTTAATAGATTTACTTTTCTTCAATTTATTTCCCTTCCTTAATATTACTTTTTTCTTCTAAAGACTTTTGTTCACTTTTTTATTCTTTTTGATGTTATTAAAAATCGATTTTATATTAAAATTATTTAATTTATTTGGGTTACTCTAATTTATTTAGGTTTTCTTGTATACTTTATTAAAGTTCATCAGATTCGATTTTGGATTAAAATTAATCAAACTATTCGATTTGCTTTACTTCATTTTAGATTACATTTTAACATTTTAGTTTAGATTATTATTATCCTTATTAAGATTTATTATAATTATTTTTTTTTTCAAATTAATCAATTTATTCTTCTTTAATTTATTTTTTTGGACTTCTATATTTAAAATCAAAAAAATCGGATTCGTCATTTTTATTATTGCAATCTTAAGTTAGTGAATCTTATAAAAATTCACATGAATCTTATTTTATTAAGTATGTATCTGACCTGTTAATTGGACTACTATCTAATCTTGAATAAGAGGAGGGCGGCAATCTTCGAATTGTTTTATTATCTTATAATTATTATTATAATGTTTTATCGAAAACAGGCATAGATAGGTGATAAACTTCTCTTAACCGAGAATAATTAATCTAATAAATTTTTAACAGAGGTATTTCTTAATCTTACAACATTCTTTTAATTGTTTCCTTTATAAGATCTTGCAAATATATAGGAATATAAGTTTCTCTTAATACTTTTTCGATATTTTACGATTTTATTTCGAGCTAATAATCAATATTAGCAAATTTATCATTATTAGTCTTAAACTAATTTTTGGAAAACAATTAAAGCATTATTAAACCAAGTGCATATATATCTTATTTAATTTGCTCACTTACTGTTTATTTTAATCTCATATTTTCAAGCTTCTACTTTTTTTCTTCGTTGCTACTTAATTTTAGTAATTATAGCATATCTGTTGTTAAATAAGGGTAGAAATTTATTTTTTACTATTTACTTAATTATTTCAAATAATTTTATTTATCAATAAAAGGGTTTCTAAAATCTATTAAATACAACTAATCTTTATGTTCTATTATATTACTAGGTTTTAAGTTTCCATGTGGTGTTGAAGTATTTTATATAAAATTGGCAATCATAAATATTTTATTAAATATATCAATCTTTTTGAAATCCTCTTGAATATTTAATTTGTTTAATGGAGTAGCTGATGAGTCGCAATTATATTTAATTATTATTTATTTCTCTCTCTTTTTAAAATTTTAAATTTTTAATACAAAGTTGAAATGCTCTTCTCCTAATCGTTATTAATAATTCAAAGAATCCATAATTATTTCTGAATCTTTTTGATCGTCAAATTGAATACGTTTTTTATAATTCTTTTTATTCATCAGAGAATATTTATTATTATTTATATAATTATTGGTAGTTTCTTTTAATATTAATGTTAAAAATTTTTTTTGAAACAAACTTTGCCATAATATTAAAATTAGCAGATAAAACTTAATTTTTGCCATTTTGAAATATGATTTGGAGTGTGATTTTATTAACAACAAATTGTCTTGTATAAAATTTATAAATTTTAAATGTGCTTCCATTAAAAAATAATTCTTACCAAATTTTAAACCATTTTTAATATTAGATACATTTTAAATAAGCTTTAAAATTGTCATTTTTCTATTTTTAAATAAATTTTTATTAGAATTTAGTGTTGCCAAAATTTTGATTATTTCTTCCTATATTTTATTTTCTAGCACCCAAAATATTTTAATTTCTTCATCACGATAATGATTTAATACATAAGTTGATTTATAATCTGGATACTTCTTATTGATCATATTAATCAAGAGATATCACCTTAAAATATTAATGGCTAACACATCTTATTGAAATTATCAATTTCAATTATGTCACATAGTAAAATTAAAAAAATTTGAACATTAATTAGATTAATATACGATTTATATAATTTCTTTAGATATATAAAAGTAAGAAAAAGATTATCTCTTATCATATAACATTCAATTAATTTTGAAAATACAAAATTTTTTTGTTTTTAAGAGATTATTTGTATAATTATTAAATTTAGAAAAATAAAACCCATTATAGAATAATCGTCTTAATTTATAATTAAAGTAATTATTTATAGATTGTAGTTTTAGATAATGTAATATAAATGTTATGATGATGGATGAAGAAATGGAATAATAAAATAGTATACAGGTAGATATAGATATAATTATAAAGTAAATGACTTTGAAATGGATAGAGTTTGATAAGAAAATAGATTAATAGAAAAGAGTTACAAGCATTAATGGATGAATGAAATTATATATTAAAAATAATGAAATTATCATTGTTAATTTATGAATACCTGCATAGAAAATACACAAAAACTAAATAAAAGAGTGATGATTCGTATTAAAAAGAAGTATATGTTCAATTTTAATAAACAAGATAGAGTTTGAGAATGGGGACACTGTAAATATAAAGGGTTTCTCTTCTTTTGAATTAAAAAATAGAATTTCAACAATATAATCAATGGGGAGTGTTATTTGGAGATATTTGAGAAGACCATTCAATTACATTTTTGTTATGATTAGTATGATATGTCTTTGCATAAGTCAAAACGATTCAAAAGTTATATATGGATTTGTCTTACCATTTCTATTTAGTATAGTAATGTATTTAATAAAAACATTTTATTACATGATATTGGTACATGGAGAGGATAATTAAATAAACAGAAGGAAAGTGATAGTATTTAAGAAATTGAAGAAGATGTTGCATAATAAGAAAATAAGTTTGATGGAATATGAGTAAAAATTAAACAAGACATAATTGATATCAACTTAGAAAGGGGAGAAAGCAATGATTCCATAATCTCCTTAGCCTTTGACAGAATTGAATGAGAGCACAAAAATAAGTATAATAGAAACAATAAAATGGGAGGATTTGGAGATTGGAGATATAATTATATTATAGAGAAATGAGATCTGTCCTGCAGATTGTTTGATTTTGGAGTCAAATTAAGAGAAATGTTATGTGAATAATGCATGTGTAAGTGGATAGACAAATGAAGGGGTTAAAAGTGCAAATGAACTGACTTCTTTACCGAAGATGCATTAATTTAAAGGAAATGGATTTGAATATCGATTATTATTAAGTGGTAAGGTAACATTTGATAAGGATTATAAATCTGAATCTTTTTATACAGGATTTATAAGATTGAAGAATGATCCTTAAGCTGTTGATATAAAAAGAGAGAATATTATTTATAGAGGATAGTAATTGTAAACTTGTGATTATGTGTATGGATTGGTATTAAGTTGTGGATTAAATTGTAAATATTATTATTTGACTAATTTTGAAAAGTCTACGAAGTCTTTTTTTGAAAATAAAATGGATAGTTTTTATAAATTTACATTAATTCTAATAATTTTATTATCATTTGGTTCATGGTTGATTGAATCAATAAGATATATTGATAAAGGTTGGAGAATATAACATTTAGCTGATTACTTTTTGATATATTTGAATATGTTTCCATAATATTTAATTGGTTTATTGGATATATTATAAATTCTTAGTTCAAGTTAGAAATTATTTAAATTTAATAAATAGAAAGGAAATTCTAGAACTGAGAGTTAATAAGAATTTAATATCTTTATGAATTAGAAAATGGATTTGAATACAGTATATAGTAAATTAAATTCAACACCAATAGCAGATTTATCATAGATTGATTCTGTAATTTTTGATAAAACATGTACAATGACAATACCTTTATTTAAGATTAAATTGATTTTAATAAATGAAACATTTTATGAGATTCATAATAAGACATTTAAAAATACAATTGAATGGAAAAAGTATTAGAAAGAAGTAATGGATAATTAAGAATTACTTTTTATTTAAGATTAATCATTATCACCTAATTAAATTTCATCAATAAAGATATCCCCACATCATCGACCTATGAGTCCTGCTAAAAGAACTTCTATTATACCTTGGAGGTTGGAGGATAATTTAGTTAATATTGAACCTAATGTTGAATAAGATATACGTGAAACAAGTTAATAGGAAGAAGCTAATTTTAATGCTGAAGAAATTGCAGATGATCATTCTAAATTAAAAGAAATACATAGAACTAAACCACCTAAATTATTTTAAGTTGATTCTTGGGAATCAGGAACAGATTTAGGAGGAATGATTAATCAATTAAATGAGCAAAGAATTATTAAATCTTAATCTCCTATCAAAGAAACAGCTAGAAGAAAGTTTAGTGAAAGAAGACCTATTTTAGAAAAAATGGAACCAAAAAAGAAATTATCAGCTGATCGATTTTATAAAACTGATGAATTCAATATTTAATATGATAGATAAGATGATTTTATAAGCAATGAAAAAGAAATCTTCAGTAAATCTTTAACTCCTGAATATAGAGGATTTATTGAAGAAGCTTTGTTCATCTTAATTATTTGTCATAATACTTAAACTAAATATCTTAAAAAATTAGATTCATTACAATAAGAGTTTAGCAATCAAATTGATTAATTATAAATTACTTTAGCTTAAAATTATGATTATAAATTTATTGGATCTACATTTGGAAAGAATAAATATATAATTGAAATTAAAGAGAATTTACTTGAAATTCCAGTTACAGTTACTGAATTAGATAATACCAAATTATCAGTTATTACTTAGATAACAGATTATAATAAATTATTAGCATTTTAATTCAATGATAAATTTGAATACATTCAATACATTAGAGAGGATGGTTTAGAATTAATTGAAGGTATTAATATGGATAAAGAGGATAAAGATGTATGGAATGGAATTATCAATAAAATCATTTAAAGAGGTTGTAGACCAATTATATATTATAAATTTAATATGGATTAAAATAGTTATAATTTATTTTTAAGAAATCCACAAGAAGAAATTAAAAATAAAAACAATTAATTAGAAGTGATATTAATAATAGGAGTTTAAGAAAAAATTAAAAAATAGTTGAAAGATATAATCAGCTTTTATCAGAATGCAGATATCTCTGTATGGATTGCTAGTGGTGATACCAAAAATAAAGTATTGCCTATTGCATACAAATCAAATATATTGAAAGAAAATATTCAAATTTTAAAAATAGAATCTAATGATATGATATCTTAATAAATCAAATAACATATTTTATGGTGTTATAATAACTTGATTAAATAATTAAGAGAAGAATAAACAGATAAAAAGAATAATGAAAAACTTAGCAGTCCTAATAATAAGAGAAAATCTTTAACAATTGCTAGAAGAGCCAGTACGAGAGGTGTTTTACTTGGAATGAATAATAATTTATCAAAAACTAAACCTTTTTGTATAATGATTGAAGGATAAGCTCTAGAGATTATAAAAAATGATCGAAATTTGTATCATCATTTAGCATTTTTAGTTTCATTTTGTACTCATCTTATTGGATATTCTATGAATAAATATTAAAAGGGAGTTTTAATCAAGATTTTACAGAAAAAACAATTATAAAGAAGGAGAATTTTAGTAGTTGGAGATGAAGGCAATGATTCTATTATTATGGAAAAATCAGACTTTGCCATACAAATTTAAAATGAAAGAATAAATCAAGAAAACAAAATTGATAAAATGGATTATATTGAAAGGTTTAAAAAAGATTAGAATCCAAACAATACTTAGACTACAAATAAATTATCGAAGTACAAATAGTTACAATTAAATTATTCTAATAAATAATTCGATAAATTCATATATCCAAAGATTAGATATATGAGTACAGCCGATCTCATTATAAAGGATATGAATAATCTAGTTACATTGTTATTTTATGATAGTAGAAGGCATGCAGAATTTTTAGAAAATTTAATGATTTATGCATTTTATAGATGCTATCTGATAATGTTTTGTATATTTTTCTAGTGCATTCTGGATGTACAAAATGAAATCCCTCCTCTCTCATATTTCTAATCGATAATGTTTATTTTGCCTTCTTTGTTATTTTATAAGTAATCAATTCTAAATTCAAGAAATATAACGGATTTTAAACAATAATTAGTTTACTTTTATAATTAAAATTCGATTTAGTTTAGAAAGCATAAATATTGGTTATTCATTTATAAAGTATTATTGTTTTCAATTTTCGAATCATTCATTGTAATAATAATTTAAAAGTACATTGAATTTTATACTAATGACGGTAGAGATTTTGATAATGCAATTTAATCATTATAGGTATATACAATAATAATTTTTGTTGAACAAACTAAATGGGTTTATGATAGTATAATTTATTGGTTAATTTTACTAATAATACTTTATTTAATGGCATTAATAAGTTATATTTAAATTTTTGATGAGACATATTATTAAATTTTAGAACATCTGATAAGTATTTAAAGTATTTTTTACATCATATTAATAATTCTTATAGTTTTCACAGTTTAATAATTATTGTTTTAGTTTATTCCTTATACTATAGATAAACTAATGTTTACAGTAAAAGATAAGATTCAGATATGTAGTTTATTGAAGCCAATAGAGATTTATTATTCAAAAAAGTAGAGCAATAGTTCACTTCTCTTGAATATATAAAAATATGCTTTAAAATTGTTTAAAAATGAAGATGATATGGATTCTTCTATAAGATCAATATTATCTGGAATGGCTTTGAGTGAGAAAAGTATAAAAATTAATAAATTTACGCAACAATTTAAGAACATTCAATTAGAAACAAAATACCAGTTGAATGAGTTAACATCTATTTTAGAATATTATCGATTTTATTATCCATTAAGTTGGATGTTGGTAGAAGGAGCAATATTGTTATAGATTTGGATTGTGAATAAGGATTTTAATTATACTTGGTTACTTTATTTTTCATATGGATACAATGGAACTCAAATATTGATGGCTTTATTTATATACACATCAGTATTTAAGAAATACCATTTTAGATTGTCAAAGATCTTAATTTTATCGCGTTTGTTATACAAGATAGTTTATGATTTATATTTTTTTTAAGAGAATGACAATTAGTTAAGTGATATGTTAATAATGTAGTTGTTTATGCTTCAACCATTGATAGATGATAGACCATTGACAATAATATTTTATTGTATAATAGTGAATATAAGTTTTATCATAAGATTCAGTGCAAATAACACATCGATAAATCAAAAGATTAATACATATATAATGTTGAATTATTATTTAATAGCATTTATGTAGACAGCTTTAAGTAGTGGTATGCATTTGAGAGTGTAGAGGAATTTGAGATAGGAATTCATATAGAATTTGTAATTGAATTAGAAAATAAATTCAATAAGTGATACATTATCAATATTGATGCCAAAATTCATAAGAAATATGATAAATTAGAAAGGAGAGTTTGATATATAGGAGAATTAAGGAGAAGTGGCAATATTATTTTGTGATATTTGTCAATTTGATACAATAATAAAGGTATAATAATAGAATGTAGTTCATTTGTTGGATATTTTATTTAGATAATATGATTCTTTATGTAATCAATATAATTTGTAGAAGATTGAAACGGTTGGTAAGACTTACATGGCTGCATCAGGATTGAAGAATTTAATATCATAAAATAATATAAATCCAGTTCTGAGAGCATTATAGGTAGCATTTGAGATGCAGAAGTTTGCATTATCTTAAAGTTTTGGGTAGACTGAGAATATAGTAGTGAAAATAGGAGTGCATTATGGGAATGTGATTGCTGGTGTAATAGGATATCATAAACCGTAATTTTCATTGATTGGTGATACAGTGAATACAACAAGTAGAGTATGTTCTACAGCATAGGATAATTAGATAAAGATATCTGAGGAAGCATTTAAATAGGTTTAATCTTGTGTTGATTTTACATTCACGTTAGATATAGTAGAAGCTAAAGGAAAAGGATAATTAACTACTTATGTGGTATAGGAAGTTATGAAAGAGAAGATATCTAGAAAGAGATTAAGAAAACTTAAAGATGATATGTAGATATTTATGAATAGAGATGATTTTACAAGTAAATAAAGAAATTCTAATTTTTAATTTAAGAATTCTCGTAAGCCTACTATTGTTTAATCAAGTCTTAAAATAGTTACTCCATAATTAATGCATAAATCAAGTATAAATTTAGATAATCCAAATTATGCATTAAATAATAGCAATAATAATAATAATGTATCTTAACATCATTCTAGAGGTGAGAGTGATCATATGTAACCACCTGTAAAGGAATAATTACCACTTACGATAACAGGTTAAAATTTAATTGAAGCTTTGGAGATTAAATTAGCAAGGGAGAATCTAATATTTGAAGATAATCTTGAATTTCCTTTAGTTGAAGTGGATAAGGATAAATTAAAATAAATTCATTAATCTGAAGATGAATTTAAAGAAATGGATGTTTTGATCTTAGATAAAAGAAGTCTTTATTTAGATTTTCATTCAGATGTTGAGGAAGATGTTATTAAAGAGTTTTATTAGTAATTGAGAATATCAAATAAAATATTGGTAATTCTTTTAGAATTAGGAATGGGTATTTTAATTCTGATTCAGAATACTTCGACAATTCTGATTGATAATATATTTAGAGAGATAATTGTATGGTATATCAATGTAGTTTAGGGATATTTGATTGTATTTGTAAAATTGATATTCATTTGTTTATTGTTCAATGAATAATATTGTAATAACTTTTTCAAATAGAAATACTTTATAGGATTCTACATTTTTATTTTAATTTGGTGGATTATGCATATTTTTAGTGTAAAAGAAGGAATAATAGGAGAAGTTTGTATTGCTATAGGTATATTCCTATCTTTTCTTACTCAACTCAATCCGATAATTAAGATGAAATATAAGGTAGTAGAGAGTGTTGTTATGATTTGTATGAATATCATCGCAGTGGTAGTTAATGATTGGGATTAATCATTAATCTATTATGCAAGTTTATTACAAGTGATATTTGTATCAAATTAAATATATAAATTCTTGAAAAATGTAGAAGCTTACAATTAGAAATGTAAATTAAAATATAAATATGAATAATTGGATTAATTAGTCAAACATTAATTACCAACTCATATGCTTGATTAATTCTTATAATTATAATAATCAAGAGCAGTTCTAAAAGATCAACATGAAGATGTTACACTCTTATTTGCTGATATTGCTGGATTCACTGAATATTCTAGTAAAGTAGCTCCAGAATAAGTTGTATTTATGTTAAGAAATTTATTCACTGAATTTGACAAATGTTGCTAAGAAAAAAATGTTTATAAATTATATACTATTGGAGATTGTTATGTTGTTATGGGAATGGTTGATGCTAAAGATAGAAATCCTGCTTTAGAAGCTAAAAATACTGTAGAAATGGGATTTGAAATGATTAATATAATTAGTAGAGTCAGAGATAAAATTAATAATTCAGATTTAGATATGAGAATAGGTATTCATACTGGTAAAATAATTGGAGGAGTTCTTGGTACAGATATTGTTAGATATGATATTTATGGACCAGATGTCTTAATTGCTAATAAAATGGAATCTAAAGGAGAAAGAGGTAAAGTATAAGTCTCTGAAACAACGAAAAAAACATTAGAATTATGTTATCCAGAAGAATTTCAATATTAATCTCATTGTATTGTAGAAATACCGTCAATTGATAGAAAAACTGAAGGTCATTTCATTTAAATTAAAACATTCCAAGAACCCTCTATGGATTTATAGAACTATAATTGAATAATTATACTAACCATTTATATGTATATATATATGTATATCATTTTTTATTTTATTTTAATGTCTCTTAATAAATTCCATAAAATATCGAATCCTTCTCTAATAATAAATCTTTAGTTTTTCCATACTCTTTAATTTGGCCTGAATCAACAACGATTATTCTAAATAATAGAAATACTTACTTATCACAATGTAATATTGTGTTAATACGATGTGCAATTGTAATAACAGTGCAATCACGAAATGCATTCAAGATAGTTTCTTAGATTTTATGTTCAGTTTCAACATCTATGTTAGCAGTAGCTTCATCTATGAGAACTACTTTACTCTTTTTTAAGACAGCCCTGGCAATACAAATGAGTTGCTTTTCTCCAGAACTTAGATTATCACCTCCTTCACTAATTTAAGTATTTAATCCATTTCTTTATGTTGTTAAATCCTTTAAACAACATTGTTCTAATACTTATATGATTTCTTCATCCGTTCTTTAATTCAAAGGGTCAATGTTCTCTCTTAGAGTTCCATCAAATATAGTTGAATCCTGCATAATCATTGTTATATGTTCTCTAAGTTATTTTAAAGATATCGTCGATATATCTACGTCATCTATTACTATCTTTCCTTCTAGAGCTTCTAAAATCCTTAAAAGTGTCAATGTCATTGTAGATTTACCAGCTCCAGTTCTACCTACAACTCCAATCTTATCTTAAGGATCTATTGTAAAATTCAAATTCTTCAAAGCTGGTTTCAATCCTTCTCTATATCTAACTGAATAATTTATATAATCTATTCTCCCTTCCTTTGGCCAATGATCTAAATAATTCTCATTATGTTATGCTTCTTCTAAATTATTATTTACTAATTCTTTATAACCTTATTCAGGTTCAATCTTTGTAAATGCTAAACATCTTTCAAATGATACCAATCCTAATTATAATTAACTAAATGATTAAACACATTCTGAAACATTTCCATCTATTTAAGTTGCATATGTTAATAATAATCCAGCTAAAGAAGGATTTGAAAATGAGTAAAATACACAATACACTAATGCCATTGCATTTACAAATAAACTTACCAATCCCAATATTAACATAAACCAAGTCTAAGATCCTACTAATTCTAAAAACACTTTTCTATTCACATCCATATTTTCACAATGTTTCTCTATAAATTTACTCTCTTTCTTAAACACTCTAACATAACTCTAGCCATTTATACATTCTCCAAAAAAACTAACTATAGGACTTTTAGAAATTGACTCCAATCTTTACAATTCTCTACTTGCTCTTACATACAATTATTGTATCCACCAACATAAACAAAAATAAAAAAACAATGGAATCAACATATAAGCCGTACTTGAATATATATAAATTGTCAAATTTGCTAGCAATAAACTTATAGCAACAAAAAACCAACTTAAACCCCAATATATTTCACTATCTAAAGAATTTTAATCCTTTGTTAATCTATTTAAAATTCTACCCAAAGGTACTCTTTCAAAAAATGAACATTATGGGGCATACAATAAACAACTATAATAATAATAAAAAATAATATTTACTTTATCATTTTTGTATGAATTTTATCTGATGTTCTAGTTCCAGCAAAAACTAATAAAAATGGTCTAAAAAATGCAAAGACACCCTGACCCAAAGAAAAATAGAAATAAACTTCTAAATATTTATAATTATCTATATCTTCATCTTCTGAATGAGATGTCCACATTGCTATTAAAATTGAAGTACCAAAATATGATATGATCCAACAAATTTGAATAAGAATCAATATGAATATATTAAAATATCCAGTAAGTTTAAAGTATTGTTTATAAGTATCAAATGCCAATTTACCTCTTTCTCGATCCTCATCTAACATTAATTCATTATTCTATTCATTGTTATTCTCTTCTTTCTAAGATGATTATTTAACTAATTAAGGAAGATCTTCAACCTTCTATTCAATAGTTTCTACATCATCATTTTAATGTTAATTTTTGTATAACTTTTCAAATATTGAATTAAAACTAGTAGATTATTTAATTTATTGGAATGTGCCTTCTTCAATGATTACACCATTCTCCATTAAATAAACATAATCAACATATTAAAGATTATTTAATGCATGTGTTATAAGAATTCTTGTTTTATTTTTTAAATATCCATTGAAACATTCATTCATAATGAAATTTCCAACATGAGCATCAACTGCACTTATTGGATCATCTAATAATAAAATGTCAGCGTCACTATATATAGCCCTAGCTAAACTTATTCTAGCCTTTTAACCTCCTGATAAATTAATACCCTTCTCTCCAATCATTGTTTCATCTCCTTTTATTAATATCTTCAAATCCTACTATAAACAAGAATATTTTAGAGCATTTTAATATTTCTATTCCTTATACTCTAATCCAAATAAAATGTTTTCTTTTACTGTTAAATTTTATATCCAATATTTCTATCCTACATAAGCTAACTAGCCTGCTATTGTAATTTTAGGAGGATTCTCATGATTATATAACATCTCCCCTATTATTGCCTATAATATTGAAGTCTTTCCTGATCCTACATCTCCTATTATTGCTACCATCATTCCTTTTTTTATTTCAACATTTATATTAAATAAAACCTACTTCTTCTCATTCTCTTTCTAATTCTATTCTTCTATCTAAAGTTTTTTATTTTTCTTTTATTTCTTCCTCTTCTTTTTATTTTCCTACTCCTTCTTCTCTTACTCATCTATTTCTTCTTTCTTTAATGATGACCAATAAAAATTACCATTCCTTATTTCTACTGATTTCTCATCTCCATAATAATCGTATTAAATACAATTTGATTCTAATTCATCTGTAAATAAAAATTTCTATATTCTCTTTAAACTTATATTTGTAGCCATTACTTCATTTATTGCTATTGGTAATTATAATAATGGTTATTATAACATTTAAAATAAACTTATTATTGCAAAAGTACTTCCAGCACTCAATTAATTACCTAATAATATATGCATCAAAAATGTTCCACATAATATTAATAATGGACTTAACCATACTGAAAATATGTAAAAAGCTGTTCCAAAATATCGTTTCCTTGTTATATTTATTTCAACTTTTCTCAATTGAAATAATTTCTCTTTAAAAAATTGTTCAAATGCATTTATTTTTATAAATTTTATCTATGAAAATATTTAATTTGCACAATTTGTTCTCTTATCCTTCTCCTTCATCATTGTTTATTAATATTTCATTAAAAACTTACCTATCAATGTATTCCAAATTGCTGTCAATAACATTATACCGAATCCTCCAAGAAATGATAATCCTATATATACAAACATCAAATATATTGTAACTATCAATTATATTGGCACCAATAAAGCAACTCCTAAATAATATGTAACAAATTATAATTTTCCGGCATCTACTTACATTAAATTTATCACCTCTCCTGTTGTATATCGAGGATTACTTAAAAATGATGTTCTTAAACTTTTACTTAATAATTCTACTGATAATACACATTAAGCATCAAAACCAAAAGATCTCTTAAAATACTAAATTTAAATTTACAATCTGTAATCTAGCCTAAGCATTCGATATCATATTAATTGCTCTTGAAATCATTATAACACTAATTATTGTCGAAGCATAAACATGATCTTCTACCTAATTTGTTATATAATCTATTATGCTCTTGATCATCATTGGTATAACAACTGCTGTAATTACAGATATTATTAACCATATAAATGTAATTATGATTTACTTTTAAAAAGTGAAATACAATGCCTTAAATAAGGTATTTTCACCTTTCTAAGTAATAATCATCTAATTTTTGAATTTCTCATATAAATATTAAGATTTCTCGGTTTTTGATAGTGGTTGTACATTTTCAATTTCTAAAGGTTATTTTTATGCTAATTTTCTAAATTAATCATTAATTAATACAAAGATGGATAAATCCAAGAAACAAACAATTTTCCTAAAATTCCTGCTTTTTCTCTTGCTGTTTTTTTCTCCTCTGGTGCAATGGTCTCTACAAAACTACCAAAATCTCCAAAACTATCATTTATCAATCCTTTTCTTAAATTATCGCTACTCATAAAATATGATAAAGAATTAATTATATGTATTTTGTTTTTGGACTTTAAATAAAATTCTAAAATTAATCATATATAATTAAATCCATAATCCATTCTATTAGTTTAATGTGGCTGTTATAAATTATTAATATTTAAATAATGAGAACAAACTAAGGCTCAAGTAATGATTTATTGAATCGTTAAAATCAAGCAATAAGAGATATTGATCCTCTAATACCTAATTCTCCTAATGCTGGTATGAGTATTTAACCTGGTTTTGTATCAAGAGAAAAATATAACAAATTAAAGGATCTAAATTCAAAATTAAAAGTAAGAACACTCTCTGAAAAGCATAGGCAGCTTTGAGAGATTACATGTAAGAAAGCAAAGATTAAGAGAAAATATTACAGTTGAAAGATGAAATGATATAAAAATATGAGAGAGAAAGATCAGATTGGTAAACTAAAGGAAATGAAGATTTGAAAACATAATTAAATGAAATCAAAATTAAGGTTCAAAATAAGAAAATTAAAATCAAATCGTTAAAAGATTAATCAAAACTTTTTGATAAAAAATTAGATGAATAAAAAGCATCATTTCAAATTGAATTAGATAGAGTTAAATAACTCTCTGATGCTTTAACAAATGAAATGTATTCAATCTTACATTATAAAAATAGTAAAGATCATGAAAAAAGATATTAAATATTGAAAGATGAAAATGCTATTATAAAATAAGCTATTGTTGCTAAAGAAGAACAAACTAGATATTTTGAAATGGGAACTTAAGATGATAAATAAACCATTTTACTTTTAGAATCAAAAATTAAAGAATTATTTGAACAAAAAAAAATTATGTAATTAACAATTGATAATTTAACTTCTAAAAATGAAGACTTAGAAAAAATTATTAAAATTAATGAAGCACGTTATTAATAAGATTTTAATAAATTATAATCTGATAAAATATCATAACAACAAGAATTAAATTAGTAACTTAATAAAAAAAAAGAGAAGATTAAAAATATGATTAATCAAATTTAAGAATTAGAAAATTTGATTAGTTAATAATAGAAACAAGAATTCACGTTAAATAATGCAATTTTAGATAAATAATAAGAAAATTTAAAATTATAAGCTCATTTAGATGAATAAAGAAATAAAACTGATTCAGCATTAAAGGAAGCAAATTATTAAATTTAGGAAGTAAAGGAATTGAAGTCTAAATTAGAATCACAAAAATCTTTAGTTTAAACATATGAAGATAAATTGGCTTAATATGATAGATAGTATTAAATAGATCAAGATGAAAAAGCATAAATTTTACAAGATATTGATTAATTAAATTAAGATAATAGAAGATTATAATAATTGCTTTATGAATCAGATAATGATATAACTTATTTAAATAAATAGCATTTAGAAGTAATATTATTTATATTTTGAAATAGAAACAATAGTAAATAGAATAGAGAGTAGAATAATTGCAAAATTAATTGAATTATACATAGGATGAATTAGATGAATCAAATAGATTTATATAAGAATTGAAAAAGTAATAGTAAATAAATGAGGAATAGATAGATATCTATAAAAATAAATATTTGAAATCAAAATAAAATTAGAAGACATTATAGAATGAATAAAGATATGTAAATATTAAAAAATAATAAAAGTTAGAGGAAAAGTTGAAATTAATAGAGAATGAAAGGATTCATGAGGAGATGGAAGCATTAAAGACAAAAGATCAGATTATGCACTAAAGATAGGTATAATAGAGTAAAATAAGAATGCTTGATGATATTTAGAATATGATAAAACAACATAAGAAGACAAATAGCTGAATATTAATATAAATATGTAATAAAGGAATTTTACTAGAATATAATAATAAAAATATGATAATTTTATTAATCGATTTAATCACTTATTATTTGGATAGCTTTCACTTTCCCGATTTACAAATATAAGGTTTTTCTGAATGTAAAAGGGGAGCATCTACATCAGGAATAGGAAATTAATCTTTAGTGTTATTAGAAATCTTAGTATCTCTTAAACTTGAATTTTAATTCCATTAATTTTTATCAAATTAAAAAATGATAAATTAGACAGTTTCCTTCATAACATCTAAAGGTCTTTTAGAATTATGTGTGCCTTCAAATTATTTTAATTATTTAATTCCTCTGAATTTTTCCATTAGAATTTTGGGATGTTTTTCTAATATTAATTGATCTTATTTTGCAGATAAGAAGACAATAGAAACATCAGTAGATAAGGCTAATATTTGAAATAGATGTATAAATTACTTTGAATGATTTATGAGATATTGAGATCATCAATATTAAATTTGGCCTCTTTTCTTATTTTTGCTTTGACTAAACACCAAAAACAACTAAAGCAACAAGTTGGTATATTATAACTATTTGATGCTAATTCTTAACATAGATGAGTTAAATTAGAGAAAGGACTATCACATACTAAAACCTTGAAATTTTTATTAAGTGTTGCTGCAATAATAGCAGTCACTGAACCCATAGATCTGCCCCACAATCCAATTTAAGTTATTAAAGGCTGTTATACTTATAATTATGAAGTTCACTTACTTTATTTAATCTTAAATATTCATATAAATCATTAACATCTCTTGATTCATAATATCCTAAAGAAATGTATTCACCTTATGATTAACCTGAACCTATATTATTTTTATTAAAATAACATACCAGATAAATCAATTCCACAAACAGAAATGTTATTAGGTAATAAATATTCTATAATAGTTAATGCCTCTACTCTACTACTTGAATTCCCATGTAAATATATCATACATGTATGTGGTTTATCTTACATTCTTATTGGCTCAAACAAACTTATTAATAATTAGACTAAATACCTGCATTACAATATCAATCCTCGAGAATTTTAAATTTCAAAGTCTATTCTTTTAGTTACAGTATCTAAAACCATGAAAATCTCATTTCCCATATCTTTCAATGCATAATTATGTCTTGGAGGTCTTACTATTGGTTTCCATAACTTTTCTGTGCATCGGTATGATGGTTATTTCATTTTAAATTAATTAAGTTTCAATAATAAATAGTGTTGGTTTAGTATTAGAAATAATCATATAATACTGTTTTCCAAGAATCTCTTGATTATTCAACTAAATTAGTTACTGTTTCATATAATTTATTTTATCCAATATTTTCATGAAATCTTTTTTTGAATTCATTTAAATTGAAATTCTCCAAACAAGCTAAAAGATTATGTTTTGGACTGAAATGCATTAATTTTACATAAGTTAGTAACTCTTATGTATTTTCTTACAAAATTGCAAGTCCTATATTCAATAATAAAATATACCTGAAAATATTAGAATTTAATAATAAGTAAACATATCATTTCCTTTTCCACCTAATAATTCTTCATATTCACTTATTAATTTAAATGGAGCTGATTCAAATCCTATATTACCTGGAGTCAATGTTAATACAAATCCAAAATCTATATGAATTATATGACCTTTATTATCAATTAGGATATTTCCATTATGTCTATCTTTTAATTAAAATAAATAACAAATTAATGAATATCCTGCCAAACTCTCTGCAAAATTCTTTTACGCTTCTTAAAAATTCTCAAAATTCTTTAAATAAAATTGTTTTAAAGAGATATTTTAATTTTCTCTCTTTATTTTGTCTAAAGAAACTGTATTTGGTATATATTCTAAAATTCCGCTATTTGCAGAAGTTAAAATTATATCATAGGGTCTTAGAAAAAGCTTTAATTATTTCTATTTGAATATTTCATCAATTCTTTTCATCATCTACATAATTAAAAGTTCATTTCTTAAATCATCTCCTCCTTTTATAATAATCTATCTAACATCATGAGATTTTAGATTTCCATATTAAGAATTTTATTTAATCCTTTATTTTGTAATATTCCAATCTTCTCCCCAAATTGATTTATTTGAAGATTTAGATACATTAATATCTTTTTCCTTCATCTTATTCTAACTTTAAAAATTATTGAATTTCTAGAAATCTATTTTCCTTAAAGCTAATCTATTAAAATTTTATCAATATTTTACTTTTTTAATTCCTCAATATTGTATTACTAATATATTTTTATTTAGGATATTGTTTTCATCTCTTTTTCAATATCATATATTGGAATCAATTCTGGCAAGTTGTTTAGTAATAATTCATTAACACTCTCTATCAATTACAATTCATTTGGGCTAATTATTTAATTTATATTTGTTACTTTACTGTTTCAATTATAATCTTATAAGGAACTCTTTTTGCTGTATTATAACATGTAAATTCATCTTCTAACAAATTTACTATTAAATAAGAATCTTAATTCCCATAATTAAATGGAATAGTCAAACCTCTTAATTCTAATTAATCTGAAAATCTTAAGCTATTTATCATTTAATTTATATGTAATAAAAATTTGCTCATATGATCTTTTTGCTTTTCTATTTCTATTTTTTTCAATCTCAAACTTTATTCAATTAAACTAAACATAATATTCTCTTATTTCTCAGCATAAATCTTTCTATTTTTTTTAATCAATTCATCTAAGTTTAATACAATTATACATTTTTATTCATCACTTTTTTGAGATTAATAATGTACAATGAATTCTTTTCTTAAAAACTAATTAATATATATTTCAACAAAATTACCTCTAAAAAATTAGTATAGCCTATTTTCACTTTTTCATATTAAGAATCCTCATTTAAGGCCTTTAAAGTCCACTCCAATCTATAATAATTAGAATTATTTATAAAAGCATAATTATATAGAAGCTCTTTTAACTATTTATTTTCTGTAACATAATATAGAAAACTAAGAATAATCAAATATTAACTACCATAATTGAAATAAGAATTAATCAAATTCTGGATCAGAAATGTAATTATACAATCCAAATATATTTTATTCAAAGCATTGTTCTTATTTTTCTAAAAGAGAAGATAATAACTAGCTCATTATTCTATTTAATGGAGTTATTGACATTAGACTAATTAATAAATAATTTTTATTAAAATTATCATAGAAATTAATAATTTATATCATCATATACAAAAATAATTATATATGTACTCATAAATTTAATAATTAATCAAAATATGACTTTTATTATTAATTATTTAGAGTTTATATAATTATTTTAATTAGCTGAATCTAAAAAGAATAAATAAGTTATTTCTTATAAATATGAATATTTTCTATTGTTTTTTACTATTGTATGATAAATTAATTATATAATTATTTTAAAACTTATAGCATAATTAGATTTAATATTAATTCAAAATTTTTAGCCAAAACTTTCTCAAATATTATTTGTTAAATTTTGATTGTTTTAAATATATCATAAATTTTAAATTAAATATTCTTTCATATATTCTTCTGAAATATTAACTTATAATATATATTAGCAACCTTTTCCTAAAGGATAATAATGAATAAAATCTTTAAACACATTTTTCATTTTCACAAGGTAAAATTTAAGTTTAATTGAATCGCAAATACTAAAAATAGTATTTTACAAAACTTCACATAAATTAAGATAAAAAATATGCACATGCATAAAATTTAAGGTAATTTCATTTTCTTTTATATTCATATTATTAATAATTTCTTAAGCTACACCATAAATATGAAATTTTTCACTTTCTAATTTATCTTGATTTAGTTGCATTCGCTATTTTTAATCATCCCATTTATTTTTGGTCAACCATTCTTAAAATTTAAACTATTTATCTATTTTATATTGAATTTCCTTAATTTTGATAAACCCTTGATTCATAGATTATTCTAATTGTTATTAGGTTTTAAATGCAAGTGTTAAAATGATCTTTCTATAAGCCTATATTATACCAACAATTTTTAAATTATCTTTTCTCTTTTCCTATAATTCAAAAAGTGATTCTTCACAATCAAGAGCAAATATAAATAATTTGTAAATATGATTAAGAAAGTCTTAATAATTTTTCTACACTACATAATTTTTCAATTATTCCCAATTGATTCTTTTTTATGGATTGTAAACTATCATTTTTTCAATTAACGAAATAATATCAGGATTCTTAATTATATAGACAATTTACCCTATTAGATTTTGGACATTTAAAAGGTTGAGTGTCAAATTTTTATTGTTCTTTTATAATATCATTTAAGTTAATTTATTCTGTATAATATCTTTTAAAAATCATGTAAAATATCGTTGCTCCAATCTTTACATAAATATTATTCTTACAGAAAATATATCACATTATTAGTTATGGCTTTATTTTTATTCTAATACTTCTGGAGCTGTAAATAAAGGAGTTCCTACAATAGAATTACCTAAATCTTAACTAGTGATTATTTTTCCTGCTCCAAAATCAATTATCTAATATTGAATAAATACATAACTTTGTAAATATTATAATTATTTTTATCAATTTTAATCATAATATTTTATGGTTTTAAATCTCTATGAAGGATGTTCTGATCTTTTAGATAACAATAACCTGTGATTATTTATTATAAAAAATCAATAATTTGGAAATCGGTAAAGCCATTTGGATAAGCATTTAACAATTATTCAATATTCATTGAACACTTTTCTAAAATTATAAAATTCCAATCTGAATCTTCAGTCACTTTTTTTAATTAAACAATATTTTAATTTTGATGCCCTTCAAGTTGCTTAAATATTTATATTTCTCTAGAGATTTCATCTTGAAGATAATTTTTTGCAATCATTTTACAGACTAATTCTTCTTTAGTTTCAATATTAAATGCTTCAACAATAAAATCCAATTGTCCATTTCCTATTTGAGCAGTTTTTTTTATAAAATAAGTGTTATCTAAAAGAAAATACTCTTATTATTATTCATTTAATTCAAAGACAGACTAATTTCTCATTTCTGCTTTATAAATAAGCATTTATTGATAATATTCTCTTAATTTAAAATCATCTGTAAAGTTATCTTGAACATTTAAAGTTTTCCTAAGAAATTCTTCCTACTGCTAAATCAATTCCTTAATAGAATTTGCTTAAAATGGTTTCTAGCCTTAATTGCAAATATAATACAATAACATTCCTAACTATCATAATTATAATTCATCATACCGTATAAATACAACAGGAACTTTAGATTTTCTAAGATTTTTTTAATGTTTCTGGAGCAGCAAAATCAGACATTCCGTTTAATGTACTGATTCTTCCACTTTCTGATATTTCAGCGGATCTGAAGTCATAAATCTATAATATTAGAAATTATATTCACCAACTTGAAGAATATATTCATTATCTCTTATAGTTTTCACAGCTATATGCTTTGGTTGCAAATCTCTCAAAATGATTTTTTTAGATTTTAAATATTTAAATCCCTATACTAATTAACCAAAGAAATTTTCCTTCATTTAGACAGTAAAATTTTATTTAGTTTTTAAAAACTCTTCTAAATTTTAAGTGATTTCTTCTTGTAACACAAAAAAATAATTGTCCTTTTTTATAATTTCGAAAATGTGAATAATATTAGTGTGAGGTTTCATACAAAGTAATTCTAGAACAGCTATTTCATGATCATTATTGCTTAATGATAAATGTATTTATTAAGCAAAAATATTTTAATTAGTCTTAATATTTTTACATGGATAAAAGATATTAGCATTTCTTAATTTAATTTCTATTTCCTATTTTGAATCTAAATAGAACAATTATATATAATTGATTTTTGGTTAAGAGATTTTAATCTCATATGTATTATTAAGAGTTAAATTTTCGAATGAAAACATGGAATAGATGTATGAAGGTCAATAAATTATTATTTTATATAATCAATAAAAAATAAAATATTGTCATTATAATTATTTTAATGAAAAAGGTGCCTGAAATTATAATTTATTTTGAATTTCAAATATTTATTCTGATCCCATTCTAAATTTGTTGAATTGATTAAAAGAGTTTGGTTATTTAATACCTACAGATAGATTTTATAATTAGATTCTTTCATTATTATCTAATTCTTCAATAATATCTGCTCCAGCAGAACTTAGATCTTCAAAAGTGATTCTACGACTAGTATTTTCATTTTAATTAAATAATTTACGAGTAGTCTAACATTAAGTTCTATCTATGTTCTTTAAATGTATTAAATTAGTTTTGATTGACATATGATTTTACTAGATCTACAATTTTGGAGTTCCAGTTAAATCTTCTCCTTTTTTAAATAATCTGAACATAAAATCATAATCTGGTTATTAGTCAAATTTCAATCTTTTAACATATTCTAAATATTTTGATATTTCAGGAGGGAGATTAATATAAGATTCTGGTTTAAATGCTTCTTTCATTCTTTATATTTTATAATACTTAACAGTCTTATCTTCAGCCACAATATTATTCCATGGTAAAGTGCCCAAATATAAATAAATTAATAAATAACCTACTGATTCTAAATCATCTCTTCTTGACTATTCATTTCCTTTTAAAGAATTAATTGAAGCATATCTAGCAGTTCCAATCAGACCTTTGTTTTCTTTAAATTCTATATGTTTTCCATCTTATATATACAGTTTTGATAATCCAAAATCAATAAGATAGAGTTTATCCTAAAAAACCATAAAGTTCTCAGGTTTTATATCTCTATGTATAATATTTGAAAGATGTAAGTCTTTTAATAATTAAACCATCTATTATCCTGTATTTAAAATAGTTGTATTATCAAAATTGCCACATTTCATTCTAATTTATTCTAAGTTTTCTCCTAGTAAATTCATTATAAAATATGTATTTCTATGATCTTAGCCAGAAGTTATTAATTGGGTAAATCCTTCATTTAGCAAATTAATCATTACCCTTTTTTCCTTTTAACAATTACAAAATCTTTATTTCTCTTTAAAGAAGTATCCTCTCTTTATTCATGGTGTTCTTTACTAATTTACATGCATATATCTAACCAGTGGATATTTGCTTCACCTTCCATATAAATCCAAAAGAACTTAAGCTTAAAAGATTATATATACCCTTCACCTAATTTATCAAGAAATTAATATGATTATGAAGCAGGTTTATTGTCTTAACACTTCATCTTAAGTGTTCAAATTTTATATTATTTAAATTCATTATAACTTAGAGACTAATTAAGAATCTAAAGATTTATTGATAATTATGGAATTTTATCAAAATTCTAGTTTTATTACATATAAATAATAAATAGACTATTATGATAAATATTTGATGACTCGGACTTTAATCAATAAATTTATTATAATCTAATTGTGGAGAAAATACCCAAAAATACTCATCTTAGTTAAAAAATATACTCAAATAAATAATTTGCATTTAAAATATGTGTAATATATTTTGAATAGATAAATCATGCACTTTAAGCAGCTGGATGCTCAGAGTTTTATCCCTTTGCAATTGTTTGCTATTACTATGGTTGATATTGTGCTTTTGATTTCCTAATTTTAAATATGAAAATTTTAATTACTTTCCTGTGGTGGTAAGGAATTATCTGTAATACATACTATTTGTTGCGTAGAGCATTTGTTAATTCTTCTATTTTTTAATTTATTTATTAAAAATCACAAATTAATATTCTCGTTTTTAATGAAAGAACAAATCTAAGAATTGGTTCAATAGAAACAAATTTTAAATAACATCAAACATACAAGATATTATATCCAAAAATTAAATAAATTAATGCTATTTCATATCGTTTTTTATTTAATTGTCTTTATGCTATCAATTATGATTTAATAGTAAAACTAACTTAGTATGATAAACAATCTTCTTTTTAGAAGAAGCAAATCAAGAAACCTTATATGAAAATATCTGTGAATTCCTCATTTAAAAGAATTAACTTCAATATTTTTTGATCTAAATAGTTTTTTTTAAAAAATTATCTCAGAGATAAAACATAGCTTAAATATTTATGGATATGCTTCTATACTGATTTACTAATATCTGACCAATCTTTTATATTTTTAAGATGTTTTTAGGCATTTCTCAATTAATTTAAATATGAAATCATTTTTATATCTGCCAAAAAGTTTATTTGAGGATTTCCTCTAAATAATATTTTATCAAACTAGGAATGACAGTAAGATTATTAAACGTGCGCTAAGAAATTTATTCACATATGCAGAAGAATATATTGAAGTCACTCAATATAGAGAAAAATTTTTAGGGATTCATTAATATTCTTCATCAAATAAAAATTGATTAATAAATATTATGATCAATAATTGCATATACAAATTATTAAAAGGGGAAACTTTTAAATCTAATTTAATTGGGAATATTTCATAAGAAGAATCATTATATATTTTTAAAATCATTTGAAACACAATATTTAGATTACTACCCCCATATCTTCTAAGATTTTTAAATTTATATAATTATCCCCATATACAGCATAATCTATAATGGATCACCATATTATTACATTTTTGATATTGAACTAAAGAAGATTGATACTTCTATCAAGAAATTGAAAGACATTTGTTAGAGCAGCTTTTTGAAATCTTCTATGTTAAAATCTGCCATAATATCATTAGATGTAATAATAGAGAAAAAACTTGATTAGATTTATTGGGATATTTTTAAATTAATAAATGTATTTTATTTTATTTTTAAAAGAGATCAAAATTATATTTAATTAAATAAATCTTTTAAAAAAAGAAGATATTCTTGGTTTTCTAAATAAATTATTTTAGAAATTCTCTAAAATAAGTATAAAGTTTGATGGAAAACAGATTTTAAAATATATAAAAATAAAATATGTATTGGATTAGATGTTTTTGAAAATTTAAAGAGAAGTTAAAAGATAAAGAGAAAATAAAAGTTGAGGATATTTAATAATAATGTTGGTTTAAATTAGAATAGGTTTGATTAAAATAAATTTATTAATTTAATTCATTTACGATTTTATTATTGTTCTTCCATTTCCTATTTAACTTATGAGAATTTAGGTTATTTTAGCTAGTTATTTTAATTCATATTCATAAATTGGAAATACTAATCTCCATATTAAGGCATCATAGGAATTTAATAATTCATTATTGGGACTTGCTACTATTATTGGTTATTTTTTTATTGCTAATTTTATTGTCCTTATTATTGCTAAGATTATTAATATACTGGTTAAGGAGCATATCTAAATAGTTTAAAATAATGAATACAAGACTGGGATAAATTGTTATTGCATTCCTACAGGTTAAGTAGCTGCCAGAGGAAGTGATTATAAAGGCATTTAAGCAATTTAAGGAATAGATTAAATTTGAGGCATTTATATTTATCCATTTTGTACAGCAGCCATTTATCCAGGTTAAACCATTTATGGAATTTAACCTTAAATTTATTACATCATTTGAGGTGGTAGAGAAGAAATAATTTATGGGATTTATCCTGGGATAGTAGAAACTACCTAAGTTGGAATTTAACCTACCATTTAACCCATTTATCCTGGAATTTGACTAATCATTTAACCTGGAAGTTAACCAACCATTTATCCTGGAATCTAACTAACAATCTATCCAGGAATCTGGCCAACCATTTATCCTGGAATTTGACCTACCATTTATCCTGGAATTTAACCCATCATTTATCCTGGCAATATTGGTATTTGAGCCATTGGAGCCATCTAAACTTAAGGATACATAAAATTTGAAGGATAAACTAATTAATAATATTACTATTATTATTATTATTATTATTATTATTATTATTATTATTACTATTATTATTATTATTATTATTATTACTATTATTATTATTATTATTATTATTATTATTATTATTATTACTAAAGCTACAATGTTTAAGATTATGGTTAATGTTATATTGGTATTATTGGTGTTGGCATAGCAACAGGTTGCATTATTGGTTAGACTATAGGCATTTAAACAGGAATTTAAGCTTATGGAGTTTGTGAAATCTATTGAGGATTCTGTTGATGCTGTTATTATGAAGATTATTATTACTATTATGTTTATGGTAATTTTTAATCTAATTTTGGAAGAGGAGGTGGAAGAGCTTAAATCTTATTTAAAGATTATTACACTTCCTTTTTCTGTTCTTTTTTTTGTTTCATTAGTTCGATTACAGCTTTTAGTTAAGATTTAGGAAATAAGCGCAAATTAGATGAATCTTTTCCCATCACAGCAAATTATACTTCTGAAAGGTTATCAGAATCACTGATAGGTTCTTCATCTAATTCTACAGTATCTCCTTTTTAAGCTACCATATCTTAATAATGATCTTTCATTTTATTATAATCTAGATTTTCATCTTGCTGATATTTTTAAAGAACTTTTTTAACGATATTATTTGCATGCAATTTCTAATCTTTTTCAGCTGCTTTTAATAACTTTTTAGAACAATTATTCTAATTATTTCCATTATTCTTTTTTTGAACCTTATTTTCAGACTCATATTCTTATTTATTTTTTACTATTTTTGGTTCCAAACTACTTAATTAATATAAAAGGAAACTAATTTCCTATTATCCAAATTATTCTAATTTTTCAATTTAATTTAACTATAATTTTCCCAACTCTCTATTTATTTCTGCTTTACTTAATATTGGAACTTCCTATTTCTCCAATTTTTTCAGTATATTAAAATACCTATTCTTTATTGAACTTTCTGTTCTTTAATTTTTCATCTCTATTGCTATACTCATCCAATTCTTTCCATGCTTTAATAGCTGTTTACATAATTCATATTCTTCATTTTTTTCCCAAGGACCTTTTTGAATATTTGGATTTAATCTATTTAACCATCTGTCTCTAACCATTTTCATCATTTTCACATTTTATTAATTTAGTTTTTATGCTAATTCTTTTGCTATATCACTCCATTTGTATGGTTTATTTTAAGCTTACTAAGAAAAACAAATCTCTTTTAAAGCTTCATCCTCTTTTTTTGACCATTAATATTAGAATACTTTTAATTTTTTCCTCTTTCCGAATTATAATTTGCAATCAATTATAGATTTTTTCACTAATTAAGAGATAAGACTCCAAACATTGTCAGTGACTTAATAGTGACTAATCTATTAATCAATACAATAAGTCTAAATTAGCAACTTTAACAATTTGACAGAAGCATCATCCCACTTAGGGTTGGAAACTTGAAAATCAACATTAATCTCACTTTGAGCTCTAATTTTATTCTTGATTCCTTCATCTGTCTATTTCAATAGTTCTAGAAACTAATCAAGAATCTCTTGCATATATATAATTATTTATTTAATTAATATGTGAATTAACCAATATTACTATTCATATAATATTTCTTGTTATTTAAGATATTTTAACCTTATTCAACTTTTCATACTTTTTATATTAAAAATGTTTATTTTTTAATTTGTTAAATATATAACAGTAAACTCATAATTTCTTTTCATTTATTAAAAACTATATTATTTTTTTTTTACAGATAGATATAGATTAGGATTTATATATAATTAGATCATATTGTTAGAAATCAATGCCTTATATTTTCTTCTGGAAATAAAATCTATGCTCTGGCAATAATATTTAGTATTTTTAAACAAATGAAATTTTATTATTCTTTTACTTTTTTCAGGTTATTAACAATATTATTACCAAAAGAGTCATTATTTTTAAGACTTTAAGAATTAAAAATATTGAATATTTTTCTATTTCTGAGATTATTCTACATTTTTTTAATAATTATTTTAATCTTTGATCAATATATTTCAATTTTATGCAATTTTTAATATTAAAAAATTCTTAAATACTTTAATTATTTTGGCTATGTAAATATCTTAATTATCTTTTCAAAAATTAATATTTAATTTTAACTAAAGAATATGCTTGTAATTAGAAAATGATATTTAAATAATTTTACTATTATTTATCATTATATTTTATCAATTCTTATTCATTCCCTATTTGAATATCAAGCAAGTTTTTTGTAATTATACAAGATTATTGCAAAATTAGAAATCCAAAATAAGTAGTGGAAAAAAAAAATTTCTAATTTTCATTTTAAAAAAAGGATTTAAAAAATTTTTTATTTGATAATGAGTAATGAAAATCTAATTAATTATCCAAATTATTTTAGTCTCATACTTACAGAAAAAAGGAAATTTAATGAATTAAAATGTCATTTCAAGTTATTAGAATTCAGATAAAAATTAAATTTGGCAATAAGCAACAACATTTTTCTATTATTTGTTAAATTAATAAACAAAGAATATAAATTGAAAATTATATATCAAATATAGATGCTGTTTATTAAAATTTCTATTTAAAGATTAATAGAGAAAACTTAAAATTTTTAATAACAATTTGATTCGGAATATTTTTATCAATAAATATAAATACATATTTTGTTATCAAATAATCATTATCTAGATTGATCCATTGATATGTTTAGTTTAAATGATTGTAATTTATGTTACTTTAATTTATTCCTTCTAAATATAAAAATTAATAAAATAGTTATGGTTATTATAATTATTAATAATATTATGATACCTCTATCATATTATTATTTAAAGCTAAGTTCCTCTTATTAAATGAATACATTAATCTCAGCTTGGGATATTTCATTTCTTGCAATCAATAAACAGTCCTAAGATTTTTTTTTACTTTAAATATTAATTTCATACCCAATTTCAACTATATATGCCTTATTCTCTGTCAAATTAAATAAAAAAAAATGTGTATTATTATAATCTTAGAGAATAATTTGGTTAGTAACCATTTAATAAATGGGATCATAAAAATATTATTCTTGCTTTAAATCATATATATATTGATTTTAATAATTACTAATTATAGCTAAATATTCATTAATATGGAAAAAATTCTCTATGCGCTCATAATGTCTAAGAATTTTTTAAATATTTAATTCATAAGTGGTTTATACAGTATTTAATTAAACTTTGACATAAAAAAGAAAATTTTGATAACTAAATATACAATTTATTGTTATATAAATGTTGTTTTTAGCAGAGTTATTTATTTTAATTTGTAAATTATTTTGCAATTCTACATTAAAATAGATTGAAGTTAATTCTTAAAATGATTGTAGTATTTTCGCTTTTGATAAATGATAGGTGTTTATAAAGGATATTTCATTTTAGTTTAAATAACAATGTTTCATTATAAAAAATTCTGTATCTTCACTTTATATAAGATATTCTTCTAAAGTGTTTTAAATAAATGCTACATTAATTTTTATTTTGCTTTAATAAATCTATCTGATAAAGTCTTCATTTATGCAAAAAATATAAAATTATAAGCTTGTTTGTGTTAAAAGAATATTAGCAACAATATTTATTTCACTAATAATCTCATTTTTCAAAGGAAAAGAAAAAGTTTAAAATTGAATGAATTAATCAGAAAGAAAATCATATTTTAAAATTTAACCTACAGTTTGATCTGAAAACTGTTGAATAATTAAAAGGTCTCCGTTTGTTAATTACATCAAAAATTTATTTCTTTAAATAAGAAAAAGTTTAGGTTTGTTTGGTACACCATTATTCTCTCTGATTTTAATGAAATAATATAATAGTTTAAACTTTATCAAAACATTTATGTTAGCTAACGTATTTGTTTAGAGACAAATTTAATCATTGTTTTAATCACAGGAATATATACGACTTCTAAATTAAAACGGACCACTTAGATTAAAAAGACATTCATCATTTAAAAAAACAATTTCAATAGGTCCTGAAAAATAATTCGATAAAGTTAAGCTATTTTTTTCATCTGAGTATTGATAAATAGATAGATTTGATTTTGAATAAACTTTATTGCACTAATTTTATATTTTAATTTAGATATTAAATTTATTTTATTAAGTTCTATTAAATTGGGAAATTAAATTTAAATGAAATTCTCTTTATTAAACAATTTTATTAAAGTCTTAAAGTTAGTAAGTAATAGTAATTTATTTTTTATCTTAATATGTTAGTATGTTATTTTCATCAAAATAATATATTTGATTATTATCAATTAAAAAGTTAGGTTGACTTATTTAAATAATTTGTTTAATTTTATAATGATTTAATTTTTACGAATAGATGAGTAGATATAATTTATTATATCTTTGTGCTACTATTAAGAAATCTGATAATATTGCTTTGTATTTTAGTGGCTTGTATATAGAATAATCAAAGAGATCAAGGTCTTATAGATAAACTAATTCATTCTTTTCTAATGCAAAGATCTTCAATCTGTTTTATGTTTAATTTATCGATAAGAATTGAACATTCAATTATAACACTATAAAAGTTAATGCTTAATTTATGTACAGAATTAGATTATCAAGAAAATTAATTTTAATGACTTCTTTTAAATTTTAAACCAATATATAACCCTAATATTAGTAAATTTTTATGAAAAAATTATCAAAATAATAAAGTAATATATCTTTATTTAAGGTTACATTTAAGTATTGTTTTTCATTATGTATAGAAACATAAAATATTAAAACTGCTTTTTCTTTTAAGTTTATAATCATAGTCTCTTACGCTTAGTAAACATCTAGAATTTCAGAATCAAAGTTTAAATTTTATTTAGTCCATTAAGTATTATTGACATTAATTATATTTACTTTTGTTTTTCCTTTATCTACAATTATCAGTTGATTCTAGAAAACATAAACAGACTTATCTTAAATTTTTTCTTAATGAAGTAATGTTCTCGATATGCAATTATAAAATTAGATGTAATTCTAATTTGAAAATATAGAAAGTCCATTAAGATCATCATAAAGCAGAAGAACTGAATCGTTTAAAATTTTTTTCTGATATAAACATATCTCAGAAAAATTTTTTTTTATTGAATCAATACTTAAAATATTTTAGTATTCTCTTGGAACTTCAAGATAAATTGGTATTCCTACAATTAATTCATAATAACTAATGTGCAGTTTTATTTATGGAGAACATTCAAAAAATTTATTTTCCCAAAACGAAAATTTAGTTTCTAAAAATTAACTGGAAGAATTTCTTTAAATTATCTTGTAGCAGCCTATGTTTTATAATTAACAGCAATAAAAACTTTTCTTAGAATATTCATATATATATTAATATTTTGGTATAACATATTTAGATAGAGATTTTACTTTAAATAAATTAATTAATTTAAGAATTGGATCTATTGTAATCATAAAGTTAATTTCACTTGAAAATAATATTAAGCCTGAAATATCATAATATTAAATGAATTTCAAATTTATGAATAATTATATATTTTAGTCAAATTAGAATATTGTAAAAGAATTAATCTAATGAACCTTTAGAGGATATTTTAATTTACTAAATGATAGAGTTTAATCTTAATGATTATATTAAAATGGTATGATTGATTCATCCTATCCTATAAAAATGTTAATCTTACATGCATTATCAAATACTAATTAACTTAATTATATTTTCTTTATCAACTTTATAAAGATTAAATCTAAAATTTCAAAATCCTTTATCAAAATGTACGCATTATCAAAAAGAGCATATATTGATTGTTAACATTTTTATAAATTCACCAAATTTATTAAATCATTAAAGGTTTAGTTAGCTCTTAAAATGCTTTGATTTAAAATAAGAGTGATTTCAGAGTTGTATGATCTATAAATAACCCAATCTGAACAATTAACAAAACCTATTATATAAGAAAAAGGTTCATTTTATATTGTGATTTTGGTACAATATTTGGGTTCATGATCTTTCTAATGATTATAATACGAATTTAATTGAGTTTTTTCCTTTAAATCTAAGAATAATAATTTAAAATAATCTTAGGAATAACAAATTATTGTAAAAGTAAATTTATTATTGTAAAATATCTATTCACAGACGTCATTAAATTAAGTTAAAATAGATATTTTATCTGAATAGATTAAAATTTTTTAATCCTCATTAAATGTTAACCCATTGATACATTATATAAAATACATATTTTCTTAAACAATAAGATTACATATTTATTTTTCATATTAGTATTAAAAGGATTGTAATAATAAACTAGAAATTAGAGTTCCATTCAATATATATTACATAGAGTTTTATAATGATAAAATGTCATATCCAATGCTATGAATTTTTGAAATATCAGCTTCATTAGTCTGAATAATTAGAGATTCTTTTCTAGCTGATTAAAAGTATTCATTTTATTAGATCTTTAATTCATTACAGTTTATAGCTTTTGAAAACTTAAGTATAATAATGAAAAGTGATATTTTAAGGAACATAATTGAATTTATAAAAAATTATATATTTATTAAACTAAAAATTTTTTTTTACAAATTAAAATCAAAATAATTAATAGATTAAATAAATTTACAATCCAGTTATGATGCAGAATTTAATTATTGGCAATTTAAAATGAAAGTAAAGAAGAGTTATGATTTATATTTAAGTTTTTATTTAATTAATTTAAAAAAGATGTTGATTATCCTATATTTTGAAATTCAATTATTAATATTATGGTTTTAGTATTTATAAGTAAAAAAAAATAGAAGAAAAATGGATTTTTTATTTTGAAGATATCAACAATTATTTTAATGTAGGAGAAAATTTTCTAAATCATTCTCTCATAATAAATATGAATTAAAAGAATAGATAGCATTAAACAAGTAGTTTCAACACAAATAATTAAAACCAAGACTTTTGGGATCTGAAATGATAATGAGAATTTCTTCAAAGAGTTATTAAATAAAAAATAATAAAAAGCAATGGTGGTATGAAAATGAAGCAAGATGAATGCATGACTTAATTAAAATATTAAATTATATTTTATTTCATTATGAAAAAAGAGAAAAGAAAATCTTCTTAAGCTTCTCTTTATCGTTCTTCAATCACAATTACTGATATTCCAGATAATCTAATAGAAAAAAATGATATTTTGGCAGAGGAAATATAAAGGACTGTGAAAACTCTTACATTTAAATAAAGGATTGTTAAAGCGGAAAGACATATTTACGATGCTTATTATTTAAGAACCATACGTAATGATATTGATGAAACTGATAAGAAATTTCTAAAAATATTATGGATAGTTGAAAATTAATACTTTTGGATTTAATTCCAATTTGTATTAACTTTATTGTATTAATTGATGACCTTCTTTGAATCAACAGCAACAGATGGATTAGAAGGATTCATTTTATCATTTTTTGGTTTAGACACTATAATAACATTAATTTTGTTGAAATACAAGAAGAGAGGAAGCTAAGGATTCAAATTTAATTTAAAGAGATAACTTAAAATCTTTTTTTTTTCAATGTGTTTACTTGATTTTTTTATACATCTTGGTGATCCTAGTATAATAAGATTTAGTTAAATTTTGAGAGCTTTTTTGATGCCTTTATATTCAAAAGATTTAAGAAGGACTTTAAAAGGGATAATGAAAGCAAGTCGAGATTTACTTTTATTAATAGTATTGTATTTATTCGTAATTTCAATATTCTCTTTTATAGGGGTAAATTTAATAGGAGAATTAGAGCATGTTGATAAAACAACTTAAGATTATGGTAATTTTTTAAAGTTTTTTTCTATGTTATTAATGACAGCAACTCTCGATTTTTATCCTGATATTTTAATACCACCTATGATGGAAGGAACATATTATGCTTTATTCTTTATAATTTATTTATTGTTATTTATATTTCTATTTGCACCTATTCCATTAGCAGTAGTTTATGAAGGATTTAGAAATCATAGAATGGAAATTGCAATTAGTGATATTATAAAATAGAAATCAGCTATGATGGCAAGTTTTATTTCTTTAGATTTTGAAGATTAAGGATTTTTAGCTGAAACATAGTTTAAAGATTTTATTAGAGGATTTTATAGAAATTAACTTTCAGAACATAAACTTTAATAATTATTTGGAGAAATTGATAAAGATTTCAAGTAAAACAACAATAATAATTAGTGATAAAGTTTAATTTGATGAATTTTACTAATTATTAAAAGTGCTATAGGATGGTACCAGATTTAATCTACCTGAAGCCAAACCTTTAGAATGTTGGGAAAAAATAAGAGCATATTTAAATCAAAAAGGTCTATTGAAATTTATAGAAGGAAGTCTTTTTGGAACAGTTATGTTGGTTGTGACAGTTACAAATTGTATACTAATTATTACTGCTTTTTTTATTGAAGATATTAATATCTTAGAAATATTTAATTAATTAGACACAATATTTTTGGTATTATATTCTTTAGAATGTATGGTAAAGATTGTTGCAATTGGAATTAGAGATTATTTTAAAGAAGGATGGAATGTTTTTGATATTTCATTAGTTATTCTTTAATTGATCTTTGATTATGTTTTATTTAATGTCGTTAGTGGAAACATAGTACAATCTATTAAGGCAAATAGAATATTGAGGTTAGCTAAAATATAGAAAGTTTTCCGTTTATTTAGAGCATTTAGATCAGTTAAAATTATAAGTTTTCTGCTTAAAGGAGTAGAATTTTTAGATGTTGTGAGAAGATTATTATATAAAATATTATTCTGTATTCCTATAATAATTAGATTGATGATGCCTGTTTAGATGGTTTTCTTTATTTATGCTACTATTGGCATTTATATATATGGCAATGTAGAAACAATTCCTGATAATCCATATGCCAATTCTAAATGTGATCCAAATGAATTACAATATTCTTGGGGAGATTGTAAATATGCTGATTTTAAATCATTTAGTGGAGCTTATTTGATGATGCTTTAATTTTTCATTGCTGCTGAATGGAATTAAGTTGTATTTGAATTAACTTATGATACTGGGAATATGTTTTCAGCCATGATTTTTATTGGATCTTTTGAATTTTTATCTATATTTTTATTAGCATTAATTAGTGGACTTGTTTGGGAAGTATTTACTATTGTATCGTTGTCTATTAGATAGGAGGATGAATAATAAGATGATTAAGTAGAAATTTCAAATGATGTTTAATTAGATACGAAAATAACTGGAATTTCTGGGGTTACTTAATTAAAAAAGAAAACAAGAATTTTGAACGATGATAATCCAGATGTAATTTAATTTTAATCAAATGAAAATCGAGATTTAAAAGAAGGCAATCCAGCTTTTAGAACTATATCAGAACAAATGTAATAAGATACTTTTAATGAAAATAATATATAAACAAGAGAGAATTCATAAGTAAGAATTGTATCAATTGCTCATTCCAAAACAATAATAAGAATTAAAGCTCCAGAATATAAACCATTTGATGTTGGTTCTTTATATAAATAGCATTTTAAAGATTATCAAATCTTCTTAGAATAAAAATAAAATAAGGAGGGTTTTGATGTATAGCATGTAACAACTGAATATATGAATCATTTAAGAAATGAAATAAAGAAGGATGAATTGTTCCATAAAAAATATATTAACATTTCAAATCATCAATTATTGATATAAAATGCAGTTCTTAGAGATGCTTCTGAGGTATACATAAAAAAGTAAGAGGATGAGTTTTTTAAAACATCTTATAGAGAGAAATTTGAAAGAATCTAAGAATTAAAGTTTTAAAGTAAATTTAAAATAGAAAGTAAAATATTATTTTCTTTAATGGGAATTCTAAAATTTCCAAAACCAAATATCAAATATTACTTTTAAATACTCTATCTGATTGAAAACTATTTTACATATTAATTGTTACCAGAAAGTTCTTTCTTTAAATTGCTTCATCAAATTAATAATAGATGGTATTTAATTAGTATAGAGGATACAGAAATATGTTTCAATAGATTACATTAAGGTCCTTGGGATTATTCTGATACTTTATTTACAACTAGTAATCTTTAGATTTGTGATAATTTAAGAAGTTTCATTGATCAAGATACGTATGAAAGTAAAACAACAGTTGAAGAATTTAAATTAAGTTTAAGTAAATTGGCTAAAAATTTTGAAATGGATATCTCATCAGTAGATGTAAATAGTAGTTGTATTCTCTATTAAATTACAAATGATGAATTTGGATATGACATTAATTCTATAAAATTAAAAAGAAGTAAATGATATAAATTTATAGATAGCACAAGAAGAAATATCTCCAGATTAAAAATTTGTTGTTTTAGAATCATAAAGAAACATAGGTACAAAACCTTTTGTAACACATCGTTAAGATTCCTAATTATCTGATGAACATAAACATATTAGTAAAACAATAATGTTTGTATTATCTAAAACTTAAGCACAAGAACAAAGAATAATCTATCAAAATTAAGTTATGTTAGCATAATTTATATTAGATCTAGCAGGAGTAATTCATAATTATTCTCATAATTTTTTTTAATAGATAGAAGACTTATATATTCTAAAACTTAAATAAAAAGGTAAAGGTATAAAGAGATTATGATTAATTTATTATTAAAATGTATAAATTAATTTTACTAATTGTGTATGTTTATTCAAAGCATACATTTTCTGAAGATTCAAAAGTGAAATAACTAAATAATACTGAATTTTAATAATTCAACATAGGTATGTGTAAAATAATTAAATTATAAGGTCGAGACAATCATTCATGGTTTATATTATTTTATAGACCATCATGTCCACATTGTTAAAAGGTTTTACCAGTATGGGAGAGTTTTGCTGATTTTAATTAAACATAAGGTAAAATTGGGGCTGTAAATTGGTACTATTAAAATTAATTCAAGCGAGGTTGAAAAAGAATTATGCAAATTATTTTCAATTAATGCAGTACCAACTATGATTTTAATTTCTGAAGGAGGAAATCTTCATCATTATAGTGGAAATAGAACAAAAGAATCATTCATATCATTTCTTGATAAAAATTGGTAAAATAATGAAATGGAAACTCCACCTGAATAAGATCAATCGATTTTTGATACTACAACAATCTTCATTTTATTGTTGTTAATATTGATTGCCTTTCTTATATGGATTTACTTCTAAGAGAAGTATGAGTATTAATCAATAAACAGCTAAGTGAATCAAAGTTCAATATTGGAAATGCCAGAAATCAATAAACCTATAGAAATCTGAGTTTACATAATTTCTATTAGCTATATTTATTTTAATCATCACATTAGATTATATAAAATAAATTTAGAACAGTTTATTTTATTACTAAAGAAAATAAATATGTTGTCCATTTTGTTTAGAATAATATTATTAACAATTATTAAACATTATAAATCAATTTGTTACTTATGAATTAGGATTATTCAAAGAGTCTCTTCTTGTGTATTACATTTAATCTTTGCCTATAGATTATCAATAGAAATCGAATCTATTTAGGTATTGATTGAACTTGAATATGTTCTTGAGTATCTAATTTTTTAATTTCCTTTAAACACTTGTTGAAATACCCATTTAAAACTACTTACTTACTCAATATGCTTATATATTATTCAAAATTGATACATCAAGTGTTATTACTACTCGTTTTAAAGATTTTATCCTTTGTTCTGTAAGACATAGTTTAATAGCCATTAACATTATTGTGGCTGAAGTAGTATGATCTTTAGATTCAAATACTGGAAATCCAACAGATCTTATTTACTTTTATTCTGCCTAAAAATAGATCTGAATCTCTTACCAATTTAAGAGCTTCTTAAATTGTTGCATAAATAGTCTGTTTTTCATCATCTTCATCATCATTTTTCGATGAATAATTCTTATCTATGACCACTGCCAAAATTTTACTTTTTTGTTCTTATATATTTTTATCAATTACATACTTTTACTACCAGCTACAAAAATACATTTATGGTTTATTTATTTAAAATTTGGCCTATCACTTTACTTTAGATTTGCGTATCCAGAATCAGTAGGAATAACTAAACATTCCACATTTTCATATTCAACTGGACCGGCTGTTAAAGCTATTTCACAGTCTTCAATTTCTTATTTTAATAACAATTAAGGAAACTATGAAGAGCTCTCTCCATTTTAATAACAAAGCTTATTTCCCATAAATATTTAATATATAAATACAATCAAACGATTATCAATATATATGAAATTATTTATAATTGAATTTTAAATGTTCAAAATATTTAGGACTTTTAAAGAACATAATCTTAATGTAAAACAGCCTATTCAATTTATTTTATCCTTAATTCTCTTCATTATATAAATTAAGTATTTTTATTTTATAATTTAACTAAATTATTTGATTTTTTCATAACAAATCTTAATAAAGAAAAGATTATTTAATTGTAATTTCCATATTTCATTTAATAAAAATAAAATTACAAATCCTTCAACTTACGGTCTTAGGAAAATTATTAATAAAATAAATTTATTTATGAAATGAATCAAGAAAAATTAGAAAATGAAATAAATAAATATAGAAGAGGTTTTTAAAATTATATTTATAAAAATTAATTAGAAACTTAACTTAATTTGAATAAAAAAAAAGGAAATAAACAATAATTACGCCAGTAAGTTATTTATTTTAAGAGAAAGTATAATCAAAATCATTAAATTTTTCTATTTAAGATAAATTTAATATCATTGAATTATCTTTATATTTCATATCTTCAAAATATCCTATTAAACATTTAGTAAAAACTATTGTAAAGATTATACATTTGTAAATCTTTTCACAATATTTTTTGCATCATTTGGTGCAACCATTTAGGCTATCATAAAATTTGGCTTCACTATCTCTAGTTAATGTTTTTACTATTAATTATATTTGTTTATTCTCTTGTTTCATCTCTGATATTTGAAAAAATATACATAAACTTCCATATTATTTCTATTTTTAATACTATTCTTCTTAACAATCTAATAATTCATTTGAAAATTAGGATACATCAGAGGTTGATCTTTTGATTGACTTTATTTTTGATAGTTTGCTTAGGCTTATTAATATTCATCTGAATATTATTTAATTATATGTTGCCATCTGATTGCAATATTTTGATTCAGACTTTTTATGAAATTTTTTATAAATGTCTATATTTTCTCTAATGATTCTTAATTAACTTATTTATTAAAAATATTAGTTTTACATAATAATTCTTGACTAAAAAATAATATTGATTTCAAAATTTAATTATAAGGATCTTCATTAATGATAAAAAGAATATTCTAAGAAGTGTAGATTGTTAATAAAATATATAAAATAGTAAACTTAAATAGTATTTATTATATATATTCATTTTTATTGAGAGCCAGATCTAGTTCTTTTTCCATATTTTTAAGATAATGCTCTATTTTTAAGATTTTTAAATCTGTCATTTATATCGATGGTTTATAACCTATTTTTTGATTTTTAGAATATTTGGATTGAATTGATGGGTAGATTAGGAGATTTAATGACTTTAATTTTGGAATTATCTGAATAGCTCTTTTTATGATCAATGGAATAATTAGCAATGGTTTATGTAGATCCCTTTTAATGTAATTCGAATAATTAACTATTGTTGTTTTGAGAATAGTCTTTTGTGTATGAATGATTTAATCTTCTAATTTTATATGGAGGTAGCATTTTAGATGCCATTTCAGTGGGTTTAGGTTCAGAATATATGTTAGTAATTTGATGGATAGTTTTACGTAGTAATTAGATTGTATACATAGAATTATCATTAATGGATTTTTATTTGAGACGAGGTAATAAAGCTTTAGTTTGTATTTTGTATTCTAATTTGATCATTAAAGTATTAAATTTTTATATCTTTTTTTTAAAAAATTATATTATGGCAGACGTTCAAACATAAAGAGCTTTTCAAAAATAAGAAGGCATTTTCTAAAACTCAAAGAAACTATTAGCTAAGAAAACATCAAAGGGAGTGAGATATTGGAAAGAAGTAGGTCTTGGTTTCAAAGTACCAAAGGAAGCAATAGAGGGTCATTACATTGATAAGAAATGTCCTTTTACTGGAAATGTTAGTGTAAGAGGAGCTATATTAAAGTAAGTGAAACTTAATAATGAATAGAGGTATAGTAATTTCAACAAAGATGACCAGAACAATTATTATTAGAAGAGATTATTTACACTATGTTGCCAAATATAATAGATATGAAAAAAGACATAGAAATGTACCAGTTCACATTTCACCAGCATTTGGACCAGTTAAGGAAGGAGATATAGTTGTTTGTGGACAATGCAGGTATAATTTAAATAATAATTAAAAAAGACCATTATCAAAGACAGTCAGATTTAATGTATTGAAGGTGATTCCAAATGAAATCATTGGTAATGTTAGAAAACAATTTGTTTTATTCTGATTCAAATTACATTTGCATACATATAGTACAATAATATATATAAATTTATTAAATATCAAGAGTGATCGATTAATAAGTCATTTTTCATTTAAGACTTCTAACAATTTGTGTAGTTATGATAGAGGTGACTTTTGTGTTATGGTGATAATTTTATTTTTAATTTACACTTTATGAACTTTTTAGAGCAAAGGAGCAAGTTTATTGAGTTTTTATTTATTTGGTGAGGAATCTTTGGCAATTTTATTGAATTTATCTTCACTAAGTGTGAAATTGAATTGTGAAGGAGTGACTCTAAAATATCTGGGATTGGGTAATCTTTTTTTGAGAGGATTTTCATCTTTAATTTAATAGAGAACTTGACTATGTTATATTCTGGTAGAATGTAGTGATTTTTTTCTGGGACTCCTAATTTCTGTAATTTATCTTTATTATGAAAGATTTGGTAATAACTTTTTGTCTTTGAAAGATGTAATAGGAGTTGGATACTCCATAGATTCTGATAGAAGTTTAAGTTGATTGGTATGTGATGATTGTGAATAGTCTTGCCATCCAACTAATTGAGTAAAATCATTAATCATATTAAATTATCAAATATTATCGTTCTTATTATAAGTAATATTAGTAAGATTAAGTGATTCATCTGGTTATAAGAATGAATTGTGGTGTTGTCTTTGGAACCATTGACTTAATTTAACTTATTCACAATTAAATCTATAGATAGGATTCTTGGCTAATAGAGAATTAAGTAACATAATTAAATCAGTTGGAATAGACTTACAATCTGTAAGTGGATTATGATAAATTATTTATTTTTGCAACTCTTCTTAAGTTAATCCTTCAAATGGAAGATGTTAGAATATTAATTCCTATATATTTATCTATATAGAATATATACAAATATAATTATTCCTAAAGACCAACTATCTACTTTTTCATTATGTGGTTGTAATAAAACAATCTCCGGAGGCATATAATGAGTAGTTCCACAATTTATTGGTTCTGCTGCATATCCATTTATTTTAGTTGCCCAATTAAAATCCGTCAATTTTATTATGTCGTTATCATCCAATAAAATATTGTCCAACTAATATATACTCTCCTATTAAATACTTTTATATCTCTATGAACTATTCGTTATCTATGTAAATAAATTAATGCTTCATTCAATTAATATATGTAATGATAAATTTCAAATTCTTATAACTTTCTCTTACAAATCTATTAACGAAGAGTTCCTTTACTACAATACTCCTACACTAAATATATATATTTATCATCTTCAAAGTATTCAATTAATTCTACTATGTTTGGATGACTTAATTTAGATTATATTCTTATCTCACTCAATATGTTATTCTCTGCATGAAATTCTTCCATCTTTTACTTCTCAATCTTTTTTTAATATTGTCTAATTTTTATACCAATTTTATTGCATATTTCTTTTTATTCTCTACATCTTTTGCTAATTTTACCTTTCCATATGATCCCATTCCTATCTCTTCCAATAATTCATAATTCCTTCTTGAACTTTGAATTGTATTTTTTATTTTGCAACAAAACATTATATATATATATTTTTTATGCAATTTTTAATCAGATCCACTGCACCCAAATTACCTATCAATCTAGAATGTGTACTTAGAGAAAATAAATAAATCATTGAACTTAAAATCACCACTATTCATCCTGGCCCTATTAATCAATAACACATTGATATATTCTTAAATGATGTTGAAATGACAGAAAAGGATCATAAACGTTTTAACTCTCTAGAACCTATTGTTAAATATTCTATTGCTCATTAATATATGACTATCACTGGTTAATTACTCAATCTTAATCTTGAAAAAACATAAGAACTCTTAAAATCAAATAATCTATTCGATTTAGCATGTGCTTATTATTGGATTATGGTTTCAGGACCGCAAGAAACCTGTGAATTAATCTTTGATTCCAATATAGATTTATAAGGAATGTCTCTTATTATGTATTTAAATTGTCTTAATCAATCTTAATAAACATGTTCTATTGATCTTATTGATAAACATTTAAAACAAAATGATGATCCAGAAATCATTTATTTAATGCTCAGATTACTTAAAAAACATTGCAATTCAAATAGACAACTAGTTGAAAAAGTCATCTTAACTAATCTTGATAAATTAGAATCCTCTCTCTAAGCCAAATATTGTTTCTCAGAATTTATTAATGAATACTATGAAAATTTTGAAGTTACATCCTCTTTTCGAGATTTATTAATAGCAAACAAATTAGAATAATATCTACAAAATCCAAGCATAATCTTTCCTTATCAAAATTAAGAAGAATAACAATATCCATTAATCTCAAAAAGAGAATCTAAATATATTTATAAACTAGATAATTGTGACATGCAATAAGAAATAGAACTATTAAAATAAAATGTAGGCTTCATTATTGAAGATGAATTTATGGTTTAAAATGAAATCGAAAAATAAGATGGAGTCAATATATTTGAACTTAAATAAGAAATTAACATATTAAAAAGAAAATTAGCTGAATCTGAAAAATTAAATTTATAATATGAATAAAAAATCAGTAAATTAGAAGAAGATAAAGAATTCTTATTATCAGAATTAGAAGAATCAAAAAGATAGATCAATTTTAATTCATTTCATTCGATCGAAAAAGATAAATAATAATAATAATAATAATTAAAATAAACTAAATAATAAATATTTCTTACTAATAAATAAGATTTATTAAAAGCTACAAAAACAACTAGTTTAAAAGCTTCTGTAAATTTTGCAAATATTCAATAAAATAAATAATAATTACCTTAAATTTAATAATAAATAGAGAATAGCGAAATTAATCATAAAAATGATTAAATAGAAAATTTTGATAAAAAGATTGAAGAAGTAACATCAGAAAAATGTTTGAATTCAGAGAAGTCAATAGAAAGTCCAAAAACTCCATTAGAATCTATAACACCTCACTAATGTAGTTAAGCAAGTGTATTTGGAAATTCATTTATTCCTCCTTCTTCTCCACCACCACCACCACTTCCTTTAGATAAAAAAGGAGTACCTCCTCCTCCACCACCAATATTTGGTAAACCAGGTTTTCCTCCTCCACCACCTCCACCACCTGGTAGCATAAAAAGCTAAAAGGAATTAAAACCAAAATTTGATATAATACCTATTGAAATTACAATGAAGAAATGTCAAACTTGGAATCCAATTCCAAATAATAAAGTAGAAGGATCAATTTGGGAATAATTTAATTATGATGATATGAAATTTGAAATTGGTGAATTTATAGATATTTTTGCTGCCAAATCTATTATTGATCAATCTATAATGTAATCAGGTGGTATTTTTTAATCTATGTATATAAAAAAAGAGCCAATAACTAAATTATCAAAAGGCAGTGGTCCAAAAGACCCTAATAGAGCTTAAGCTATATAAATGGCATTGAAGAGAGTCAAGTATCCAGTAGAGGAAATACTTGAAGCTATAAGAATAGTTGATGAAGAAAAATTAACTGAAGATAAGGTTACATTATTGATAGATTGTTTACCAAAAGAAAATGAGAAGAATTTATGGAAGGAAGAAAAATAATGGGATTTTTAAGAATTTTAATAGAGAATAGGAGATTATAGTGATGCTGATAAATTTTGTATGTTTGTTATGGAAATAAAATGTTATGAAGAAAGATTGATTAGTTTAAATGCAAAATATGAATCATTAAAGAATTAAGTAGTTATAGAGGAATTATTATTAATGTTTGATGCTGTTTTTGATTAAATAAAAAATGATTAAGAATTATTTACATTGATAAGATATTTATTTTATTATGGATCAATATTAAATGGAAATAATTAGTTTTATGGATTAAGATTTGATAGTATTCCTAAAGTAACATGTTATTCAGACAAATAAAAATAATTTGATATTTGGATGTATGTAATAAAGAAAATTGAAGAATCAGGATTTATAATAGATTTGGATGCAGATTTATCTAAATTAGATACATTATCTTAGGAGACTAGAAGAATGGATAATTTATTTGTATTTTTAAAACAATTTGAATAAAACAAATAATAAATAATAATGGCTAGAGACAGTGATTAAGGAGGTGACGATAAAGCAAAATAAGTTTTTGGTTAATTATATGATGAGATTGAATTATTTGTGATAGTTCAGAAAGCAAATTTAAAGAATTTAGAGAGTAAATATAAAGAATTATGTAAAATGTTTGGAGAATCTCCTTCAAAGCCAAGTGATTAATTTATTAAGACAATATATGATATAAAAAGAAAAGTAAGAGAGAGGAAACGAATTCTTTTAGAATAAGAAAACTAAAAGAAAAGAAGATAAGCATTAGATGAAAAAAGAAAGACAATAATAAAAAAATGATGTAAATAATATATACAAATTGTAAAATAATAATAATGAGAAAATAACTTCGTACATAAAATCATTTATCATTTCTTTTTGCTATTCCATAATGTCTTTCTAAATAATCTATTGTTGGAGTTGTTAAAGTAGCCTAACAAAAGTATGCTATTATTCTTGCTTGCCAACCTGCATATAGACCAGATAGACCATGTTATTAAAATAACAACTGAAACGCTTACATCAATGAAATTGATCTATAAACTTTATTTGATTCCATTTGTACTAATGTCTTTAATGTATCAATTGGATGTACTATGAATTAATATTGATATTTAACCTGCCATTATATTCAACACACTTGAAACAGTTGAAGCTATTAATACATTCACTACACTTAATTTTTATGATGGATCTTCCTTTAATGCATATCTAATTTTATGATCCCAATATAAATAATTTGTCCATGATACTACTTATCTTGCAGTCTGAATCCGAAATCCTACATATATTGATTCTAAATTTATGTATTTCAAATATCCAAATCCAGTCGACATCGTTGTCATTTTTAATGTCTTTAATCTCTCAAAAGGTGTTATCAAACAACTCTCGAACATACCTATTGATATTCCTGTTAAAATCTTGTTTAAAGAACAATTATGAATATGCTCTTTTAGAAATGATGGAATAAATATCATCATCGGCCATCTATAGTATTATTTAAACATGTTTCTAAGAAAACTTGGATAGAAACCATCATACAATCCCATATATCCTCGTGCACCCTTTATTTCTCTAAAACTCTTAAATACTATAATTATATATATACTTATAAATATGTTATTCCTTATCTTGACTATTTGTATGTCTTGATTCTATCTAAAACATGTTCTAAAGGCATTGTTATTGCCACTCTAAATGCTCCAATTAGTTGGGTTTCAATCACAGCCCTCAGGTAATCTGTCATCTTACTCAGATATATGAAATAAATTTAAACTTTATAAAAACACAAGTATCAAAAGAGCTATTATAAACTAAAATGATACTTAATAATTTCAAATCTTCTACTAATAATTACATATTATTATATTTTTATACAATATTTTTATAATTATTTTCTTATTAAAATATCTATCCCAACTTAATTATTATTCACAATACATTCTTCAAAATATTATACAATATTATATATTCTCTTTTTCTGTCATTCTTTTCAAGAAAACTTTTTTATTTTTGTCAAATTCATTTTATATATATATAAATCATAAGTATTAACTTTTATATTCAAACTAAAACAATTTTTATACTTTCTTCAATCCTATTACTTAAATTCATTTTATTTTTATTATTCTAAGTCTTTAAATTTTTTAATTTTATGCCATTTAATTTCTTACTAAATTATTGGTTATTTTTAAGATTTCTACTACACTTCTTCTTTTTCAAAATCTTAACTACATTTTATGTATAATTTAAATCTTATCCAAAAATTAAAAACATTCCTTTTATGGACATTCTCACTATTGAAATTATTAATGAAAAAATTTAATTTCATGATTTTTATATTTATTATAAAATTTATATATTATTATAAAATTTTAATCAACTTTTGAGTTAGAATTGGTTCTTAGTTTATGAATCTCATTATTAAGATAACTTAATTTTAAAATGTTAATAATTTTTAACAATTTGAAAGTGGAAATTAATTATAGTGAATTTGATAGATTAAAATTACTTAAGAAAATATTTTATATAAATTGATTTCATTAAAGACTAATTAAATGGATAATTTGTTAACTTATTAAAAATAAAAATATTGTATTTCCTTCTTTATAATCAATTAAGTAAAAAAATTCTATAAAATTTTACTTTTAGCATAAATGTAAAGGATTATACTAAAGTTAGAAGATTTTTTATTATATTGACCCTGGTAATAATATTAATCAACCAAGGACACATTCATAAATTTCAGAGTCATGATAAAGGTTGAAAATTATAAATTAATTTTAAAGATAAATATGGTTTGTTCACAAGATTTATAATAGTTAGATTTTGATTGCTAATAGAAAAGAATATTAATATTTTATATATTACAGAATCAATGTTTATTTGTTGAGATAATATTTAACTTCCTAAGGAACTATTTTCAATTTGCTTCTGTTATCTTGTTATTTCAATAAGTAATTAATGAATTTATTTGAATTATAGCTAGATAATGTAAGTAATTTTTCCTATTCTTAATGTACATTTGGATATTCTTTAATTGAGATACAAGAGTTTTTAAAAAATATTCTTTTTTACTATTTTACTGCTTTTATTGATAAAAATAATGTAGTTAAAAATTTCTAATTTTTACAAAAAACAGAATTAAATTCTAATGCTATGACAGTTTCTAGAATCCAATTTTCAACATTTCAAATAAATGCATTAAAATTTGTAAAATTTGGTTTAATGATCAAATTATTGATAATTATTTAAATCATTTTCAAAATCAATTATTTAATCAAAATAATATTTAGAAATAATAACTATAATAAAATAAAAATAAATAGTAAAAGGTAAAAAAGTATGTTAAAAGAACTTCAAAAAGAATTAGATTAGTTGAAGAAAAAATAATAAAAAAGCCAATCTTGTATAAATGACTTATTTTTTTCAGTTGAAGATATTCATTTAAGATAATATAGGATTCATCATCCAATAATACCAAATCAAAATTTAATAATTAAAGTAAGGCCAGAGATAATTAATTTAATATTTGCTTTTTTGGATTACTCTTCTTTCTTGTAATTTAGATTAGTTAGCTAGAATACTAATAATTAAATATTATATCTACTATCTTTGAAATTAAATAAAAAATTGCAATAATAATAAATCAAAAAACTTGAATTAAATGAATTAACAGAAGTAATATAGAATCAACCCGAATTAGTAGAATTCCAAGATTCTTTATTAATTCAATATCAAAAATCTTTAGATGATTTAAAGTAAATCAAGAGGCAAGATGTTTGTGAAGTTGCCAGCTATTGTAATCCTCCCTATTAAGTAGAAAGAGTTTTAAACTTATTAACAAGGTTATTAACTTAGAATTATGTTGAATAATAAAATAGATGGAATTAAAGCTTAAGACTTGTGACTAATTGTCAATTTTTTCATTAACTATTAAATTTTGATATTCTATCAATTACTGATGATAAATTAAAACTTGTTGAAGAAATTACTGCTATGGAAGAAAAACGTGTTCACTAATCTTCATTATTTGCATACTATATATTTAAATATATTAAAGCAGTTGTGCTATTGAGACAGTAACCATAGTACAAAACTCTTTTCTAACTTGGGTAAATGAGATAAGAGATAGATAAATTATCAAGATCTATTGATAAACTATAAAAAATTGTTGGTTGATTAAGATTAAATTTTATTATACATAATAATAAATAATATACATTTTTATTGATTAGTTTTTTAATCTTATATGTTTACATTGAGATTGATCATTGTGTGTTTGTGATTTTGAGATCATTATTGGAATACATTTAAAGACTTTGAGATAAAGAACATAAATTCATAGATGACTGTTTATTTAATAATATCATATATTATAGTAATTTAATCGGCTCATTTATAATGATGACCAAAGAAAAATTCGAACAAGTTTTACCAGGGTTTAATTATAAAAGTAAATTACAGAAAATTAAAATCTAAAGAAAAGAACTTAGATTTATTATTCTACATAATCATAATCAAATTATTAGATTATCAGATTATATTCAACAATCATTATTCATCAACTCACTTTGAAACCTTATCAATTTGGAAGTTATAAACAAAAAACTTTGTTGAAATTTAATACTGATTTTATCCGAATTGTTCCATTATATAATAATTAATAGAGTGATCAAAAATTAGAAGCAATCTGGACTCTTAATAATTTCAATCTCAAAGCTTATTTGATTGTTAAACTCTTTTCTATTAATCCTAAATTTTGGTTAAAAAATAGCTTTAATAATAATTATGATATTAATTAAAAGATTATAAATAATGGTTTAAGCATAATAATAAAAGAATAAAATAAATATATGACATTTTTGAATTATTAAAAAGATTTTCAATTTAAATCCTTTTCAAAATGATATACCAAAATTAGAAATATTTTAATAATGAATTGACTTATAAAATCAAGAAATATGAAATACATAATGGGTATTCCAATTTTCTTCATAAAGTTAGTCAATAAAAACAATCTAATTTTTATTGCTGATAGAACAGGATTATTTTCATTCTGGATATTAGTTAAGAGTTTCTTATATAAAAATTTAAAATGAAATTTGGATTGTAAGCATCCATATTAATACATTTAGATATCAAAGTTATTTAAAACTTTAACACAGATGGCTTTTCTGGTTAATTAATTCTGTTGATAATCTGGTAAGATATGGTATATTTAATAAAGATAGAAACAAACAAATATTTTTTTAGGCTATCTGCTTGAGCAATTATTCTTAGACTTTCCAAATTTTTAATTGATTTTTAAGGGAAATTTTAAATTCAAATAGTGTCCTATTATAAAAACTCATTTATATTATACTTGGATCATTTATCTGATCTGAATGAATTAGAAATTTATTTTATTTTTTTGATTAATCATAAATGATTGTAATAACTGGAAATATATAAAGTTTGTTATGCATAATAAAATTCTTGTAATTTTATAGATAATAATAATATTATTAAATACAACTTAATATAAACATCATAATTTCGCTTTAGGATAAATTTATTATTCCAATTAAATAATGATTTTGCCCAAGTTTTGGCCAAGAAAGACTCTTTTGAGACCCTGAACAAAACTCTCCAGTCCATAATAGATTTCTTCCTAATGTTTGATTACTCCATCATTAACAAATTCAATCATTTATGAGAATCCACTGTAAATTTTGGCTTAATCCTGATAAAATATAATGCCTTTTTAGATAAAAGATGGTGTACCTTGTAATTTCACCTATTAATTGATGGCTGCAGTTAAATTAGCCAATCCACTTCTATTCCTCCAAGCATTGTATGTAGCGGTAGCTCCACAAAGCAAGATTAATCCTTCCTTAGCCATTCCTGGTAATACAGCATCTAGAACTTCTTCTCCTGCATTATCAAAATAAACATCAATGCCTTGTGGAGCCACTTTTTGAATTTCTTAAGTCAATTTACTTATTTTAATTCTATTTAATACTCCACAATTATTTCATCATTTTCTTTGAAATTATTATAGGATATGCATTGATTTGCACCTAAACTTAAGACAAAGTCTCTCTTTTCTCTACCACTAACAATACCAATAGTCTTAAACCCCATATGCCTAGCAATCTAAAGTGCTATAGATCCTGTAGAGCCTGCTGCACTAGATACACAAAAAGTCTTCTATATTTTGTAAGTAGGTATATGATCCTCTGGAATGAGTTTCATCCCATTTAAAGCTGTCAATCCAGTCACTCCATAAACAGATAACAATAATGGAATATTTGGATCTCCAACTTAAAAAAGTGGAACTTTAAATAAAGATTTTGTATATCTTCTACATAGGTTAGCACACTCTAATACACCTGATACTAATTACCCTTAAATCTAGCAATTCTCATTTACCTATATCCCATTTAGCTTATTTTGTCTCTACTATCACTCCGACTCCAAAAGCTGGCATTACTTAACCTATTTATACACTATCAATATATGTTTTAGCTCCAGAAAGCCAAACTCTCATAACTGGATCAACTCCTATATATAAAACCTTGAATTCAACTTAAACTATACTCTTATTAAGATTTCTCCTTAATTTAATTTAGGAATAGGGATTTCTTTGACCTCAAAAAATTCCATATTTTATGGGAATGTATTATCAGGTCTTTATTTCAACACTAAAGCTTTTGTGTACATTTTATATATCAATAACTCAAAAATATTATAAAAATAACTCAATAATCTTTCTATTGTATGATAATTTGTTCAAAAATATATGAATAATATTCTATCATCAATAGTTCAATAAATTTCATAATTATGACTAGATATTAATTAGTTTAATTCTTTCTCTTTTGATTTGAAAAGTTCAAATGTATTTGACTTATCTTCAATCTATATTGATTTTTTAAAATCTTTGACGGCTTGGCTCAATGAAATTAATTTGCATCTCTTAAGATTTTACTGAATATTATATATTATAAATTAATACATGTTTCTAAAGCATCTTATTGATAGGGTATTCTTTATGAAGGCCACTGTTGAATTATCTCTAAAGCTCTGATTAAATGACATTAAAGAGTTCATGATCAAAATTTTTAGAGATCCTTCCAAATGAAAGTTTTCCAAAAGTTTTTTATTTTCTTTAAGTTTTAGAAGATGATTAAATAAAAGGAGGTGGTTAAATTTAAGGATGAGCCAATATAGGAGGTAATTCATTTCTTTATCTTCCATGATGACTAGCCAATCTTTTTGGAGGTTACACTTGAATTTCTTTCTTTTCTTCAGCTACTAAAGTAGGTTAAGAGAGAATCAATTGTTCATAATTACTTTTATTATTTATCATCTTTGAGAGACTTTAATTACATTTACTACAATCTATTATTGATGTTGTCTAATTTGTCAAAGATCTTTAAGTATCACTCATTGGTAGTTCAAATAAAGGTTTAGAATGCTTAAATTTGGGAATCTTAGAACTTACTTGTCTCAAACCAAACACTTAAAGTATGATTTTTATTATTGATACTTTCTAGTTTTGTTGGATGTTAAATAAATAACTCTCCTAATCTCTATTTTGTATCTGTTCTAGCTGAAATGAATTCAGCATGCTCAAAATTTTAATCCAAACAAATCATTCGTTTTGAAGATTTTTATTCCATTTCTCTTTTTAATTATATGTATAAATTTAACTAAAACAAATCAATAAAAAATATTAATTATAGAGATCTAATTAGTAGAATTTTTGTTTCATTTTTATTCATCAAAAAAATAAATTCTCAAATCAAATTCAAGACTCTTTGATATCCAAATTTAGAATCCAACACTTTAATAAATTTATATCAGTTTAGAGGAAAACCAATCTGCCATTAAATTTAGTTTTATTCATTAATAATATTACACCTTAGTTTAATTTCATTTTATGATTCTTTATAATTGTATTAAATTCTCTATACTACAGCAGCTTGTAAATATTATTACTATAAAATAGAGTAATTCTTTTTAGGATCTTTTTTAATTCATGTCAATACATATAGTCTAATATTGAGCATGTAAAAATTCTCTATTGCTTCTTAGGTTCACTATACATTCTCTCATCCAATCTATAAATCATTGATAAACTAAATTTCTAATTTTTGCTTAGTTTTAAAATTATAAGCCAAATTTTAATTCTTTTTCAATAATGAAACACAAAACCCTTCTGGCAATTACGAAATCAAATAAATGAAAGATAATCAAATATGATAATAAACCTGTATAATTTTAACAAACATTTAAAATAGCCTTTAAATTATAAGTTTAACCAATTTATCAAATTTGAACTTACTTTTTTTAGTTTTTCAATTTAATAAAATCAGTATATGCCTTAGGAAAATAATTTCATCTTATTTATAATCTATAGATTATTATAAAATAAATTAATATAATATAGAAATAATAATAAATTTAGGCTTTCCTCCCTAAAATAGCACAAATATTATACATAGTACCATCTACAATCTATGATTTGATAATCTCAAATTTCCTAACAAAATATATCTATAAATTATTAGTCTCTTTTATAAATTAAAGAAATCTACAAGGATTCAGATATTGGAGTAGGAACAGGTTCATTATTGAAATATGTATGGAACTAATTAACATAAAAATGGGAAGTTCTTGGAATAGATATCGATTAGGCCTATGTCTTAAAGGCTAATAATATTTTTAGAAATTATAACCTTGGTGGACATAAATTGGAAATCAGATACCAAAACTTTTATGAAGTGAGTGAAAAAAAAGAAGGAAAATTTAATGTAATTGTATTTTCCTTTTGATTTATGCTCATGCCTAAAAGAATTCACGCACTAAAATTTGCAAAATCATTTTTAACACCAAAAGGTTCAATTATTTCATTATACTTCTATAACCTAATATTAAGAAAAGTTCAGCTTTTATCAAAATTATTGAATACCTTAAACCAAAAATAAAATATATCAATAGTTTGAAACTTTGCTAGGCAAAACCTTATAACAAATTATGAACAAGGTAAAATTATGCAAAAACTTCAATATTCCAACTAAAATCTTTAGAGTTTTTGTTTATAAAACGAAAGCTTGAATAATCATGTAAAATTGGTAATTTATAAAAAACAGTGTATATATAATTTTTCTTTAATTCATGTTATAATGAAGGGTTTCACCCTTTGAATCTAATATTTTTACCGCTATTTCCTCGAGAAGATGGAAAGAACAAACAGCCATCTACTGATTTAGTTGTTAGATTAGTTTCTTATTTATTTTTTAAAATTCCCTTCTTTGAAAGTGATTTTACACTTTCATTCTGATTTTCTGGTATTCGTTTTGAAATGATAGTTATTTGATTTCCTAATTTCACTAGTTCACCAACAATTTTTGCTCCTTCCTATTCACATCTTGGAGAGATTATTATGCTATGAATATTAGAAATTTAGATTCCTTCTTCTAAGGATTCCTTTAAAAATTTCACTTATTGAAAATTTCCTACAATGGTTTAGTTTATATTTTAGATTCCTATCTCTTTAGATGTAGTCTAAGTGGTGTAAATATCATCAAATAAAGTATCTTTTTAATTTGAAATGCATGAACTTCCCATCTATATTTATTATTATCAACTTAGCTTTATATTATTCATTTATATAAAGATAATATTAAGAAGAACATTCTTATTAATTAGTTTTAGTACTTATTAGGATAATTTTATATAGAAATATTATTAGAGATTATCAATTTCCAACATTATTATATCATTAATAAATAGTAAAAAAGTAAGTTTTAAGAATAAAATGTTAATAAGAAGTTAATTTAAATGATTTTTTTAATTATCAAGAAATATTTTCAAAGAAAATTTAATTTATTTATATAAAACTTATAATAAAAATAAAATAAAATAGAAAGATAAATAAATTTTATTGTAATTTTTTTTAACAAGGATCAAACTATTATCATTAATTTTTTCTAAATATAATTATTATTTCTCCATCTAGATTCATTTAGTTACAATAATTTTATTTGTAATTCTTATTATTGTTAATTCAATACATGATGAAGGAATGCTTATCGATAAGTGTATAAATAAATCTCATATAGATCACTTAAAATAAGGAGGGCTTAGATTGAGAACTTATTGCAAAAAGTGATTATAGTTTATAAAAAAGATGACTAATTCATTTAAATTTAAGAATTACCCTCAAAAGCTGATGATCATTATACTTAATTTTTAGAATAAAGGAGTTGATGAAGAATTCAAATAAAAAAGTAAAATACTATTTTGTTTTCTAATTTTAATTCTTAGACAAATTAGATTAACAATAATAAATGTAAATGCACTAATTCTAATTGTTTAAAGTTTTATTGTTAATGTTTTCATTAAAATAAAAAATGCACTGAACTTTGTAAATTTATAGATTGTAAAAATTGCGATGATAATCTAGAATTAAGAGAAATAGCATTAGAGAAAATAAAAATTAAATAATAACTATTAAAACATGATCATGATGATGTATTTGATCGATCGAAAATGTGGGGATGTAAATATTAAAAATCACAATGCTAAAAAAATTATTGTGAAAGCTATATCGAAAATCAAAAATGTTCATCTCTATGTATATATAAGGATTGTATTAATAAGAAAAGAATACCGATATAATTTAAGAAAAAGAAAATAATTCTAATTAATTCCAGTTGAGAAACCAACAACACCAATAAATTAATTTATATATTTATAATATAATTAAATTATTTTAAACAACTGAGTTTTTTTTTTAAATTATATTTAATAATAAATTTTAAAAATCTCTTAGGAAAATTGAAATGTTCATAATTTTGAGTACAAAAATAAAAACATATTGATGGGATGAAGATGAGTTAAAATTACCATATATTGAATATCATTTATCTAGATCAGATTAGTTTCAGGTTATTTTGAATTGTTTCTTATGTCTAATATGCTGATTAAGAAAGATATTAATTAAGCTCTATTTAAAGTTATTTAACTTTTTTTATACCATTCGGTTATCATTTTGTAATACTTCTTATAAATTTTATACTTAAATTAAATAGAATAGATTTTTAATTTAATTATTTAAAATAAGAATATATTTTTAATTATGGGTTTTTCAACAAGTAGAGAAAATTGCTCAATAAGCGAAAATAATAAACTTAAAATAAAAAAAGAGTTGTAATCGGATCTAAGAAAATTTAAAGAAATGATTGAATAACTTAAGACTTTAGAATAAGAAATAGATTAATTGGATGTTTAATAGAAATACGAGGAAGCTGATTAAAAAGAGGAAGGTATAATTAACTATAATCATAGAACATAAAATATTATCAAAAGAGAAAAGAGCACTAGGAAATAGGATAAAAAATCGGAAAAAAAATTTGGCTGGTCTTGAGCAAATAACTAAGAATAATGAAGCTTTACAAGAACATAATAAATTTGCTGTAGCTAGAATCAAAGAAAAAAATTAAATGATACTAGAATTAAAAAAGAGAGAAAAGTTTTAAGACGAAGAGGAAGAACTAGATGAAGAATTAAAGGGATTTTATAATGCTGAAGAATTATCAGAGCTGTAAGATGAGAACTATGTACGTAATAAAAATAAAAATACTAACCTTAATCAAATGAAAAATTAAAATTAAACTTAAGTTTAATCCCAAAATGAAGCTAAACATGATGTACAATTGCAGTAAAACCAAATAAACTAGTAACCTTAGATAAATTAAGCTTAAGCATTCCTATAAAATTGAAAACAAAGAATATTGATTTAAAAATAATATTCTATTAAATTGTTTTGTATTTAATTTTGCTCATTTATTTTTTGTTTGAAGAATTCTTAAAATCTACTTATAAAAAAGAGTTCTAAAGAGTATTAAATAAAGATTAATTTTTGTGTATTACGAAAAAGTATTGAAATAGTAATTTAATTTAAGATTTTAATTACTAGGTTGTATTTAAAGGGACTATTTATGGATTTGAGTTTAAAATAAATGTATCTAATGCATTTGGAGGATATCTACAAATATTCTAAAACTTCTACGGTTTTTATAGAGGGGAAAATGTGGGAAATTTTTATTTTTATTTATCATCTCAGTTTTTTAAGTATTTGAATTATTTCTTATGAAGGATAAATAAATAATGAGAATTCATAACTTAAATAGATATAATTAAAAAGTTATACATAAAGAGGAGATTACTAGAAGAATTAAATTTTGTTAATAAATTTTAGTAAAGCTGTTAAACAATAATTTAAAAATATAATTATGAAACCTTGTTAAACACCTACATCATGTCATTCTCGTAAGGGGAGTTTAAAGGTTTAACGTTAACCTCTTTAAGTGATTAACAATTGTCCAGAATTTCAATCATGCACTAATTATTTATAAGATAAGGTTTAAGGATTAGAATAGAGAGTCAAGAATCTTAATAGTTAACATGCAGATAGATCAGATGTTAAATCAAAAATAGATATTGCTTTTTCACCTTTTATGAATGAAAAGAGAAATTGGTAAGGTAATTAAAAGATTGATTAGCAAAGTTATTATGAGACTATTATAAATAAACGACTAGAAAATATTAGTAAAATTGATCATTCTCCTAAACATGTAAAAACTGATTAACCAATTTTAAACAAATATTCTACTCATAGTTAATTTTCTAATCTTGCTCAATATCAAAATAAACTTCATAGCAACTCCATCTTAAGGATATAGCAATTATCTAAAAAGTTAAGAAAATTTAAAATGATAAAAGATTAAAATTAAGATGAATGTGCACCATCTCTTGCTAAAATTAAATGTTTTTGTCAAGAACACTGCAATGATTGTTTCGATTTTTATAGAAGTACAGATTTAGTCACATTAAAATACTTCATATATCTGCTATTATAAGAAATTAATACTCTTTTTAATTAAGATGCTATCAAAATGGCAGATAATTCCATCCAATATTAATAACAAATTGAAATGCTCTAAGAATAACTATAACTATAAAAAACTGATTAAATGACACTTTAAAATTAACTAACCTTATAAAAGATGGTTGTAGAAACTTAAAATTTAATTTAAGATATTATTAATGCACTCTAATCTAAATCAAATCATAGTTTATTAATAAATTAAGCTGAAATCTTAAACAATTAAATGAAAGCTTTCAAAGAAAATATGTCTAAAAATCAACATCTGAATAATATCTCTCATAATGTAACATCTTTTGGATAATAACTTGCAAAATGTGGATTAGATAAACATTATCAAAATGGAATAACTAATGACAGTTATTTTATTAATTAATCTAATTATTAGACTTAAACTATTGATGATAGAAATTAATCCTACTTAAGTTCTAAATCAAAATCACCATATTCAATTAAATTAAAAGATTATAATCTTAATTATGAACTTGAATAAAAAAATGAAGTCAATAAAAAATTATTAGACGAATAAACTATTGTTAATAGATAACTAATGGAGAAGATATTCAAATTATAAGCAGAAATATAATCAACTGATTCTCATGTGATTCAACTTAAAAATGAAATTTAGGAAAAAAATTAATAAATTAAAGAACTAGAAAATAATATAAATTCTCAAAATTCTACTACCTATAAAAAGCTGAATCAAAGAATTATTGAAATTAACACTAATTTAGATTAGATGTAAATATAAAATTAAAAATTAATTAATGAAAATAATTTCTTGAGTCAGAAATATGATGAGATCAAAAAGATTGAGCAAGATTTTTATGAATTGTAATAAGATAACAATTTATAGTTTTAATAATTAAATGCAATTTTATAGGAAAACTCTGATCTACAAAAAATAAATTAATAAATTGAAGTAATACATATTATTAAATAGGCCGAATGCTAGGAATATTAATAGTAAATATTAAAATTATAAGAAAAATGTTAAACTAAATATGCCTATTTTCAAAATCAACATGATACTGATTATTTAGAGGATTAAATCAAAGAATTATAAATTTAAAACTCAGAATAAAGTAAAATAATTGTAAAATTTTATCCAATCTCTAGACTCTCATTACAGATGAAGCATTATATTTAGGTTAGATGACACTTTAAGCTTGTGACATAATATCTAAACAATATACTGAGAATTTACCGATTGCAATTTTGATGCTTTAAAAAGAATTAAATTCAAAGAAATGTAATATATAATAGAAAATGAATATTCTCCAATAATTTGGATAAAATATGAAGGCATAACAAAGCTTGGCTCATAATTATTATTAAAATTCAGAGAGTACAAACTTTTTGGATAATTTACAAAGTGATTCATTATCTCTTAGGTAAAAAAATGTTAGTTCTTAAGATGAAACCTAAACAACTGTAAATTAGAATAATTAATAACATGAGTTAATGAATATGTTAGTACTATAATGCAACATTATTGAAAAAATGATGGAATTGTGAAATTTTTAATAATTCTATTCATTATTATAGTATTGTTGTTGATTATTTATTTATGAAATCAATGTTAATCTACCAAACAAAGTTTGATTTATCATCTCACTATTTCTAATAAATTATAAATCTTTATTATAAAAATAACTTAATGAGCAATTCTTAAGAAACTATAGATGGTTTTATAATAGATTATCTCTCTGAATTTGGTCATGGAGCATTTTCTACTTGTTATAGATGTTCTAATCCAAATTATAAAATACCTTTATGTGTTAAAGTATATTCTTTAATTTTAGTTTAGAAAATCATACCATCTGTCTAGACTGAGACATCTTATATGTTTGATAGAGAGATACAAGTAATTTAACTTATTTCTTAATTTAATTCTAATTATCTTGTAAAAATAATTCATACAAGCAAATAGAGTAAGTAATGTTTCTTTTTTATGGAATATTGTTAATAAGGAGATTTAAAAAATTTCATTTAGCAAAATCAAAATATGAGAAGATAAATATCAATACCTGAAATCTTATCAATTTTAATATAAATAATAAATGGTTATAAATAGCTTTACGATTATGGTATTATTCATAGAGATATAAAGCCAGCTAATATATTTCTTGGAAATAATGGATATTTTTAGGTAGAATTGAATGATAATCTAGTTAGCAGATTATGGAATGGCTAAAATATTAGAAGATCCTTGTTAACAATGTGAATAGAGTTAAGTTGGAACTCCGATATATGCATCTCCATAAACACTTATTGAAGGAATTTATTCTAATAAATGCGATGTTTATAGCGTAACATTTAATTTAAATATAGTTAGGTGTACTTATTTATGAATTAGTCTATTAATAATTGCCAATTAAGAATTAAAAATATATTTAATTTTGCGAAGCTTTAAAGAATACAAAATATAATAAAATATAAATTAAACCATTTTCTTTAGGTTTAGGAGGATCAGAATCAGAAAAAGAAAAATTGTATCATTTTTTATCGAGGTCCTTAGTTTATGAAGAATCCTCTAGAATAAGTTGGGAATAACTATTCCATCTGTTTCCAGATCCTGAAAAATCAATAAATTTCAATTCCTTGAAAAAATAATAATAACCTTAATAAATATCTCATGATCTTGTATAAACTTGTAAATTTGATTTTTCTTCTTAAAATTCTACTTAACCAAAAAAGCAAATTTAACCATTTTCCAGATAGAGGCAATCTTCGAATTATAATCAATAGATTATTTAGAATGATATTCTTTTTAATAATTAGATGATTTACAGTAAATAGAGGATTTAGAGTTACTAAAATAACCAGAATAATTATATAAATTATAATAATTAGGGCTATAATAAAACTAGTTTAGGAATAAAAATATAAGAGGTTTAAGTTACTAATAAAAATTAATTTTGTTAGACTACTGAGACCGTTGCACATCGCTATAATGAATAAGAAAATCCAAAAGCCAAATCAGAACAATTAAAATAAAAAAAAATATTTTTAAAAGAACATGATAATATTATAGAAAAGATTATATAATTTTATTTGTCCAAGTGTTTGTTCGTGGAGAAATTAATTACGAAAACTTAAAATATATTTAATTTTATACAAAAATAAAATAAAAAAATGATTAATACACCATATAATGTTGTAATCCAAATACTTGAAATATTACTTAATGGATATTAATACTCATGCTATTTAAATATCAATTATCTACTTTTTAAAAGAAATAAACGTCATCATCAACTTTAAATCTATAAAGAATTATGCTCGATTAATTAATAATTTTTAGATTAGTAAATAGAAGCTTATTTAACTAATTAAGTTTACAAAAAATAATTAGAATAGCATTTTCAGATTTCAAAAATAAGATTTAATGTAAAGTATTATTCTATCATTTTTTTAGAGATTAATTTGTTCATTTTATGAGTTTCAATAAAAATTCACAAATTTTTAATTAAATTAAGAAATTAGTGAAATTGAATAAAAAAAATGGCTATGCTCTCCCAAATGGTATTACCAAAAATACAAAGATAAATTTAATGAAATAAATTTAAATTTTGATTATGGATCTGAATATGATTAACTAGAGGATCATACAATTAAACATTTAGCATTTTCAATCAAATTTTTTGGTAACGAAGAAAATAAATCTGATATAAGTGACATTTTAACAGTCAATATAAATTCAATTGTTGATTTTTTAGAAGAGAAAAAATCAATGATGAATATTATAAAATAATACTTCTAAAATAAAAACGAAATTAAAAACAAAAACTGAAATCAAAAATATTATAAAAATTTTATAATATATATTAAACAATATGTATCCATTGAATAATTTTATTGAAACTTGAATCCTTAAAATTAATTAAGATATTTTCAATTAAAATAAAATCTCATATAGTAATTTTTAAATTCCTCTGGAGGGAAATTATTAAATTTTTATTTTAAATTTTATATATATGTTCGTCAACGTTTAAAAACAATCTCTTTTTAAAAGAGCATTCTTACAAACTGAATTTAAAGTGGCATCTTATCCTAAGATTGAATTAAATACATCTAAAGGTATGCTTATTTAAATTAATCTAGAGATGGCATGGCAGATCTTAAAATAACCATAAAATGGATTTGAGCGATTTGCACTTAAATTTATATCTAAATAGTATATAGTTCCAAGAAAACCATTTGTTTTGTCTGAAGTTATGAAATAAATTTGCGATGAATGGAACAGCTTTGATTCAGACACTAAATACTATTATTGCAATTAATGAATTTTATTTAAAAATTTATAGTTATATCAATTATTTGATAATTTTAAAACCAAACAATATAGAAGACTAAATCAAAATTGTTGGTATGTAATGAAATTATTTTAAGCATCATTAACATGATTACAAACAATAATTAAATTATTGATTGTAATGAATGAAATTTTTAAACTTTAATGGAGGTTTAGAGTAAAAATGAAAAATGTTAGGAAGATATCAAAAATAAACAAAATCTAAAAATTATACATCTTGTCCTCTAATTAATTAAAAAAAATATATTTGTTAAAAATTAATTAATTGATGCTCGAGTAAATAAAATATCATTGTTTGTTGATAATATATTTGAAATCAATTTGGAGTGTAAATAAAGGAGAGAAAATCTTAATAAAAATATTGAGATAATGAAATGAGGAGTTAATGAGATAGAATATTTGAGAAAATGTTTTAAAAATTAAAAGATTTAGTTATATAGATAGTTAAACAAGAGTTAGTAGTTGTTAGTTTCAAAAAATTTGTTTAATTTATATAAAGTGTTATTTTTATCATTTATTACTTATTTGTTTATTTTTGTAATGAAAATTAATTCACATCCTGAAAAAAAATTAGAAGGAATACTAAAACAGGAAATTTTGTTTAAAAGTGCTAAAAAAATGATGAAAGAATTAAGTAATATTGTTCTTAGAATATAAATTAGAGAGAGACATTCAAGGCCTACCAAGTATGGATTATGAAGAAAGTTCAGCTAATTTATATAATTTTATTGTACATCGAAAAGGTGAAAATACAACAAATTACTGTACTAAAGCTCATCCTTTGAAGAGGACATATAGAACTCTATCATTTGAATTAATAAAAGCAAAGATATCAGAAACAAAGGTTAAACATTTACGCTTTGGAAGTAGGGAAGGAAAAAGAATACAAAATAGAAACATATAACAAATTAGAAGAAGAAGTTGTTGTTGTTCTGATTGTGGACATGATAATACTAAAATCATACACTTGATGTACAAAGGTGCAACTTGTCATCGTTAAGTAGAATAAGCACATTAATTAAAGAAAAAAAGGGATTTTGCAGAGGATGCTTTTCGTTTTTGTAAATATTACAATAATTTGTTTAAGCATAAAAGATTGCAAAAAAAATGATTCTCATAAAAAATAAATTGTCTTCTAAAACTATTTTATTCAGAAAACGCTGTAATTCTTGTGATACTCGATTATCAAAAGATATACTTCTTTAACATAAATAAATGGCTATGTAGATATCTTTAAGAAAAGAAACTCATTCTAAAACATAAATTAGACATACAGTATTTATGAAAAGATAATAAACCATTAATGATAAGTTATTGCTAATACCAATTAAGAATCTTAAAGTGGTTTAAGAAATACAATAGCCAATTAAAACTCTTCCAACTCAGCCTAGTAATACATCTTCAAAAATATTAAAAAAGAAAAATTTTAATCGGACATATGTTCCAGTAAATCGTACTATTCTACCTTAAGTGAGTCCCTCTAAATTTACGATAAATAAAAATAAATCTATAGATTATTAATTGAAATCTTAAATTAGATAATAAGTTAAGGAACTAAATAAACCTCTTAATGAAACTAAAAAAAATTCAATAGTGAGTTTATCAAATCCATATCGTAATATCTCTCAATTAGATTACTTGTTGAAGGTAAGAAGAAGACAATTAAATTATTGATACTAATTCTATTTCTAAACATATTAAAATTAAATAATATTCAATATTTAAAAATGGTTTGTCGAAAGAATTCTTATTATTTTTCAGACATTCCATTTTGACATAATCTATAAATATATTTTAATACAATTTCTGTATTATTAATCTCTAAGTCTATTTATATTTATTAGAGCACTTTAATTAAATCTTTTGGAATTGAAAATTTTAATAGTTCCATACGTTTTATTGTGTAAAAGATAGATCCATAAGATACTGCACCTTAAGAGAAAATAGTAGAATCATAATATTGAGAGACAAATCTTAATAATAATAAACTACATTTGTATATTGCCTTTAATTTCATATTAATTAGTGAGTTTGTAACTATATCTGATGAAATATATTTGTAATACTGATATTCTAAATCTCTCATAATATAATCAAAAATTTAAAAGTAATTAGGAACCTCCACTTAATATTGAAGTGTGCTTAAAATTGTAAATTAGCATTTTGTCAATAAAATTTCATTCATTTTATCACTACTTAATGAAATTAATTATTATGATGTTAATGGAAAAACATCTTTATGTTTTGAGGCAAGACTCAAACAACAAATTCCTATTGATAATAGTTCTTAGTTTGTTAATATAAAAGGAGATTATTATAAAAATTTATCCAAAATTGAGATTGCTAAAAAATAGGTTTCATTTGAAGCACTCTCATAACTACCCATTACATAGCCCATCCAACATAATAAACTATGTCTTTTATATTCATCTATTTTATGTCTCTTTAAAGATTCAACAAACTATATCAAATATTTATATAAATATTACACTCCCATGTTCTATTTTTAATGGATAAGCAAAATGTGTATGAGCATTTTAGAACCATAAAAACTATTCTTAAATTGAAATCTTATATATTTTTTCATTCTCTTCTCTCATAACTTCAAATTCTTATTCTTCTAAACATATCCAATCAAATTTGAAATTATTCATCTCCATATAGTTTAACTAACTCTTTTTCTTTGGACTTTTGGGAACTAACTAAACGCTCTTTGTTTTTTAATTCTAAACACTCTTTTCTATATTTGTAATGTCAAAGAACTACATTACTTATTTAAATTAAAATTACTTCAAATTTATTTATTATTAATTAAAGGATTTTTTTTATCAAATAAATTTAACCCCATAATTTTGATTATTTAGAGTATCATAACTTATAAGCTTGTTTATTAAGAAAAAAATTTATTTTATGAATGACACTCTGAATATTCAAAAAATAACTTAATCAAAAATGGTAAAAAGATTCGACTTTAGTTTGTAAAATATTTTTTCTTATAAATTCCTTCAATGAATCTATCAACTTTCCTAGGAAATCATATATAGATATTACTAAACAATCTTATGAAAAAATCTAATATTGATTTGATCTTTCAATAGTGTTTTTAATTGTTAATCCAATTAAAATTAGCTGCCTTATTTAAAGTATAATATAAATTTCATTAACAAGGTTAAATTTAATATTTTTGAAGTCTGTTATATACAGAGTAATTTAATACAATTATTAATCGATTTATGAATATCTTATTCAAATTATACAATATTCTATAAAATATATAAATTTCTGATTTATTGATTGGATTTTTTTTTGATTTAATTTTTATTATTCTATATAAATTAAAAAAAATATTAATAATTTAAAATTGTTTATTCTTATCTTTTTTTTTAGGTATTTTAATATAAAAATGTTAGTATTATCAAGTTTTTATATTATATAGGTCAATAAAAATTTAAAAAGAGAGATTAATTTTAAAGTATTTGTGTGTCTGGTCTAGAAAGAAATTAGTTTATATGTATTATTATGTGATATATATTTAGTTAATATAATTTTTAAATTGAATGATTGGAAATAGGAAATCAATAAAATTTCAGTATTTCTGTATATTTGAGAATTAAATTGAGAGAAATGATTTTGGAATGGAATATATGGATGGATTATATAATTTAGTTGATCTTAATAGATGCTTATTTTTTAATCCATAAAAATTTATAAATAATAATAAAAAAATATTAAGTACAAAACCTATCTATGAACTGATTGACTTGATTATTATGTATTAGTTCATAAGAGCATATATTAGAATGAGATTCTGAACTTTAAAAATGTAGATTAAGAGATGATGATCAATCTCTCGTGCTTCCTAAAACTTTAAAATATTTAATTTCTATTTTAATATTCACTTTTATATAGTTCATAAAGATTCTATAAAATTTCAAATAATAAATCAAAAATCTATTCATGGAATTTTCTTACGAATATACGTTATTTTATTATTAGTTTATTAACATCAAAAATAGATTTTTGGCATTTTTAGATTGGGTAACTCTAACTCTATATACTGCAATATCATTTAAATAACAAATTTTATTTAAGATTACTATAAAAAGATTGAGCAATATAATATTTATATACATAAAAAAATCTTATTTATTTAAAGATTAACATAAATATAGCAGTTACTCTGAAAATGAATATATTTTTTTATGTTTATATGCAATTGTATGAATTAAACTTATAAAATTCAGAATATTATATAAAGTTTTTCAAATGAGCAAAAATAGAATATTGTTATTGAATGGAAATTAAATAAGAGTGAACATTCTGAATAATTGAAGGATTTAATGATATAAAAGCGATCTATGTTGATAAGATTGATAATAATTTGTAGATTAGCGAAGTCTCAAAAATAATATACATATAAGTAAATAATAAATATTGTGTAAGTATATTTGTTTATTTTATGTTAAGTAAAGAAATACGGATATTCTCATAATTTATTTATATTTTATGCAATAAAAACTTTCTAGAGCATAGCTTGTTTCTCATTATCGTTAGAAGCCTCTTGAATAAATGGCTGAAAGCTTTAAAGCATTATGTTAATAATACCCATAAGCTTTTAAAGCTTTAAGCTAAAATCCATATTAGGCTCGTCCTATACGTGGGTTCAATTAAGGTTTGTTTAGTTAATCAATTTAGAAATTCTTGTTTATTCAAGTAATTGTGCTACTCCTCTTAAAACAGCAGGTGTATATTAAAGTGGTGGAGGTGATTTATTTAGATTTGATGAATAATAAATTCTCACTCCTTAACCAAAACAATCAAATACATTTGATTGGAGTTAACAATAATTATAAAGCATTAAGAAAGAAATAGTATTTAGTAAGAGTATTCCTGGATAAGCTAATCACTTACTTTCAAAAATATGGTATTATGTAGATGATTACTTAAAAGTTTAGGGTATTCTTAATTATTTATTTTAGGACCTTTTAGTTCAATTTAAATGGATAATTGGTATCTAAAAGGATATTTTGATGATATTTTAAGAATAGGATTTAAACCTGAAGATTCAGAATGTTTTATTAGAATTTATTAATTGAAAACTTAAAAATAATCCAAAAAAGTTCTGAAACTCCTAAGAAGAGAATCTTGTCCTCCTATTTTAACTGCTTCATAAGATACTTCTATTTAAGTAAAATAGACAGTCTAATAATAATAATAATAACAATAACAATAACAATAATAATAATAATTATAAAAACAAGATTTACAATAACAAATTTAAATACAAAATTAAGATAATGCTCCTACTATAAGAGTACCTACTTTGAGAAAAAAAAAATGAATTGTATCTAGTTTAAAAATTAATAAGTTTTAAGTCATCTTTTTATTTCATTAAATATATTAATTAATTATACACGCAATGTAGTAGAATTAGAATGATTAAATAAATGATTTAAATAGTTATAAAGTATAGATAGGCAAGAGTCTAATCTTAAGACCTGGAGGAAATATGTAAATATACTTAATTCCCTAGTTTTATTATACCCACAATATTTGATAACAATCTATGTCAATTTTATGAATGCAAGATCTATATTAATCAATATAACTATATTTCTATTCCTTCTAATTTTGAAAGCTATCAACAAAATATTGAATATACAGGATTTATAGATAAAGTCACTTTTTTACCTCATGGATAAGGAGAATTAAATATGAATAATTTTATTCGATTTAGTGGTTAATTTTTAGAAGGATTAGCAGATAATATATGTGTAGTTGAAGAAGTTAGTGGAATCAAGAAATAATATACTTATCGTTGTGGTTAAAAACACGGTCCATTTTTTGAAAAAAATGAAAATTATGAAACTCTAGGATACTATGAGAACAATTTATTGTAAGGAGAATTAATTTGTAAAGATAATTAAGGAGTAATACAATCTTAAAAATTTTATCATAATAATATTTAAGTTAATTATAATACTTAAGAATATTCAAATTAAATTTAATAAAACACTTCCCGATATTTATTTTTTCATAAAGATTATTCAATAAATAATTATCTATTTCTAGGTTTAAATGATGGAAATTGGTTAAATCAATTATTAATTGATTATTATTTAGAATTAGTTCAAGATTATTATAGATGTATCTATACTGACTAAGAAATACTTCTGATAAATACGATTATGAGTTAAGATATATTTTCCAGTTAAATTAGTAACTTTAGCATAGGATTGAATAAAACAGAAAAAATTGAGGAATTATTAAAATAAAAATATAATAGAATCACTATAATATTGAATGCTGATAGATCTCATTTCATAACATTAGTATTTTAGAATAATGCACTTTATTTACTCAATTCCATGAATTTTATTAATGATCAAGATATTTTGAATAAAGTAGCGTAAATGTTTAATAAGCCTGAGTAATAAATTAAGACAATAATTTTAAATGTTCCACAATAATAAAATTGTTATGATTGTGGTTTGTATTCTATTTTTAATGTTCTCTTACAATATTAAAATATTGACAAATCTGTTGGAGAGATTGATTACAATATTACGACACCATAAAAAATAACATTTTTAAGGTAGCATATAAGAAATGTTTTAATTAATGATTATTCACATATAATTCCTATTTATAAATGATAAAAATATAAAATCTTTATCTTTTGAGAGTCAAATATTTGAAAAATTTATTAATTATAAATAATGGTTATTATAATTTAAATTTGATTTTTTACATTCTGTATAATTAATCAATAAAGAGTTTTAATAGAAAATAATATTTTGTACTTACAGAATAATTGATATATTTCTATAGAGTTTTGAACATTAAATCATTTTATAGTATAAGTGAACACAAAAATAAGTATTTTGGTGTTGAATTTAATTCATATAGTAATTTGATTATTATTCCATTAATAAAATTAATTCTCACGATGAATTTCAGGTAAGAAATAAAGTACTTAAAAGTAGTGCTTAATTTTGGACTCAATTCGGTATGCTAATGAAGGAAAATGGATTTGATCGTTATTTTGAGAATCCAGACTTGTAGTTGACTACGTTGTTGGATGATGATTTAATAATTGGGGAATTTAGAAATCAAAATTAGAAATTGATGGATTAGTAAGATATTGATTAATATGTAGTATGCAAAAAAAATAAGTGGCTGAGTTAGTAAGTTATTTAACTGAGATGCCAGTGGATGATTCAAATTCAAAAAGAGCTTTTAGATATCCATTTTATTCATGTGAATTGTTAGTATGTTGTGAAAATCCTAAAATTTTGGAATAATTTTTTGGTGAAGACAAGTATTAAGATTAAAATATTAATAGATCTCTATTGCATAAATTATTTTAATTTTTTGTTTAAGATGAAGATGTAAATCCAGTTTTGGCAGGATATGTATGCAATGTTTTATTTAACTTATTAAAAATGCGTACTGATATCTTTCTTTCTGAGTTTTATAACTAACAAAATTTAACAGAGGGATTAATTAGATAACTATAATCTCGTTCAGTTACAGAACTTGTGATTCGTTTATTATCAATAGAATAGGAGACTGCAGTTGATTATACAGCTTAAAGGCTTTAATTGTTATAAGGAGTACTTGGAAGAATTGCTGATACCTCAAATTTTGAAGTAATCTTTATAGATTAATTATCTTAGGTTCCAACAAATATATCTCATATTATTCAAGAGATAACATCTAAAGTGTATGTAATTAATAAAGCATAATCACTTTTTGATTTCTTATATAGAGATTCTATAGATCTACTTTGTTTATCTATTGTTCATGAAAATAACTTTGTATCTCTTGCTTCAGGAACTGCATTGTATAATCTATTAACTTTACATTATAAAATGATAACTAGATAGGGGGATCCAGCTGAAAGTGCTATTTTCTAAATAGATTAAGAAGAGTTATTCAATAAAATTGAATCTCATTTAAATAAATGGCTAGAATTTCTATAATAATCTACTACTCCTATTTTTGGATAACATAAGATTAAAATACTTGAAATTATGGGAGTGTGTATAAGTTTGAATTAACAATCATTTGTTAATAAATTATAAGAATAGGACATCTTCAAAGTATATAATTAATTATTTCTTAAATATGAAAAACATGATATATTGCATTTATAATACTATAGATTCTTAGTTCATATAATTGAATAAAAGTTGGATTCTTTGGTTTAGAATGTAATAAATTATAATTAAATAAATAGTTATTCAATCAAAATGATTTTATCTCATTTTTGTTAAAATGTACTTCAGAAGTGATAAATAATAAAAAATAGAGAAGAGAATATTTAGGTTTTGTTACTAAATTGGCTCATTTTTTGGAAGAATTCTCATCAAAATACCCATTATTGTAATCTGAATTAGAGAAAGAATCCTGGAAGAAATTTAAAGATTAATATTTTGATAGAGCTGAAAGATTAAATAATCATGAATTAGGTGGACATACAAGAGCTGATTATAATGAGGATGTTGATTTTAATAAGGAAGATATCTAAAAAAAATATAATAATTTTTTAAGTTCAAAAAATGATGAGAAAAATTAAGATGAAACTAATACTCAAAACATATAAAATTTATTTGATTCTTTTAATATTAGTACTAATGAATAGTAAAATAATACTGTTAATGAATAGTAATAATAATGGTAAAATTTTACTTGGAATGATAATTAAAATTAATCAAATGAAATATCATAATAATAAGTTTTCGTATAATTAGAATAAGTATCGAATGTAATTTAGAATTAAGATTAATCAGAAGAATAATAATAATAATAATAATAATAATAATAATAATAATAATAATAATAATAATAATAATAATAATAATAATCAAATGGAGAATAAAACAAAGAAGTAGAAATGTAATTTGAATGGACAACAAATATAAAATAAAAACATGATTATGCATAAGAAGAAAAGGAAGATGAATATAATCGCTTTTGGTAATTCTAAATTCATGAGCACGATGTAAATTATATTTAATTATTTATAGGCTAAACTTCATGATGATGCTTTATATGAGTTTGAAAAAAATTTATGATTATTTTGATCATTTTTAATAATAATGTATAATTTAATAAACTTTCTTCTGGAAAAATGAGAGGGTTTTTTTAGTTATTGAAAAAAATAAAATAAAATAATCTAAGCAATATATTTAATGAAAAAAATAACTTAATCATTATTTTGGTTTTACTTTTGTTTAGATCTTATAGAATCCGTATAATCATTAGAAGATGTTAATCCTCTTAACTTTGTAAATGAATAATTCAAGCCTAGTAGTTAAGATGATACAAATTAAACAATAAAAGGAGCAAATTAATATATTACCAAATATACATTAAATGCATTTACTTTGACTGAATTGATAATAGATCTAAGACATTTAGATAAATATATTGATGAAGAAGGAATCTCTTAATTTAATTACACTTAGGATGATTGGAATATCAATATAGATTTGAATGATAATATAATTGAATTACCGAATATATTTGAATAGAGTGATGTTGAAAAGGTAAGTGATTTTAAATTTATAATATTTGCATTTAAGACAATAATATTTTAGATTGGATTTTAATTAAATTCTAAAGAATTTTATGCTTAGAAATATTAATTTATGAATACAACAAAGATTTAGAATATGGAACCAAAAACAGCAATAGCTAATACAAATAGTATTTTTGTATTTTAATTATCAAAAACAGATCAAATAGCATTACCTGCAAATATTTTACCATTAAATAAATTTGATTATTAAGATCACATAATTTCTTATTCATCTAATAATTTCTTTTAATAAAATTAATACACAACTTACTCTCCATAATCAAAATACTGGGGAGATAGAGATGACATAGTAATTCCATATATTCCTTTTTTTTCAAATTGTCAAGGATTTGGATAATATATATATTTATATTAATTGATTGAACATGCAAATTGCACACTTTATAATGAGAACGAAACAGAAGCAATAAATCCATTTTAATTTAGTATGAGTCCTATAAGTGATGAATGTAATGAATTAAAGTTGTATTGTATTATGGATGAGAAATATAACATAAATCCACGTTTACCAAGATGGTTTGAATTGAATGGTGAAGAAACATTATTCTATATTTAAGCAGATCCTTTGAATCCAAATGACTTCAATTCAGATTATAAGGTACCTTCTTCTAAAGTAGTAGAAATTTAAACAGCTAATTCAATACCTAGTGGAATGATGCCACTAGAAGTTAATTTAGATATTCATTATTATTAAGTTACTAAAACTTAAAAGAGAATAATTGCAGGATCAGTAACTTTTACAAACTTTTATAAATTGAGTGAAGATTAGAAAGCTGGAAAGGCAGAAATAACATATAATTTGATATTCAACTTTATATCCATGACACAAGGGTAATTAGTTAATAATTTCGCACTTGAATGGCCGGTCTATTTTATTTTGTATATGATAATTGGAGCAATTTTAACAATGGAAGGTGCTATATTTCTATTTTATCATTATATAACAAATAGGAATAGACCAAGACCAAAGATTAATTTATTAATTTATGTTAGAATATTTTGGATAAGTAGTTTATATGGTATTTGTTTGGCATTTGTTCCTGCTTTAACAGTCTTTATTCTGATATCTATAATAATGGCAGGAAAACTTTGGAATACTGATTTAAGTTTGAGTTGTAATATGACTCCATATTCTGAATCAGATGATGGATGTGCTATAGTGTTTTTTGATTTGTTTAAAAATCAATAAAAATATACAAGTGATGAATTTGTATTATTAAGAAATGCTCGTTGTGGAATTGCTATGATAACTGTTGGATTATATATTGTGTATTTTATTAGTGGTATCTACATTCCAGAAATCAATCCTGAAGAAGATTATAATGGTAATGTTAAAAATGTAAGATTGTGGAAACGAAGTCGTATTTTATATTGTCTTGCTTTTATAACTACTATTATACTAATAATGACTCAATTTTCTTATTCTGATCTTTTTGCTAATAATGCATATATGTTTCTTATATTTCTTAAAATCTTATAAATGATTTTAGAATACATTTTGGAAGTTTATTTTGATAACAATTTAATTTCTAGTCCAATCGGAGTTATATTTAGTACTTATATCAATGTAGCAACAATGGGTAATCCAACATTTTATGAATTTTTATTATCTACAATTGTTGATAAGGGTATTGAAATGGTAGAAAGAGCTTATGTAATTAAGATTTAGGATTTTGTAACGGAGGAATTGGAATAATAATTTGATAAGGTGTATAAAATGTTAAAAAGATTATTAGATGAAGAGGAAGAGGATTTTGAATTAGAAGATGAAAAATTAGTAGAAATGTAAAAAGTACTAAAAACCAATGAAGATGATTCTGATTCAGATATTGTGTTTTCAGATGATGGAAAAGAGAATCTGGCTTCAGATGATGAATCTTTTGTAAGTAATAAAATTTCATCAAATAATCATGAAAATTCATTTACTAAAGAAGATTTAGATGAATTTGAAAATAAGTTCAGAACATATTTACTTGATTAACATCATAAAACATTTTAATAATATAATGAAGAATAAGGAAATCATTTAGAACTTGCAGCAGACAATGAAGATCAAACTGATTTGATAGATTATTTCTCTAATTTTGCTAATGATATCATTACTTTGGTATTCAATCCATTTATAACTACTATTATGTGGTTCTTTTATGATGAATCAAATTTATTGGCTGATTATTAGATTAATAAAAGTGAATTTATATATTACTTTTTATGGACTATAATTTTAATTCCCTTTTAAATGATAATTGACACATTTGGATATAATTTAGTTGAACAATATCATCAATTGGATTTCCTCACTTATATTAAAAATACAAGAGAACGATTCAGAAATAGAAATCTATTTTGGAAAGCTAGTGAATTTCAAAATGATTTAAATTGTGAAACATGCTTTCGTTCACTTGATTGTAATAATTAATTATATCTATAATTTTAGAATGGTGTTATTCATCTTAATTTTACTTTATTACCACTTTATAAGTTTGTGCCATCTAGATGATTATTTTTGGCTCACACATCATTTATGTCAATAAATATAATATATTTAATGATGAAGGTATCATATTATAATCATTATAAGCTCTAATTTTTATTATTTTCTTCTGGGTTGTTGTTGCTTTCTTTCTCCATCATCTATTTATTGAAATTGGTAAAAGATTAAAAATCTGGGATATCTCTAATAGAGTCTCACCTCAAGATGAATAAGTTATGTCCTCTATTGGAGATATTGATAAATTATCAACTTCTCAAATACCTTCAGGACCTATATTGCTTATTCCCAATTGGAATTTAGCTATAGAGTTTAGAGAATAGACTGAAAGACTCTCTGAAATCAATAATAATTTCCAAGATTTTACTAATGACCATTTCAAAAATCTATTTGTTACTTCTAATAAGTAATGGTTAGCAGATAATATCTAATTAATGTATGTATAAAATTATTAATTATTTAATAGATTAAGTCCAAAAACTTTAAAATAAAAAAGAAAAATAATTTTAGATAAATTTAATTCAATATATGGTCCATTAGAAAAAAAGAATGAAGAAGATCCTGTTGCTGGATTTGATAATGCTTGGAATTTTAGATAATTTGCCAAAAATTCTTAAAGAATAGAAATGGCTAGAACTTCTCCATAGAAATTTAATAAACGAATTGATAATATGAGTGAAGCTACAAAGGAAATACTTAAATATTGGTTATATCGTTCAAGAAATATGAAAACAGCAATTAAATATATCGGAGGATTACTTGAAAAGATTACAAAACCATTCTGTGAATATTGTGGATTAAATTGGGGATTAGGAGTTGATACAGAAACTAGAATAGAAGATATTTATTTAAGATTTTTAAAATAAAAAGGATTAAAGTAAATTTCATTGAATATGGGAACTGAAATAGATGATTGGTAGAATTTCTTTCCAAAATAGTGCAGATTTAGAACAACTTGTTTTATTTGTAATGGTATTAAGATTTTAGTATTATTTTAGTATTTATGGTAGAAGAAATGTAAAAAGATAAAGTTAAATTACAAGGAGAATAGAAACTAGTAGTTTAGAAAAAGAAGAATAAGTACACTCTAAAAAAAGTGGCAAATCTTATCTTGATAATGATAAAATTCATAGATATGGCTTAGAAATTAGCTTTTCAGAATTAATGATGTTTATTAAAGAATTTATCACTGTCACTTAAAATAAATTAAAAAATCTTTTTAAAAATGGGTAAGAGAATCAGAGCACAAAGAAAGGGAAAATCAAACAGTGTTTTCAAAGCACATTAAAATTAAAGAATAGGATCTCCATAATACAGACATCTTGATTATGCTGAAAGACATGGCTATGTCAGAGGTGTAATTACTGCTATTCGTCATGATCCAGGAAGAGGAGCACCACTTGCTGAAGTTGAATTTAAAGACCCATATAAGTACTCTAAAATCACTAAGCTCTTCATTGCTCCTGAAGGATCATACACTGGCTAATACATTTATTGCGGAGCTAAAGGTAACATTTATATTTTGAATCATAGCTTAATTGGCAACAGGAAATGTTCTACCTATTGGATAAATCCCAGAGGGTACAGTAGTTTGCAATTTGGAAGAACATCCAGGAGATAAAGGTGCTTTGGGAAGAGCAACTGGATGTTATGCCACTATTATTGGTCATTCAGATGATGGAACAACAACTAGAGTTAGATTACCATCTGGTACCAGAAAAACACTTAGTGCTCTTTGCAGAGCCACAGTAGGTAATTTATTTGAATTAATTATAGGATTGATTGCTGGAGGAGGAAGAACAGAAAAACCAATACTCAAGGCAGGAAGATAATTCCATAAATATAGAAGACTTAGAAAATGCTGGCCAAAAGTTAGAGGTGTAGCTATGAATCCAGTTGATCATCCTCATGGTGGTGGTAATTAATAACATATTGGTCATCCATCCACACTTTCAAGATATGCTCCTCCTGGTCAAAAAGTAGGTCTTGTTGCTGCCAGAAGATCAGGTCTTCTCAGAGGTGGTGCTTAACTTAAACAAATGGACGAAGATTTGGCAGCACAATAAGCAAAAAAATGATATTGATTATCTATAATCGTACAATAAAATTTATGAATTATAATCTCAAAACTTTCGATACCATTAAATGGTTAAGAAATCGTTACAAATCAAGAGTTAAAGATCAATACATTCTTTATGATTCAGAACTTAAAGAGTAAATCATGATGAAAGCTGTATTCAAATCTATTGATAGAGACAAATCAAGTATTTTATATAGATAAAACTTATAGAATTTCTTGATAGATCTGAATTATATGATATGTTCATTAAATATGGAATAAACATTACAAAATCAAAACTCAAAGAATTCTTTAAAAGCATAGATGAAGATGAAGATGGTATCAATTATTACAAAATTATAGATAAGTTGAATTGGACAGATTTTAAATAAGCCCTTCAAAATTAAGAAGCTTTAGCCAGTATCATTTTTAACAAATATCTAGTGTTTGTTTAATTAATGAAGAAGATAAGGGAAGATTATGAAATTAATCAAATTAACCCTGAAAAACAATTAACTTTTGTTCCTTTAAGTTTTCCATAAATGATACAATATATGAATTATTGCGTCTTAAGAGAAGAAATTATTGATAAGATAGAATCTAATAATATCAATAATTATTAAAAACATAAATAATGCGTTAATCTTCTTACTTTAGAAGATAGTTGCTATAGAAATATTAAATAAGATTAAAATGAAGATGAAAATGAAGAAGATGAAGTTAAGAATATTCAAAAAACTGATTATTCATAAATTATATAGATGAAAAGATTCCAAGAAAAAGAACTCAAATTTAAAAGATTAGTAAATATTATACCTATTTTCAGGAAAAAGTAAAAGATATAAGTAAAAAAAGGTTTTATACCAATCAAACACAAGATTTCGGTGTAAATGACAGTGTAAGATTGTAAATATTTATGTTTTTATATTATATTTAGATCAGATTTAACTTAATTAAAAACTGATCTCACATAGGAGATTAGTAAAACAAGAGAAAATATTGATAAATTTTTAGCAATCCTCAATAATGAAAAAATTAAATAAGAAAAAACTAGCCAATCATCTCGAGTCTCCTCAAGACAAAAATCAAGAGAAAGATAAACAGCTGTTTTAAAAAGGAATAGTATATTAATTGAAGCAGAATAAGAATTAAAAAATACCTCAGGAGAGTAAAACAAATTTAAACCATTAAATTTTGGATCTTCTAAGAAAAACAAGGTAAATATTAATCATTAATTCTATTTAGTACTCAAGATAAAGAATATAATCATTAGGAATAAAATAAAAATGATTTCACTATTGTAATTTATTGTATGTTCTTTAAAATTTCAATAAATACTATTTTTATTAACTTTCTTTATTTATTGCAAGAAATATTCCTTATTCATTTTAATAAATTTAAAAAACTTAAATATTTATTGAAAAAAAAATGAATTAAGAATTATTGCTTTGCTGGATAATTATCCTTTTTTCTGCAGATCGGCAAGATTAATTAATAAATTGTGCTACAAAGTGACTTAATTCATTTAAAATAACTGCAAAAACAGATTAGCATAAATAAGTTTGCCATGAATATGTATGTAGAATGAATAAAGTCCTTGTTAAAGAAAATTTATAGCATAATAATCAATTGTATATCATATTAATTATTTCAAATTTTCATTATATTTAACATGAAATCCAATATTTACTCATCATTACAAATTGCATAAGTAAGATTAAACTAAACTAATTATATTTTTAGAAAAGTATTTTAATGATATTAGGTTCCATTCTAAGCATACAAATTCTATTATCTAAATATATTGTATATTCATTAATTTCCTTTAGATATTAATGAATCTATATTCGTTTGAACAATTTATGGAGAGGGTTACTCAACTTCTTAATTTTTAGATTATAAAATTCAGATTTTATTTTTGATTGTGACTCTAATGTAATTCTTATTTAAGCTATTTCTACAAATTCATTTTAATGATTCTCTTATTTTATGAGATTTAATTAGTTTAAAGAAAGATAAATTATTTTCATTATTTTTGAATTTCATAATATTTCTGTTCACTTTAATTTTTTTTTTATAATAGTTTCCTCCTTACGTTCTGTTGAATTTTTCATTTGATTATAGGAATACTTCTTTAATTATGTTTTGGAGATTTTGAAATATAATTTATAATTTAAAAAAATTTAATATAATATATAGTATGATTTTCTTGCTTATGTATTTTATATTCTGGTATAAGGATACAAATTTTAATTGATTTTAGAGCGAAAGGATGTCTCAGGTATTTAAATTATTTAAGAATAATTTCAATTAATCATTAATTATTCGAAATCATTAAATGTCAGGAAAAGCAATAATCTAAAAAGCAGCTCCATTCTTTAAAACAAATGCATGGTATAATTTATTGATTTATTTGTTAGGAATCCTATTAAAAATTCTATTGAATAAGTGTAATTGACTGATTTCAAAGGCAAGTATGTGTTACTTTTCTTCTATCCATTGAATTTCACTTTTGTATGTCCCACAGAAATCATCTAATTCTCTAAATTAGCAAAATCTTTTAGAGAAAACAACTGTGAAGTTCTAGGATGTTCAGTTGATTCAGTCTATTCACATGCTGAATATGTGAAAAAGCCAAAGGCTGATGGAGGATTAGGAGGATTGGATATTCTTCTTTTATCAGATTTGACTAAATAAATCTCTTCAGATTATGGAGTTCTAACAGATAGTGGGCTTTCACTTAGAGGAACATTCTTAATTGATGGTAATTAAAATCTACGTCATGCTTCTATAAACGATGCTCCAGTTGGAAGGTATTAAAATACTCTAATATTAGAAATGTAGATGAATATCTAAGATTATTGTAAGCATTCCAATATGTTGAAAAACATGGAGAAGTATGTCCAGCATCTTGGAAACCAGGATAAGCCACCATTAAACCAGATATTGAAAAATCAAAAACCTATTGGTAAAATACACATGCCAAAAATTGAAATGAGTCCCTTTATATATTATCTATAAATAAAAAAATATATCTAAAACAATTTTATTATTATTCTTTATTATATGCTTTTTTTTATTAATTAATATCTAACAGAGAATTTTACTTAATACATTTATAATTTAAATAATAATAGTCAAAACACTTAGTGGACTATTAAAATATTATGTACAATCAACAAGTATAAATTAATTCGATTAGTAAGTATTTCCCTAAAATAAACATTTCATATAGAAATTATAATACTAAACTCAATATTATCAGATATTTTTTCTAGATATTCTGTTGTTCAAAATTTAATATACTCTAAAGAAGTAAGGAACTTAAAGAATGATTTGGGGAAAGTAAAGCATAAAAAAATTTCATTTTTCTCAGAATATATTGATTAGAATTCACTTCCTCCATTTGTTAAAAATTTATATAGCCATTGACACTAAATCTAGTAATACTACATTATTGAGACCGTGAACTTTTTCGTTTAAGTCTTGGTAATTCTAATAGTGAACCCGCTAAAATTTTCCTTATGTCTCAATTTATCTAAAACTTTTTGCTAACTAATCAAGGTCTACTGCATATAATCTAATAAGATTTAGAGTGGCAGTTTTAATTAATAACTATTTTTATTTACTCAAGATTATTATATTATAATTTATAATTGAAAAAATGTCAAAATAAAATTTTATCCTGCATCAAATCATTTATGTAAGATTTCATTTTGTTAATTTATATTATTTATAAATCAAAAAAATGTTTTTGTAAACTTTCTTTTAATAAGATATAATGTTATTGAAATTATTAGTATTTATTATTCAATTTTTATTCTATAAATAAAAATAACTATTAATTAGTCTCATTCTTACTCTCAATATTAATAATATTATACTCTGAAACAAAAACAAGACTTAAAAAGGAAGATTTATAAAATCAATTCCAACATTAAAGGCTAACAAATTTTTAATCTTAACTTTTTGAGCTAATTATCAAATTTTTTTATTTTTGTCTTGCTAAATGGCGATGGAAATAAGTTTATTACTAGTTGCTATAATATTTACTAATTTTGGATAATTTTTTAGGAAATATATTTATAATATTATCAAAAATAATGTTTAAAATGATTCAAGTGAATAATAAAAATCAGGCTATATTTGATAATTTCAGCATAATTTTGGTTAAATGCACTTTCTTTAATGTAATATTATTTCGTTTTCTTCTCCCAAATCTTACCTACAATTAACATAATAATATAATTTAAATAGTTTAAGTAAGATTAAGTATATACACATCAATCTTCTTCAAAATTGTCTGCCTCTTCATTGATCGAATGTAGACTTTCAGAAGATGATTGTTTTAATGAGAATTTATTTCTGAAAATTTTTAATCTAATTAGAAGTAAGGACTCTATGGTTTGTTTGTTTGCCAAATTTTCTACATTAATTTAATTCATTAAGTAATCTTTTAAGTATATTTTCTCCTCCATATTGATAATTTATTCTTCATAAAGTCTGAGAATTAATTCAAGACTTGATCGAAATTAAATTTCCATTTATTTTAATTAGAAATCGTTATCAATTTTCCAAATTAATAAAGAAAAAATAATTATGACATTAGATATAATTTTATTAAGTTATTAAAGATCAAAATAATACGTCAATTAACATATTAAGAAAAACAAATTTGTAAATTTCTTAAATAATTAATTTTCATTTTCGTTATTGATATCTTTTAGCATATTTGATATATGTCGGTTTAAAGTGATTATTGGATGTTTTAAATTCATATATTAAGTTAAATAATTGAAGTGAAATTTTGAGTATGAAAAAAAAAGTTATAAATTCATAATTCTAATCTTTATTTTTTCAATAATTATTAAATCCTAATAGAAATTGGAAAGCAATAAATAAATATAAAATATATTCAATTCTGTAGATCATTAAATAACGGAGAAAAATAAAGTAATATATGCAGAGAATTTTTTGTATTAACTTCGAAAAGCTTAGCTATTGATTAAAATTAAGACTCTATTAAGATTAGTACAATTAATAAGTATACTTATGTTTAATTTTTTAAATTGAATAAAAGAGCATTAGAAAGATCTATTTGGGATAGTATATAATAAATTCTCTAACTGTTTCATACCAGGAGATATTTTAAAATGATATTAAATGAATTTTAATGAGTATCTAAATTTTTATCATTAATATTAATAAAACAAAGATTAACTTTTCACAACTCATTATGATGGATCAATTAGAATTTGGGAGATGAAAATGGTTTAAATTCAATTTCTTTAGACTAAACATTATTTTAGCATAAAGATTGACTAAATTAAATATGTTGAAATGATTAAGAATCTCAAATCATCTATTGTAGTGATGTTATAAAATAATAATAGGGGAAATAGATAATTAAAATGTAGATAAATGATAGTTAATAAAAACTTATTAATTTAGATATGGTTACCATAGTGATGGTGTTAAAAATAGGGATTATCTATGCTTTTCTTTAAGAAATAATAGATTTGTTGAAGAACAAGAAAGATCAAATCAAAAGTTTAAGCTGATTTTATGAATTTCATTATTTCCATTTTTATCATAAGTGAAAGTTTTTCTACTTTTGGGAATTAACAAACGACAAGAATATTTCTTAAATAAAAATAGATAATTTAGAACTTAATCAAGATAGGTTTTAAATTCAATTATAAGTACTTCAGTCACCTAAAGTTAAGAAACTAATATACATAAAATAAATCCTTAATCCATCTTATTGGGTTTTCTTTCTTTCTTTTAAAATTGGCCATTTTTTCTACCATTTGAGTATTTTCCAGTATGAGTAACTTAGTAAGTGCTATTTTAGTATTTGATCAATAATTACCAACGAAAATCAGAATCCACATCTGTCCAATCCCCTTCTTTTTATCCATTTTAATAATCTCCTCCACCTCTAAAATTAATTTTTAGAAATCAAGTCAAATACATCTATTCAAACTCATTTTAATTCTTTGTCTTATACATTATGTTCCATTTACCATTCTTTATACCATTTTGATAATCACCACAATAAATAATTTGTGCATCACTATTAAACATTATTATAAAAAACAGTTACATATAAAATTAGTTACATAAATCTATCCAATAGCCATTTTTTAACCCTTTTTGATTATATGAACCACAACCTCTAATAAATATTAATAATCAATTAAATAATAATAATTACATTTCTTTCTCTTCCAGAAAACTCTTCCATAAACCATTTTTTTAACCTATTTTATACACTCCTTTAAAAGTTACTTAATTAAACCTAACGAAGAAATATATTATTTAATACTGAGAGTAGTCATCACTTACTTCAGTCCATTCCCCATCCTTTACTCCGTCTTAAATATACTGTCCTCCACCACTTTTTACTATTATTCTACATTTACATTTCTTTTAAAGATAAACTGTCTAATTTTGTTATCCATCTTCCAATTTTCTTATTATTTTTATATTTTCCCTAATGAAAAACTTCACCAAAACTAAAGAAATTATAAATATTAATAACTACCAATTAAAATTATCACTTAAATCTATCCATTCACCAGTTTTCATTCCATTCTAATCGTAAATACCTCCACCACTAAAAAAATAATTAAAATATTAATTTTACATTTTCTCATATTTTTAGTCAGGATTCCTTTTATAAAAAATTGTCCATTCGTTTATTTTTTTATTGTTTTCATATTAGCCTTACATTACTACTTAACATTCTCTTTTAAGAATATTGATTTTAATTACCGAGAAAAACCTTCCCAGAAATCTTTCCATTCACCTTACTTCAAACCATCATTTGTATATTCTCCTTCCCCACTTATATTATTTGTTTTTATTACATGATTTCATTACAATAAAAGCTTTACCATTTACCAATTTTAACTCCATTTTCATAATTTCCAGAACAACTTATTTTGATATCCCTAAATGCATGATATTTATAGATTATACAAAAAAGAGAAATCATTCATCTCATACCATTTTCCTATTTTTTATCCTTAATTATTAAAAGATCCTTTATAGTCATTATCTTAACTCATTTTCCAACCCCCAAATTTTTTGCCATTTTAATAATTTCCTTCATAAAAAATGATATCATGGCTGATTTAAAATTCAAAATAATAAATACTTATCTGAAATTTCGCTTAATTCTAACCAATTTCCGTCTTTTAATCCTTATTGATTGTACCATCCTCCATTTCTTCTGGATTTTATTTTTAAAACATTATTATTGTCTTATTCTTCGAATATATAATCCCATTATCCATTTCTTTAATCATTTACATATTCTCCTACCATAAAAATTAAAGCTTCACTAATTTTTATTATTTTATTTTATTACTCCCAAAAATTCTAAATTGGTATTTTCCAAAGTCCTACTTTTTTTCCTTCCATCGAATACTCCCCAAAAACACCTTCTTAAACTTATCCTTTCCAATAAACATATTACTTTCCAATATTGTAGTTGTTTCTCACACCACCAGAAAAATAATTGAAATGCTAAATTATTTCTAAATTACTCACTATTTCTGGCTGATATGTTAAATTATAAAATTTTAATCTAAATGATAACAAATATTACTTTTTTAGAATTTCTCCATCATGTATATAAATTATTTCATGATTTCTATTAAATTTTACCAAAAATTTTGTTTTTATTTTTTTATTCTTTTTCATTTGAAAACCATCGTATATTTAAACTTTTTCTTGCCAAAAAATTTAGGAAACTTCATCATTATGCTTTGAAATGAGTTATTGTAGATTATCCCCTATTAATAAATTAGTTGTGCTCAATTTATCAACAATAGAATTTATCAAAGACTTCCAAGTATCAAATTTTTTTCCTTAAAAAATCTCATTGAGATCTGATGTTCTGCAAGAACTAATCAGCTCTTTAAAATGAAGGTTTTCTAGTATTAATTCATTAAATATTGCTTCTGCGGAATTTCTAGTATTTTCCAAATAATCCTTTAATTTCTTTTCAATATCATCATATTATTTAAAAAAGTTCCTTTTACTAACCAAGAAATAATGTTCAAGTTTTTCTTATTTCAATTTAATATGATCATTAAATTGTTAAATTGGAATTAATTTACTAGCATCTCCACCATGTAAATGTATACAGTCCGAACATAGTCTCCTTTAACAACTATGAAACTCATCATCTTCTGTACAAATCAGAGTTATTTAATTATGTGGATGTTTTTGACATATCAATTCATTTTGCATCTTAAAAAAATATAAGAAAATAAATAATGGAAATTAATTAAGATGTAATAAATATCATTCTTTCTTTTTATTATTAATTGTTAAATGGCACTACATTAAATATTGCTTAAAATTGAGAGAAATTTTTGTCTTATATTATCATATTTTTGAAACTATTTTCCCCATTGAAAAACCAACCTAATAAAATTTAATGAGAAAAATATTAAATGTTTTTGAGACAAAAATTATTCATTCAGCTTAGTAATCAATGAGATATTTATTCATTATTTTTCAGATAAAATCTTTTATTTTACGTTAGGATTCATTATTAATCAAATAAGCGATTGTTTATTATTTTGAAGTTTGTTCAGTGATTCTAAATAAAAATAAAGAATTCCTTTAAATAAATAAATAGGCAAAAATAATCATATAATAATTTTTACAATTTAGGGAAATATCTTAAAACTAAAACAAATTAGGGAAAAACTGAATTATTCTCATAAATATAACTGATCGCATTTTTAATTAAAAAAAATATGCTATATTTTATTGTTTGAATAGATTGTTACATATTTGATACAAATTTATTTATTAGTTAAATTATACAAAACAATGATTATTAAGGAATTTACAAGCCAGCCTTCACAATATATTTATTTATTTTTGGGCTATAAATTTAAATTACTTGCAAATAAGGTTGATTGGTGATTATATCAATTCTGAAATTTGATTTATTGATTTAATAGATGGATATAAGCCAAAAAGTTCTTTTAGAATATTTCTTTTACTGTAAATATATAATAAGAATTGAGAATGAGAATTAATTTTTTTGAAATTATAATATATCTAATTAGACATTTACCTAATTTAAAGGTTCAAATTTGTCAATATAATCAATATTGTATATTTGCTATCTTATGAATATATAAAAGAATGGCAAGTAGACGACAACCTTATTTATTAATTATATTTAACAGTATTTTTTTGTGTTTTTATTAGAATTTTAACATATTTATTAATTTAAGACTATTTATTAATATTAATAGGGGAAATTCAAGATAATTTATTTNTTCATTAAATATTGCTTCTGCGGAATTTCTAGTATTTTCCAAATAATCCTTTAATTTCTTTTCAATATCATCATATTATTTAAAAAAGTTCCTTTTACTAACCAAGAAATAATGTTCAAGTTTTTCTTATTTCAATTTAATATGATCATTAAATTGTTAAATTGGAATTAATTTACTAGCATCTCCACCATGTAAATGTATACAGTCCGAACATAGTCTCCTTTAACAACTATGAAACTCATCATCTTCTGTACAAATCAGAGTTATTTAATTATGTGGATGTTTTTGACATATCAATTCATTTTGCATCTTAAAAAAATATAAGAAAATAAATAATGGAAATTAATTAAGATGTAATAAATATCATTCTTTCTTTTTATTATTAATTGTTAAATGGCACTACATTAAATATTGCTTAAAATTGAGAGAAATTTTTGTCTTATATTATCATATTTTTGAAACTATTTTCCCCATTGAAAAACCAACCTAATAAAATTTAATGAGAAAAATATTAAATGTTTTTGAGACAAAAATTATTCATTCAGCTTAGTAATCAATGAGATATTTATTCATTATTTTTCAGATAAAATCTTTTATTTTACGTTAGGATTCATTATTAATCAAATAAGCGATTGTTTATTATTTTGAAGTTTGTTCAGTGATTCTAAATAAAAATAAAGAATTCCTTTAAATAAATAAATAGGCAAAAATAATCATATAATAATTTTTACAATTTAGGGAAATATCTTAAAACTAAAACAAATTAGGGAAAAACTGAATTATTCTCATAAATATAACTGATCGCATTTTTAATTAAAAAAAATATGCTATATTTTATTGTTTGAATAGATTGTTACATATTTGATACAAATTTATTTATTAGTTAAATTATACAAAACAATGATTATTAAGGAATTTACAAGCCAGCCTTCACAATATATTTATTTATTTTTGGGCTATAAATTTAAATTACTTGCAAATAAGGTTGATTGGTGATTATATCAATTCTGAAATTTGATTTATTGATTTAATAGATGGATATAAGCCAAAAAGTTCTTTTAGAATATTTCTTTTACTGTAAATATATAATAAGAATTGAGAATGAGAATTAATTTTTTTGAAATTATAATATATCTAATTAGACATTTACCTAATTTAAAGGTTCAAATTTGTCAATATAATCAATATTGTATATTTGCTATCTTATGAATATATAAAAGAATGGCAAGTAGACGACAACCTTATTTATTAATTATATTTAACAGTATTTTTTTGTGTTTTTATTAGAATTTTAACATATTTATTAATTTAAGACTATTTATTAATATTAATAGGGGAAATTCAAGATAATTTATTTTGCATCATGATCTCCATTATTCCTAAATAATAATAATACTCTCAGAGTTATTCTGGAACTAAAATTTAAATAATTTTCAATATAAGTGAACTAAATAAATCAACTTACAGTTATATTTTATTTAAAAAATAATTTAAAATTATTACACATAATCTTTTGCTAGTAAAATAAATTAATGGATTATGAATTTATCATTCAATTACCATTAAAAATAAAAATAATTTATGATCATAGGTTTAGATGTAGTAATATAAAGTTAATAATTTGTATTTCCATTGATAGAAATAATCGATCTCACATTATAACTCTTTTGAGTCATAGTTGCAAGTTTACTTTTCAAATTAATCTTCTTATTCTATTTGAGTAATTCTATTACTCAGATTTATATACCTCAATATAATTATTCTAATATTGATTATCAATTATTAGATGAAAAATATAAGCTCTAAAGGTTTTTATATAAATTATCTAACTAATTATCTAGAAAATCTTAAATACTGAAATTAGTTTTAATAATAACTCATAAATTAAAAAGAATATATATTAATTAAAGAATTTTTTAAACAGGAATAAGTATTATTTAAACATACGCTAATCTTTTGTGCAAATATTTATAGTAATCATAAATTCATTTAAATAAAAATATCTTTTGGTTTTAAAATGACAATAAATCCACTAAATTATCTTATATTTTTAGAAGTAATCTCATAAATTCTTTATGAAAAAATCTAAGATTATTTGAGCAAATGATTGGAAATTTATATTAATATCAGGATCTTATATTTTATTGAGTATTAAGTATTAAATTTATGGGCTCAATACAATTATTTTTATAGACACAATAAATACTCAATTGTGGAACTTAAAAATCAATGTCTGCAAAAATGATGATCAAACAAAAATCATAATAAGATAAAGATATGATGCTCTATGAAATTTAGTAACTTAAACTCTAAAGACATATTAATACGAATTAAAATTATCTATTGATAAAATTATCTTTTGGGTGATTGATGAATTTTTTCAGTAATGTAAGCACTTAATCTTTATGTAATTTGTTGCCTGAAGTTAATGGAATTATTTTCATCAATAGAAATATGTAAATTTTACTTAATCCTTTATTTTATAAGGAATCCTAAATAATGATACTCTCTCTAACTATTTCTCACATGTTTCAGATCCAAATGTTATAATATCATAGGTAAGTCACTGAATAAGAATAATTCTCTATCTATTTCATATACATAATTTTAACTGACTTAAAGTATTAACATTAAATGTAATTCTTTTTCCATCGAAATTCTACTTAATTTTAGACATTTTCAAAATCTCAAATAAAGAAAAAGCACTGATAATTGCGATAGAATATTTTTTTAACTTCTTCTGCCTATTTTTTTATTTTCCAAGCTTGACCGAACCTGAAGAGTTATATAAATTGCTAATAATTCTTAGAAGTGGGAACTAATGGTCTGACAGAATCGTTTATTTATCTCTACCAGGCGCTATAGAATTTCTATAATTAAGAAATTTTTTCTCTATTCATGAATTAATTTGGCTTTGAAAAATACTAAATAATTTATCAAATTAATTATGTTGAATGTTGATGACATCATTCCTATGTTATGCTCCTTTGGAATTATGTAAATTCCAACCATAAGGAAGGTTATAGTCTATAGTCTCATTCTAATTAGCCAAGTGTCATTTAAACAAAAAACAGACAATAAGGTCATCTTGTAAGTCAGACTAAAAGGTGAATTTGAGTTAAAAATAAATTAATTTGCTAATCAAATTTTATTTTTTTCATTTCAATTCAGAATTTTTCAGTAATTCATTAGAACAACCTCTATTTATAAAAAGATATATTTTTTTTAATTTTAGGAAAGAAATTTCTTTTTCATTTAAAGAATTCATATTTGACTAAGTATTTAAAAAATGAAAAACGAAATAAAGTGATTTAGCAAATTATTGTAATTTGGTTTTTAATTTAATAATTTACTCTTTATTCTTTAATAAATTATCTGATTATTTTTTTATTCTTGTGTTAAGTGTTACATAGGAATGTCAATTCTGATGATAATAATCTATTAGAATGGAGGAATTTTCATTTTTTTAATTAAAAGCATTTTCTAAAAAATGAAATTCAATCTTTTCAAACAATAATTTTTATCCCTAAGCATTGCTGTAAGTTAGTTAAGAATTTATTTATATTGGTAATCTTCTCGTAAATATAATTTAATTGTATCTCTTTTCCAATGAGTTGATATTTTTTGGCTATAATTACTAAAATCACAATAACAGTAATAAAAAAAACTATAATCTCAGAATCTTGATCTCATATTATAGGATATTAATTAAACCTTATAAATCATACAGAAATTTTTTATTTTACTATTAAGTCAAATAGTTGTTTCTTCTGCTTACCAAAAATTAAAGAAATTTTTAGGAATATTATCTAGAAAAGTTCCGGAGCTAATCAATTAGAATCTTTCTTAACTTTTTCAAACAGGGTTTAACTAAATAATTTAAACTCAATATTCAAGATTTAATTAGAAGATATAATGCAATTAGTTTTATTTTTACAGCAAATCAAATTTTAGTATTAAAAAATAGAAAATCAATAAAGTTAATACCTAAAAGATATTAATAATCCTTTCTTACTCTTATTATGCTGTTGACCAAAAATTTTTAATATTAAGCTCAATTTTGGATATTAAATGTGGTTATTACATCAAAATCTCAATAATTGAAATTATACAAATTTGAATTAGATTTTACGAAGATACGTTTGAAGGACATGAAGGATTTGAATATATTAGTAATTATTTCGATTTAATAAAGGATTAATTAAATTAATAGAATTAGAAAAAATGTCAAGAGATTAATTAGTAAATAGAAAAAAAGAATATTATATGTAAGAAATATAGAAGTTGTTAGATGTATTTATTTATTATTGTATAAATTTAGTCATCCTTTGATCAAATCAATAATTTCATAGATTAAGAATTAAATATAGATGATACTCCAATATCTAAGATGAGCAATACTTAATCAGAATTTAAATTACCAAAAGTTGATTAATTGAATATAATTGGCTAAGCAGAGTTTATATCAAAAATTATTAAAGAAGTGAAACCATTGATTAAATCTAAAATGAAAGATGAAGTTCAAATTAAAAACTAATCACAACATTAATAATAATCATTAATAAACTAATAATAATCATAGTAATAATTCAAATAACAAAATTAAATTGAATCTCCATCTTAATTCAATCTTAAACCATTTACTTATCAGATAATTTAACAGAATTCTATTAAATAAGATAAATAATGTTATGCAGTTGCTTTTAATAAAAATAGTTCAATTGTAGCAACTGGATGTGATAATTAAATTAAAATATATGAATTTAAATAAGGAATTTTGAAATTAAATCAAATCTTAAATCAACATAAAACTGATGTACATATATTAAAGTTCATGAAATAATCAAATTAGTTGATTTCTGGAGATTAAGGATCTATTTTGATTTGGTCATATAATAATAATTCATGGATTTGCTCATAAACTATTCAAGCACATAATAATTGGATTAGATGCTTAATTATGAATAATAATGAAGATCTGTTTATATCAAGTAGTGATGATTATTTAATAAAGTTTTGGGTTAAGTAAAATGATGGCTGGATCAGTTAATAAACAATTACAGATCATAGTAACAGTGTTTATCAATTAAGTTTAAATGAATAGCAAAATCAAATTATATCTTGTGGACGTGATAGTTAAATATTAATAATTGAGTAAATAGAACTTAATAAAAATTGGATTGTAAAATAAAAAATAAAAGTTGATTGTTATGGATATCGATTATGCTTTATCAACGATAATCTATTCACATTTCAACCTTATCAAGGCAATTTGATGTATGTCTATGAAATGAATAGAGTAAGTAAATAGTTTACTAAATTAAAAGATATTACTCTTAATCAAAGTAATTCTGATGATTATGGTGGATTATTTCCATAATAATTTATTAAATAAAAATAATTACTTGTGAATAAGCATTATTAAAATATAAATTTAATAAGATTTACATAAAATGTTAAATTTAAAGTTGAATAATCTATTCAGTTTGATACATATTCAATTTATGGATAATTGAGTGATGATGCAGAATATTTGATTACTTGGGATAAATAATCAAAAGAAATATAAATAAGGAGATTCACAGAAAAATGAGATAATTATTATATTAAATATTAATCTAAAAGTTAATATTATCTTATCTATTCTTTATCTTTATATTTTTTATTTAAATTTTATCTCTCACAAAATTTTACAATTTTTAAAACTTGAAATCAGTATAGAGTTAATTAAAAATCACAATATTTTAAATAGAAAATTTTAAAGCGAGAACAATTTGTTTGAAATTCATATTTTATTTTCTAAATCAAAGAGAAAAATTATATAAATATGATGATTGTTGTTTTAGAAAACCAATTTTTAGTCAGGATTCCTTTTATAAAAAATTGTCCATTCGTTTATTTTTTTATTGTTTTCATATTAGCCTTACATTACTACTTAACATTCTCTTTTAAGAATATTGATTTTAATTACCGAGAAAAACCTTCCCAGAAATCTTTCCATTCACCTTACTTCAAACCATCATTTGTATATTCTCCTTCCCCACTTATATTATTTGTTTTTATTACATGATTTCATTACAATAAAAGCTTTACCATTTACCAATTTTAACTCCATTTTCATAATTTCCAGAACAACTTATTTTGATATCCCTAAATGCATGATATTTATAGATTATACAAAAAAGAGAAATCATTCATCTCATACCATTTTCCTATTTTTTATCCTTAATTATTAAAAGATCCTTTATAGTCATTATCTTAACTCATTTTCCAACCCCCAAATTTTTTGCCATTTTAATAATTTCCTTCATAAAAAATGATATCATGGCTGATTTAAAATTCAAAATAATAAATACTTATCTGAAATTTCGCTTAATTCTAACCAATTTCCGTCTTTTAATCCTTATTGATTGTACCATCCTCCATTTCTTCTGGATTTTATTTTTAAAACATTATTATTGTCTTATTCTTCGAATATATAATCCCATTATCCATTTCTTTAATCATTTACATATTCTCCTACCATAAAAATTAAAGCTTCACTAATTTTTATTATTTTATTTTATTACTCCCAAAAATTCTAAATTGGTATTTTCCAAAGTCCTACTTTTTTTCCTTCCATCGAATACTCCCCAAAAACACCTTCTTAAACTTATCCTTTCCAATAAACATATTACTTTCCAATATTGTAGTTGTTTCTCACACCACCAGAAAAATAATTGAAATGCTAAATTATTTCTAAATTACTCACTATTTCTGGCTGATATGTTAAATTATAAAATTTTAATCTAAATGATAACAAATATTACTTTTTTAGAATTTCTCCATCATGTATATAAATTATTTCATGATTTCTATTAAATTTTACCAAAAATTTTGTTTTTATTTTTTTATTCTTTTTCATTTGAAAACCATCGTATATTTAAACTTTTTCTTGCCAAAAAATTTAGGAAACTTCATCATTATGCTTTGAAATGAGTTATTGTAGATTATCCCCTATTAATAAATTAGTTGTGCTCAATTTATCAACAATAGAATTTATCAAAGACTTCCAAGTATCAAATTTTTTTCCTTAAAAAATCTCATTGAGATCTGATGTTCTGCAAGAACTAATCAGCTCTTTAAAATGAAGGTTTTCTAGTATTAATTCATTAAATATTGCTTCTGCGGAATTTCTAGTATTTTCCAAATAATCCTTTAATTTCTTTTCAATATCATCATATTATTTAAAAAAGTTCCTTTTACTAACCAAGAAATAATGTTCAAGTTTTTCTTATTTCAATTTAATATGATCATTAAATTGTTAAATTGGAATTAATTTACTAGCATCTCCACCATGTAAATGTATACAGTCCGAACATAGTCTCCTTTAACAACTATGAAACTCATCATCTTCTGTACAAATCAGAGTTATTTAATTATGTGGATGTTTTTGACATATCAATTCATTTTGCATCTTAAAAAAATATAAGAAAATAAATAATGGAAATTAATTAAGATGTAATAAATATCATTCTTTCTTTTTATTATTAATTGTTAAATGGCACTACATTAAATATTGCTTAAAATTGAGAGAAATTTTTGTCTTATATTATCATATTTTTGAAACTATTTTCCCCATTGAAAAACCAACCTAATAAAATTTAATGAGAAAAATATTAAATGTTTTTGAGACAAAAATTATTCATTCAGCTTAGTAATCAATGAGATATTTATTCATTATTTTTCAGATAAAATCTTTTATTTTACGTTAGGATTCATTATTAATCAAATAAGCGATTGTTTATTATTTTGAAGTTTGTTCAGTGATTCTAAATAAAAATAAAGAATTCCTTTAAATAAATAAATAGGCAAAAATAATCATATAATAATTTTTACAATTTAGGGAAATATCTTAAAACTAAAACAAATTAGGGAAAAACTGAATTATTCTCATAAATATAACTGATCGCATTTTTAATTAAAAAAAATATGCTATATTTTATTGTTTGAATAGATTGTTACATATTTGATACAAATTTATTTATTAGTTAAATTATACAAAACAATGATTATTAAGGAATTTACAAGCCAGCCTTCACAATATATTTATTTATTTTTGGGCTATAAATTTAAATTACTTGCAAATAAGGTTGATTGGTGATTATATCAATTCTGAAATTTGATTTATTGATTTAATAGATGGATATAAGCCAAAAAGTTCTTTTAGAATATTTCTTTTACTGTAAATATATAATAAGAATTGAGAATGAGAATTAATTTTTTTGAAATTATAATATATCTAATTAGACATTTACCTAATTTAAAGGTTCAAATTTGTCAATATAATCAATATTGTATATTTGCTATCTTATGAATATATAAAAGAATGGCAAGTAGACGACAACCTTATTTATTAATTATATTTAACAGTATTTTTTTGTGTTTTTATTAGAATTTTAACATATTTATTAATTTAAGACTATTTATTAATATTAATAGGGGAAATTCAAGATAATTTATTTTGCATCATGATCTCCATTATTCCTAAATAATAATAATACTCTCAGAGTTATTCTGGAACTAAAATTTAAATAATTTTCAATATAAGTGAACTAAATAAATCAACTTACAGTTATATTTTATTTAAAAAATAATTTAAAATTATTACACATAATCTTTTGCTAGTAAAATAAATTAATGGATTATGAATTTATCATTCAATTACCATTAAAAATAAAAATAATTTATGATCATAGGTTTAGATGTAGTAATATAAAGTTAATAATTTGTATTTCCATTGATAGAAATAATCGATCTCACATTATAACTCTTTTGAGTCATAGTTGCAAGTTTACTTTTCAAATTAATCTTCTTATTCTATTTGAGTAATTCTATTACTCAGATTTATATACCTCAATATAATTATTCTAATATTGATTATCAATTATTAGATGAAAAATATAAGCTCTAAAGGTTTTTATATAAATTATCTAACTAATTATCTAGAAAATCTTAAATACTGAAATTAGTTTTAATAATAACTCATAAATTAAAAAGAATATATATTAATTAAAGAATTTTTTAAACAGGAATAAGTATTATTTAAACATACGCTAATCTTTTGTGCAAATATTTATAGTAATCATAAATTCATTTAAATAAAAATATCTTTTGGTTTTAAAATGACAATAAATCCACTAAATTATCTTATATTTTTAGAAGTAATCTCATAAATTCTTTATGAAAAAATCTAAGATTATTTGAGCAAATGATTGGAAATTTATATTAATATCAGGATCTTATATTTTATTGAGTATTAAGTATTAAATTTATGGGCTCAATACAATTATTTTTATAGACACAATAAATACTCAATTGTGGAACTTAAAAATCAATGTCTGCAAAAATGATGATCAAACAAAAATCATAATAAGATAAAGATATGATGCTCTATGAAATTTAGTAACTTAAACTCTAAAGACATATTAATACGAATTAAAATTATCTATTGATAAAATTATCTTTTGGGTGATTGATGAATTTTTTCAGTAATGTAAGCACTTAA